TCTTTATGATTTCGTAAATCACTACACTGTAATAAGCGAAGTTTATGCAGAATGATAGAAGCCATACATAATACATTTTTCCTGAAAACGTTGTTGAAAGCATGTACTTATAAGGATAGAACTCTCATGAGCAGAATGCCAAGGAAGAGATGATTTATAAAATGAAAATATACCTTCGCCTACAATATAAATTACTGCTAAACGCGTCTCTGTAATACCATGTCTGAAATTTGGAAAAAAAAGATTATTTAAAATCTATAAACATTAGTTGACCGATATCTCTGCTTTTAAATGGTTTCAAAAATAATAGACGTATTTAGTTTAATAGTAATTTTCTACTTTAGTGATAACTTACTAGTTCATAATTTATCCCAGTTAGTATCGAGTTTGAATGCTTTACTATTTATTACTTTAACCATACATATTTAGTGCCTATCACTTATGATAACAAATATATAAACGAATATGTTATTTCATGTGAGTCAGTTATTCAGAAAGGTAAAGTAAAAGAGGAACAGTTAATAGAAAACTGTTCTAACTTGAGTACAATGTAGGTAATACGTGACATGAATAAAAGCCAAAATAAGGCGCATTTAAAATCCAGTTGATCCTCCCAGTCATCGCTTAACGGCTGAGGTAATGTCCATTCAGTGTAAGGCTTCATTCCATGATCTTCGAGCTCGTACTGTGTTTTGCATATTTGACAGCGCTTAAATAATATTATATCGTTTAATTTTAAAACAAAATTGCAAAATTATTTTTTCTTTTTCTTTGATTTTTTCCCTTTACTTTTGCTAACGAAGTTTTGCGAAGTGATCAAGTTAGCAGCTTTCAATAAGTTTGTATAATGTCAACATACTCTTGTATGCATCACATCGAACCAGTGTTGCAGACATCGTGTATGCACAAATTGGAGAGAACCACGACATTCACACGGTGAAATTAAGTTTGGTTCGTTGTCTTCTTCCAAACATATTCTGCAGTTTAGTTTTCGCATAGAAGTCATCTCTCTGCAGAAAGTCCAGATTCTGTTAATATTCATTGTGAAGTCATAAAATTTAAGGCCACATTTAACATTTTCTCACTTTTACATGGAATTTTCAAACTTTGAGAAAGATAGACTAATAAATAAGCTTTAGAAAAGCCCAAAACTTTTCATTCTCTGACCGAGGACGTAATAAGAAGTCATTATCTGAATAAGTGGAAAGTGATGATGACGTAGCCTCCATCCTATCTTTAGGTTTAGATGGCATTCTCAAAGTGCTGTGAAACAACAACTCAATGATTTGAATGTAGCAAATGATTACATTTTGAGATATATTCTACAATTTTATATTCTTTTTCATTTTATGTATAAATTCATTTTTTGTGGCGGTTAGATGTTCTTGCCGTTATTCAAAATGAATTGTAAGAGTAAACTGCGTAAAATTAAAACGAAAATTTGTGTTTCAGTCGAATTTTTTAAGGTGTGTTTTCAGTTTTTAAATTTTTACTCACTTGCAGCTACAGAAGCAGTTAAAAATGCAGTGACTTTTGTACATTGCTTTTCAAAAAACTATTATCATTTTTCAAAATTTATGAAAAGATGTTTTTATTTCTTTGTTTTACCGGTCGCATTTTTGCAGCATGATTATGATTTTTTTGAACAGTAAATCAATGATTTTAAGGTGATGTATCTTCGCATGACATCTGGCACTGAAAATTTACCGTGTGCATATGCATACATCGAGTTTACTAATCAGCCAACGGTCCCCATTGCATTGCAAAATAATGGCATCGAATTTAAGGGTCGCTGTTTACGGTTTGTTCTGTTACTTTCATATGATTTCATACAATCAAAAAGATTGTAAAACATTAAAATTTGTCGCCAAATTGCTTGATTTTTGAATGTCATAACTTCAGAAAAAGTTAAAGATACTAAAATTTGGTGCCAAATTGCTTGTTCTTTGAATGTTAAATCTCATCTCAGATCGTCCCTTCCTAATCAACTTTCGAAGATATAATCGGCTTTCTTTGATTTCAAAATCTTTTAAATATTTAAATGGTTTGTAGCATACAACATTCCCGGGTTGCTATAATCAAACCGGAAAGAAAAACAGCAGACATGGCATTGCAGGAGGTCGAAGAAGCAATTCGGGTCAATCAAAATCCGGATAAAGCTGCTAATGCCCTCAGTAAGCTGAACCAAGGATTGGGTAACTTTTGTTTTCCCCAGATGTGGACCTCTGGTTTATTTATTTCTTTGACATTGTTCTTATTACTTAATGATTTGAAAAATTATTGAGGATTTTCTTGAGTATTGTTTTTTGCGAGCGTATTCGTCTCTGATTGGCATGTGCAAATTTCTTTCTTTTGTTGTGCTATTCGGAAATCTATTTGAAAAAAAACTAAAGGAATTTTTTACAGATGAATTATTTTAGGAATGGACCGAAGTTATTCGCCCTTACGACGATCTGGGTCTCCTCGACGTCATCGAAGTCGCAGTTCAAGCAGACGCCGACGTTCACGATCACGATCGAAGTATGTTAAAGCCAACAGCTGAAATTTTTTGCAGCCATTTATTATTTATTTAATTATTGTTTTAATTATTAACGGGTGTCCTTAAAATATGCAGAAGCCAAAAAAATTAGTGTGTTGTACAAAACCATTTATTTAGATCACGCCGTCGACATCGCAGCAAATCTAAAGATCGACGTTCACGGAGCAGATCACGGTATTTTTTTCTTTACCTTTTTTTCGCAGCCTGATGCAATACAAAGTAATTAGTTTTGTTTCTTCTTACTTTCATTGTTTTCTCTTTGCACTATTTCGTTTTCTTAAAGTTTTAGAATTTTAGCTAACAAAAAACCAGGTTAAAAAAATTATTTATTATCTTAGACAAATGTGAGTTTGAAAATTATCTTAAATTAATGTGAGATCTTGAAAGAAGTTTATTATTACAAGCGTTAATTCTGTGTTTATTGTAGCGAACATCGTAGACGTTCTCATTCTCGCCATCCAAGACTTTCACATTCGAAAGATAGAAAGGAAAAAGATAAAGAAAAGGTGAAGTTATCATTTCAATAACTTTCTAGAGTTGTTATAGAATTATGAAATATATAAGGCGTCGTCATGAAGTAAATTTATAGGAACGGCGTGACAGAGAGAAAGAAAGAGAGAAGAAGGAACGAAAACGAAGCAGAAGTCGCACACCGCATAAGAAAGATGATAGACGTGAACGTGATAAGGATAAGGTTTATGCTTTTTAAAGTTCATCAAAAAAGATTAATTGAAAGGATTGGCAGAATTTTATATAAGAGGGAGGTGCTTTTTAATACTTCAGTTTTGTTTTTCAGGATAAAAAGGAAAAGGATCGTGAAAGTAACAGTCGGAGGGATAAAGAAAGGAATAGTCGGAGTGAAAAGAGTGATAAGAAAGAAGAGAAAGATCATGATAAGGGGAAGAAAAATTCGCGCAAAGAGAAAGAACGTGAAAGGAGTAGTAGGAAAAGTGACAGCAAAAGTAGCTCGGTTAAAACCGAAGTGAAACTGCAGATCGAACATGTTAGTTTAAGCTTTAAAGTATTTCTTTTTGCTTGTACAATAAGAAATTTTCATCTGACTGGTTCATCGTGATTATCGAGTGTAGACTGTCCAAACATGTACTAATAAGTTTGATTAATTGTATTTGCGTGCGGAAATTTTTTACGAGGATTAGTGCCATAAACTGATACTAGGAGCTGGTGCATGTTTTGTTTGAAAAAATGTTTTTTTAGGAAGAACCTTTTTTTTGAAATCAATTTGGGTTTTCTTAGGGCGAAAGTATGGAAGTAGATCATCCAGAACAGATAGCAGCTTCAGATGAAACGGCCATGAGAGAAAGGCTGATGGAAAAAGTCTTGGCACGTAATGGACCGAAAAAAGAAGAAAACACGGATGTTGAAATGGTGGACATTGAAAAAGAAAAGTACTGTTTTTTTTTGGAAACTAAGTCCGAAAAAAACATATCGGGAAATTGACGCTTATCTGGTTTTCTTTTCCAATTTGTTCTTGGGCCAGATGTACAAGATTGCTTGCTTTAATTTTTTGTCTTAAATATTTTTAATAAACATACTTTCACATTTGGCCTCAGAATCAGCTGGAAAAGAACTTAAGCCATCATATAATCTTATGTCTAGCTACTGGAATTTGAGCCCCTGCCAGTTTCCAACTAAGACTAACATGACCTTGAATTTTTCCTTCTGGGATTTCTTTTTTTCAGATTTAGCTGTTCTGATTGGAAAGTTAATTTTTTCAACAGTATTAACGGTTTTCAGGGATGAACAAGAATCGAAAGGAAGTAGCAGCGTTGATGGTGAGTCTTTTCGGAAGAAATCTCGGAAACGCTCAAAATCTTCCAGTTCATCATCTCATTCTGAATAAAGCCAATACTTGTTGTATTATCAATTAATCTTCAATCAAAGTAGCAATACTTGCCATTTTCCTTATCTGTAATTCTTTGCTTACACTAACCAAAAAGGAGAATGTAATAACGATTCATGATGCTGTAAAACAGTCCCTTATAGATAATTAATTGTATACTTATGGCAAGTTGTAACGCTCTTTTGCATTCATGAAGACTCATATTTGAAGTTGTCCATTATTATTAATAGAGCTCTAGAGGATGCGAAAAATAAAACTCGAAAGATGTGGAGACATCAGAAGTATGTAAGGTATTAATGATAATTTTTTCGCTAAGTGCCCTTTATCATTGTGAGTAAATGAAATAATTTCGAGTAAGGCGAAAATTTTATCATAGCTTATAATGTGCAGTGAGTATTAATATCTCACACTAATCATTTTTCATCAAAAAATAACTTGGGCCATAATGAGCTAGAAGTACAAAAATACACAGTTTGATTTTATATATGCTGTGGCTTCTACTATTGCCTTTCTGATCATGAAATAACCCATGGCAATTAATGGTTTTACTGTTTCCTTCTTCAATGAGTTTGTCAAAAATTCATAAACTTCATCAATTTGACTGGATATTTGAAGATTCTTAAGAAGCGTGCTTCATTAACTGTTCAAGCATATCCTACGTATGCGAGGTTTTAGGTACAAATTGCTGTTATTCAACTCACCAAGAATGATTTATTGGGAAAGGGATGGCTAGGCTATTACAATTAAGTTTCTCTGACACGATTTGAAATATCCAGTCTTTTTTGGATGGCTTATTTTACTGAGTTTGTTATGTGATACTTGAATGCCGTCACGAATTTGTATTGTTTCTTCTCCAGTTAGTGTGATTCAATAAAACTTTTTGTACAATTGTACTATTTGGTGTACTGTGATCATCATCAATTTCAATTTTTAAACTGACTCTAATGTTAATAGTATAAAATTCCGTCTCTGAATTGAAAATCGAATTATGCTTTTTACTTAAATCATAATCCTGTTCATTAATAGTTATTACCGTACCATGGGTTGAAGTGCTGATTTCTTATTGATTTCTTGACACTTCAACATAATACTCCTTTTTCCGAATCGGTGGCTATATCGCTTTGTTGGAAAGCTAAAATAAAAGGATTCATACAAAATTCCCTTTAGGATCTTCGTTTTCCAGTTGGCTGCTTCTACGAAATGATGGGAGTTTTAAATTTTTTACTTCCATTTTACGAGTATTCATAACTTAGCTTATCTGGTTTTGATGGGTAAGGAAAATTATAAATACGGGAGTAGCAATGCTTCGTTTGCTTATCATTTGTGTGCAATTTCTGGAGGAATGTTAACAATGATAAGAATTTCGGCGGCTTATTGATGTTGGCGACTTATTGATCTTTGAGATCTTATCTGAAAGCTAGTATATGACGAACATGGTGATCTAGAAAAGGTACACTTTTTTCTCATACTCTCGTTTCAGATATACCGTATGGGCTTTCGTGTATAGTTTGTATTCTTGGTGGTATAGATTAACTAATATAGGGTAGGGTGGAAATTAAATTAAAGTACCTTTAACCTCTTTCAAGATTTTTATTTTACAACTCAAGATGATAATTCAATTATCTTAGTATTTCTTTTAGTCGTTTTCAAAGCGATCGTATTTTCCAATTACAAAATAGGTGCTATATCCATGCGAAGCGGAAATTAATTCGAAGCAGGTGATTCTTACCAATACTAATCAAGTACAAGATATTTATCCGATTAAACCACCCACTTTTAGCTGTTAGCGAAAATAAAATAGTTAGAGAAGTCGAAGAACTAAGTTATTGAAGCAAATTTTGCTTTCTACAAATTCTTAATTTCTGCTGTTCATAGTGGGCGGCTTATTAATTATAGATAATGAAGGTACTAATTTTCCTTTTATAAAATTTGTTGTAATAATTCGGAAAGTTTGATGAATTTGTTAAAGTGTAATTGAAAAAGTAAAAAAAAAATGAAACTTGATTTGCTGAACGATCATTTCTATTATAAACATATGAAAGATCATTCTAAGGAAACAAACCAGTTATACTTTTATTGTTTCTCCATCACAATTATTATTTATTTATACTTGCAATATTGACTGTTTAAAATACTTCAGGCATTAATCGATCCATTTATTTTCAAAATATACAATTGTGTAGCTTTTGGATATCACATATATACCTTATTGGAAAATGAAACGGTTAGCTATTTCGTTTTGAAAAATGCTTTTACAGTTGTTATATGGGTTTTTCACAATAATGATTGCATAAATCTGCAACTGTTACATACAAATATTAATTTATTTCTTTTGGTTGCACTTACGTTCATCTAACTTAATAATAATAAAACTCAAACTTCAACATTTTACCGCAATATGTAGCTCGAAATATTTACTGCAAAGATGTATGAAAATTACCAGTTGCGTTCTTTGAATAAAATGTAAAACATAAGTTGTTGAAACATAAGTTCTTGAAATATTAAAAGAAAAGTCAAAGATAATTTATTCTTCAGGAAGGGAAATAAAATGTTCGGTGAATTGGCTGATTTGATTCGAAATGGAAAATTCCGATCAACAAATTTTGATAAATTCAAATTCGACAACTGGAAAAAAGTAATAAGCAACTCGATGAATTCGCAAATAGAAAGTGCCTTTTTGTGTATTAATTTTTTTCGTTGTTATCTTCATTGAATAATAATTCAGCTGGAATAGATTGTTCCATTTTGTGCTCTTCCATGTTTTCACAAGTTTCATCCTATAAATACTTCAAATAAATATCGGGAAATCGATTTTTCCGATATAGAATTAGTTCTTTCTTGAAGACGAAAGGAAAACTGGAATGAAATTTTGTCATTCCGAATTTAACGCTTTACTTTTTGACAAGGATTTTATCTACCGGAAAAGCTTGTCATGAATTATAATGAGAAATTAAGAAAATTGTGCTATTTTTAGCAGCTATGTCTTCAAAATTCTAACACTCATACAAATGTGCTTACGGTTTCGAGCGGTTCCTATGTGATAGCCATTGCTGAGTAATAGTTTGTTGATTCTGATTCTAACGAAATTAGAATAGTTCTATAAATTGAAGCAAGAAGTTAGACTTTACAGGTGACTCATCAGAAAATGAAATAGTACTGGAATATTTCATTTAAACAACCAAAACATCTTCATAAACAAAGAACATGTGTGCTCCTCCATAAGTGCCGCTCAATGATCTAACCAGCAATTTAGAAAATGAATGTTTGCCTGAGGTTAAGTGTCGTCTTTTCGAGACTTTGCAGAACTCCGGGACGGTTGCTTAGCCGGTTTCGATTTTAGCTTCGAAATTTTCTTTAGTCTCTCATATCACCATTTCTTTGTTATAATTGCAATGGACCAATCTATAGTTGTAGTTCACGGTTCATCGACCTTTGTCCCAATGGGCATTGATTGGGCGGGTTCATTGCAGTTCGAAAAACAATTCCTTTATTGTCTCTTACCTTTCACATTTCCTTTCGTTTTATTACCAGTGATTTAGAATTCTCTCGGATGGCAAATAATAACACGGATTTGGAAGAGAAGCAAGAAATGCTTAAGAATTCCTGTTTTGTAACCAAATTGGTGGCACTGTCAGTAAGTGTTGCCCAACGAGCCGGCAATATTATCAAGGTTAACTCTACTGATAAATTTATATCTTTCGCTTTAATTTATACTATCTTATACCATATTTTGACATAGTGGATAGAGTTATGGAAAAAATTGAGGCTTTTCTTCATGTTAAATTGTAATGAATAGCCCAAATTTCTGCTTTAGCTTTTACACATACTCTTTTCTTGCCAATTTAAATATTATGCATTACAATTATATTATTCCGAGCGCTTGTATTCTTTAACCGTACTCTACAGAACTTCAAAACGATAATATCACGTTACTGAATTAGCATTAATTAGGGTTAGATTCACGAAGAATTGTTAGTTTTTATAAGGCCTGATATTATCATTTCCTGTAGATAGCACTGACTGATCAACAGTGATCAAAGGGAATCACCAGTGCAGAAGTAAACCTCTTTTTATTTGCAGGAATGGGCTTTCAGTGGCAGTGGTAAACGATATTATAAAGGACCTGTTAGTTTACGAGACTTATATACGGATGCAGACATTGCTGCGGAGGATTGTATTATTTCATCATTACGCAAGCATTTTGGCGATGGTCTGAAAATTATTGGTGAAGAGGTAAGAAGGCAGTTTCAGTAATCAAATTGTTTTTACTCTGCTGCTTAATTTAGCAATATTTTATTGCCCTTTTATTGTCTTTGAAAAAAAAGATTTTTTTAGTTAGAAAAACATCTGTTCCCAAGAAGTGTGCACTTTTGAGCCAGGATTGACAAATTTATATTGCATATGATTACTGGCTTTTGAATCATCTAAATTCAAACTCTATTTGATAGAACAGATATTAAAACACTAAGAAATTGAAAGGAAGTTAACACAGATTGTTTAAGTCGTGCACAGCTTTTGCTTTGTAATAGTGATGCTTATTGATTGCTAGCTATCTGCTGAGTGCAAAGAACTTAAAGTAAATTATAAAGTAATGAAATTAAATGAAGCTAACTCAAACTACACCTATTTTCAACTGTGCTTGATATCGCTGATAGTGTGAAGACTATTGACAGGATTAAAACATTGAGATAAATGTTCGAAATAGTTCATGTAAACCACACTATCTACCTTATAGAGCATTGAACCAACGGGAACAAGTGTGGTAAATGATTTTGATCCCAATGTTTTGATGTATGATAATGAATGTAGTGATGAAGTGCGCCAGATAACGTCGGATGATGTATGTTTTGTTCGATCACTTTTTTGTTTTATTTTAATTATGTAGTAATATTTCAGTAGCACTTTCGCCATAGTATTAAAAGTGAATCAAATTCGCTTTCAATTTTAGTCAAATTCGCTTTTATGATAATTTTCGTTGCAATTTCTGCTGTAAATGTGGCAGTTTTGCAGGTGGTGATTTGGGTAGATCCTTTGGATGGAACTTATGAATTAGTTGCTGCCGAAGGCAATATATGTAATTTTTCACTGTCAACTGTATAATTTTTTTCAACTACTCGCAAGCAATAGTTCAGTTTGCTCATTTGATCTCACTCGACTGATTAACTGGAGACATTGGTTTTTAGTATCAGAATGTTCTTAGATTTGGTTACTGGTTGTATTTATGTGCATTTCTTTTCTACTCGGAATGTTAATGTTTTTTTTCGCCTTTGAAAATACTAAACAAACATGGATGCTGATTCAAAGTGCGCTTTGATGATTGAAGAGCTAGAAGAAAACTGCATCTTATGAGATAATATGAAAACACTGCGTTAATTTTGCAGCTCGACAGCAAGAAGTGACTGTGCTGATTGGGGTATCTTATCAAGGACGACCAGTAGCTGGTGTAATACATCAGCCTTTTTGGGGATCCAATGCCAGAGGTCGCACAGTTTGGGCAATCAAAGGAATGGCCGTTCATGGCATAGAAATTATCAAAAGTACTACTTTAAACAGTCTTTCCAGTTTCAGAAAATGTGTTGCAAATGTGTTCCTTGACCTAATTCTTCGAAAAATTCTTTATAGAGAGTAGTGGTTTTTTGTCATAGCATGAACGAGTTCTTGTTTCATTTATCTTTTCACAGTAATTTGTATACTGGTAAAAGTACACTTTTCAGTTTGCATCTGTTGCATTTCATTTTTATTACAATACTCTTATTTTAGGCAATTCACAACGATATGCTGTTACAACACGAAGTCATTCTACTCCTCAAATTCGTGACACAATAAACATTATGAAGGAAAAAAATCTCATTAACGAGGTTGAATTTGTCGGTGGAGCCGGATTTAAGGCACGTCATTCAAACAATTTATTTTCTAACAGCTTATTACGAAGTAGAATTACTATTATCATAAAATAAACTTCTTTTGATAGCAAATAGTTAAATGTATGAGGCTTGTTTCCATTGTATCACGTTATGATACACATTTCGAGGTGATGGAAGATCATTTCTGTTTGACTGTAATGGTAATTAATATGATTCCCAGCAGAGAAGCTGCTTCTTCGAAAAGTAAAATTTGCTTTATTGCTAATACGCATCACATGTACGTGTATATATACCTTTCCCATTGTCTGCATGATACTGTTTATGAAAAAATTAAAAAGTAATAATATTTGCTACTTTTATTTGATGTGAAAACGGTATTTTTTTAGGTCCTAAAATGTTTAGAAGGTGCTGCTGCCTATGTTTTTCCTAGTCCTGGCTGTAAAAAATGGGATACGTGTGCTCCAGAATCAATAATTACTGCATCAGGTTTACTTTTTTTTGGAAATATTACGTGTCAGGTAAGCTCTCATGTTTTAGAACTTGAGTGATTGCATATATTGGCAAAAATTTTAAGTAAAATCGATGTTTACTTCTTTAGGTGGCAAACTTACCGACATCTCAGGAAATAATCTCTATTATGGTGCAGATACGGAAATAGCAAATAGTGGCGGTGTGTTGGCAACAGCGCATTGGATAAATCATCAGGTTGATTTTATTTCATATATCACTTGTTCAGTTTTATTTTAGCATTCAAGTCCATATAGCTCTAAGTTTCAATCACTGATTAAATTTTGTCAAGTTTAATCTAAAAATGAAATTTCGGTTTGGATTACTACACAGAAAGTTTTTATAATTAAATTTATAGGAATTCGTGGATTGCATTCCAGAAAGAATAAAAATACTTGTGTCTGAATTAGCTCATAATTGATGTCTTCATCACGTCAATAGGAATCAAACCTAAGCAAGTTATAATATATGTTGTACTCATTTGACTATACTCACTATTTTCTATACTCACTTTTATCTTCTGTGTACCTAAAAAAATAAATAAGACTGTCATGATAGTTATTAAAAATATATGTAATGAAATTAAGAATTTCTCTCTCTTGGTTAACTTCCAATTCCACTAATATCGAATCCAATAGATTATCGACTGTTTAAAAATTTTCTCTTTTTTCTATTTATTCGCATAATAATCAGTTATGTCAATGTGGTTGACGCAGTTCTATGGTAAATCGTTAATAAAATCGTTTTTGCGTTTCACTTTTATCAACTGATAATTAGGAAAGGCGCATTTCGAAAACATGTGCACTTTAATGTACTAATGTACTAGAGAGTACAAAATTGATGAATCATCGCTTCAAAAAATTGCCGTATACTGGGATGTTCAAATTTTATGTAAGGATATCGTATGCTTAGAGTTATGTGTGTGTGTTGTGTGTGTGTGTGTGTGTGTGTGTATTTGTGTTTGTGTGTACGTTTAGATCTGCGTAGGTATGTGTATGGATGTATGTATATGTTTATTTGTTTTTTAACACTAATGTGTTTAGTGTAGTCTGAGGACGAGAATGATCTTTGGGCATCAAACTTTGTAATCCTTTCACTCTTCTCCTTGGTTGCTACACATTCCTTCACTTTATTAATTCCAGCATTATGTTATATATCGTATTCTCAATAAACTATGGCTATTATTTACTTGAATTTTTGTTGATTTCTTTGCATGTCAAGATAATGAAAAGTTGCAAATTTTGCAGTGATTATTTACTCTTTTGTTAATTGTTTAAACGTAAATGGAAAAAGGAAAAATTAAAATGCTGAAAATTCGAATGAATGAGATGATAACTTAAAATGATCGTCAAATTATATGATAAGTCATACTATGTAATTGGTTTTATGCAGTTTTGTTGCGTGTAAACTTGGTCACTGTAAGTTGTCACCAAGTTAACTGTTACTAGTAACTTGCGAGACTTAAGCAAGCAAATGGATTTAAAGGTGTCGAAAAATGAAATACAGTAATATAACACCAATTGCATCCGAAACTATTCTTTGACATCTTTATAAGGAGTGAATACATTTACTATATAAATAAAGCTGAGGGAATTAAACTTTGGACTGTAGGAGTGTGTTCGGCATGTCTAAGGATTCTGAGATATATAAGTGGGGGAGGGAGGGGGCAAGGTTGAATCAATTAAGAAGACATCTTTTCATAAAATATCGACCGGTAGGAAGAAGCCAGGCCTTCTTACCAGATTAAAGTTCGATTCAACAGTTTTTAACTACTGAAGCTGAAATGAGGGATTTGTTTCAATGACCCGTATATGATTCCAACAACTATTAAAAATTCGTTGCACTGCAAAGGCAGAGACAGTCATGATGATGTGATTATAGGAATGCATATGAAAGTTGCATATAAAATTTGCAAATATACACAAAATTTGTTATCGTGGTTAACTACAGAAGCAATCTTTTGATGTACAATGAGGGAATACATTGTATCTTCAAATTTCTAGCTTGATTTATAATCTGTATTTCAAATGACCATAAATTTGAGATCTGACATTAATGGAAATGATTTTATTTCATGAATATGATGTGCTTTTTCAAAACTAACAAAGTATTGAAATTAGTTCCAAAAAATTTTTTTATCTTTAAATATTTCTATGAAACGATCTCTTTGTAATAATAGCATATAATAATCATCGATTCGTAGCAATAAATAGTTGTTGTATGTTGAAGATTTATTTTATATTGTAAAAATGAGTTCTTATCAGCTAGCAAATTCACTTTCTTTCTTTTCAACTGTGATATTATTTATTCGCTTATTGGAAGCTAAGAGTTGTTGAAGAAATTATCATTTCTCATATTCTTTTCATTTTCTTTATCATTTCTCATCATTTCTCATATTCTCACTAATACTTCCAAATTTTTATACCTGATTATATTTTGTTAGAAAATCAAAAATGAAGGAAATAAATGTTTTGCAGGTTATTTTTTGTTCATAAATGAAATCTATGATATGGTATTTGTTGCTGCTATCTGTAATTTTATGGATTTCGAAAACTTCTGATACTGTATTATTTGGTAAAAAACATGAATTACTTATGAACGATGTGGTAAGACAATTTCTTTGCTGAAAATGATTCAATACAATGTCAAAAAAAAGCAACGAAATGGTAGAGTGAAGTATCTATCCGACTCTACAAATGAGAAATGTATGTGATCTGCGGATTGTTCCTCTGTTAGGCCTTTTTTTCTGCAATTACTTTCTTCTGCATTTACCAACAATCTTTGGATCACTTTATTAGCAAAGCGTATTGTTTTATAGGTTTAGGTGTGGTCATAAAAAGCATTAATGATTTAAAAAACAAATAGAACAAAACTTGTAATGAAAGGCATTAATTATTCGGAAATTTCAGCCATGTTATATTTGTGCGGCAGAATGGAAGTTGCAAAATGGTAATCGAAGAGTAGTAATTGAAGAAGCTAAGCTTGCTGAAGACGAAGATAAGGTGATGATTAGTTTTATATAATTGATTCATCAAATAAACTTTTGAGGAATTCTATGAAATCACAATTAATTTTAGTGCGAAGCAACAGTAGTTCGTGAAGTAGAGGATACATTGAAAATGATGGAACCAGAATCGTGGCAGAATACTGCTATTAATGGTTCTGCGTTAAAACGAGATACAGAAAAGGTGTAGTTTAAAATTTTTTGATTCCTAATACTTTATGATGCACACAGTTTATGTATATTTAAATAAAGGATATTACTGTAATTTAAAATATGCAGTTTTAATATATGCAGTTAATTCGGTTATATTAGTTGATTGAATGTTTTTTCCAGGAGCAAATTTTTTTGAGTAGAAGTATTTTGAATAAAAGAAGCGATAATAAAAATTTCATTTGTTGCAATAAATTGTATTTGAGTTTCTGAATGGAAACGAGAATCCATTATCAATGGAGCTGTTTCGGAAGAAGCTAGCTATCCTAAATTCACAATGGAAAAAGTATCGAATGCAACAAGATTTTAATAAATGGACAGCATTACGACATTGGCTTCGTTTACCAGCTCTGCGATATCGTTTACAGGTTAATGATAAAATTAGTTAATTAATAAAACATAGGAGTTATTTAGTTGATAAAGAGAAACAAAATGTAAAACTGAAAGATTATTCACTCTAATTTCTCATCTATTTAATTTCGAATTTTCCTACTATTTTTGAATTGTATTTTAATATTGAAATGAGGAAGTACATCTAGGTTGAATTGAAAATTTGGAAACAGAAAATAATCAGAAAGAAATTGTTTCAATGTTGTTCGTTTATCTAAGTGAATCAACAACAGATTAATTAGTGATATATAAAGAAGTATCATTAGGTTTATAGGTCGAACAATTTTTTTAATTTGAATTACCTCTATAAATTCATTGATTATTTTTCATTTTATTAAATGATTTTTTATATGTGTACAATATTATATTACATTTTGCTCCGTAATTTTCTTCCCACTTTAACTTCTATTCTGCTTTTATCATCAATGAATCCAAGTAGAGGATTTGTATTGTGCTATTCTGTTTCAATGAATCCAAGTAGAAGATTTGCATTGTCTATTCTGTTTTTATCATCAATGAATCCAAGCAGAGGATTTGTATTGTGCTATTCTGTTTCAATGAATCCAAGTAGAAGATTTGCATTGTCTATTCTGTTTTTATCATCAATGAATCCAAGTAGAGGATTTGTATTGTGCTATTCTGTTTCAATGAATCCAAGTAGAATACTTGCATTATCTATTCTGTTTTTATCATCAATGAATCCAAGTAGAGGATTTGTATTGTGCTATTCTGTTTCAATGGATCCAAGTAGAAGATTTGCATTGTCTATTCTGTTTTTATCATCAATGAATCCAAGTAGAGGATTTGTATTGTGCTATTCTGTTTCAATGAATCCAAGTAGAAGATTTGCATTGTCTATTCTGTTTTTATCATCAATGAATCCAAGTAGAGGATTTGTATTGTGCTATTCTGTTTCAATGAATCCAAGTAGAAGATTTGCATTGTCTATTCTGTTTTTATCATCAATGAATCCAAGTAGAGGATTTGTATTGTGCTATTCTGTTTCAATGAATCCAAGTAGAAGATTTGCATTGTCTATTCTGTTTTTATCATCAATGAATCCAAGTAGAGGATTTGTATTGTGCTATTCTGTTTCAATGAATCCAAGTAGAAGATTTGCATAGTCTATTCTGTTTTTATCATCAATGAATCCAAGTAGAGGATTTGTATTGTGCTATTCTGTTTCAATGAATCCAAGTAGAAGATTTGCATTGTCTATTCTGTTTTTATCATCAATGAATCCAAGTAGAGGATTTGTATTGTGCTATTCTGTTTCAATGAATCCAAGTAGAAGATTTGCATTGTCTATTCTGCTTTTATCATCAATGAATCCAAGTAGAGGATTTGTATTGTGTTATTCTGTTTCAATGAATCCAAGCAGAGGATTTGTACTGTGCTAATTATAGATTCTGGAAAAAGATTTGAAAAGTGAAAAACAATCACGACGACTCCAGCGACTCTTACATCGAGTACAGCAAATACAGAATATTTTGCAAATAGTTCGAAAAAAATTACAGGATGCTTATGCCGTTTTCCATCTTGAAGGTAAGCACTTACCATATTTATTCTTCATTCTTAATAGAATTTATTTTCAGACTTTGTTTACACGTGAATTATTAATTATCTTATTATATACGGTAATCAAATAATGATTAACTTCATACGAGTAGAATTTTCCTGTGAGTAGAATAATATTTCCCTAGTTTTTTTAAATCTATTGATGTAGAACATTATTTTCCTTATTATATTGAATACCGCCCATATCAAAACATTTATTGATGTTAACTTCGTAGTAATACTATTTTGAGAAACAGTAAAAACTAGTTTCAAGTTTAGAAAAATGATTTGGATATGTCTCATTTTAGAGTAATTCTAAGATTTAAGAACTAGACAAATATTTTAGGTGACTTATCTTGATAATTGTTAAAATGTCTCACAGTTTCGTTGAAATTGATGATGAATAATAATTGGCTATATACGATAACTTCTATAACACAATAAGCCGTACAAAAGAAGAGTACCATAAACACAAAATTGTAGGAGACAGAAAAGCATCAGAAGGAATTTGAAACAGCAAATATTTCATTTCTGTTTAACATCGATTTCTTCCACGTAATAAGTTGCAGAAATAATTATAAGTAGATCATTTATTTTATCATTGTCAAATATCCTTGTTGGATTATCTTTCTCAACACAATTCAGTGCATAATGTCTTTTTTAAGATCAAATAGTTTTGTTACAGTCTGATATATGTTATTTTAATGTATGTTACTTTCTAGACTTCTTTAATTTCAGGAAAATCGCCATATTCCGAAACAGCATTACAAAAACGTTTTGCTGCAGCTATAAATCGTAAGGTATTGCAATCACGACGGCGATATTCTTTGCCAAAACATAAGTTATCATCAAATTATCGGTCGAAAATCTTCAAATGTGGTCACTTGCATTGATTATTCTAGCTGTTAATTATTGTTATAAAAAATTGCATTTCATTTTATTAAGGAATTGCAAATGTAACTTAGAACTATAATTTTTAATACGTTATGATTGATGAAATATAGGTTTACATTTTTACTAACTGTATGTTTTCTGTTATCTATTATCATTCCATTATCTGTTACAATGAATGATAGTATAATTAAACAATCATACATAACATTGTACAACGATAAACAGTGTTCGAATTATCTTTCAAAATTCGAAAATTAACTTATCCGTCCCGTTGTAAATAGATTGGTTCGAGAATTTGCCTTTAATTCTGGCTTTTTGGTTCAAGTTTTATTCAATATGCGATATTATTGTTGGTTGGAGGAAATTTTGCAAAATTAAATCTCGACCTTATTTATAATATTTTTATCAATTAAATCAAATTATTTTCTGCTAACAATAAATTTTCAAGTTGACATTCAAAAAAAATTCCCTTTGATCCTAATTATTCAATGATTAAAATTTGAAGTTCTTTATAACAAGCTTATTGGCAGCATAACTATGCTCAAGTTAATATATCATTCTTTTCTCTTTCCCGATCAATTTATTTATAAATCTAATTAAAAAAAAATAATAATAATAAATAATAATTTTTCAAATTTATCGTTTTAAAAGTGCGGTTGAATTCAGCTGCTTAAGCAAATCTGTCAATATCCATTTGAACACTTATTTTTATTTGGCGTAATTCAGGCAGCTGTTGTGGTAAAATTATACAGACATACGTAGTTCTTGAAATAAATTCAAAAAAAGAAAACATTGAGATAACAGTATTCATATGAATATATTAAAATTATATCAAATTAGTGAACCATTGCCAACATGTTGCGCATAGAACCAAATTCTTACCATATATGCATATTTTTATAATTTAGTGCAACAATGTTGTATATCCGATATTTTTATAGTTTGCTACAACAATGCTGTATATCCGATATTTTTATAATTTGCTACAACAATGCTGTATATCCATATCTTTATAATTTGCTACAACAATGCTGTATATCCATATCTTTATAATTTGCTACAACAATGCTGCAAAAAAGAAAATATTTTTTAGCGAAGTTTTAGCATCAACTGTTGCAAAAAGAGGTGCATGAAAATGATCGATTATCTAACCTTTCATCCTTTTTTGTTTTCCCATCTCTTGTCTTGCTGTGACAGTTAACCTTTGTTTTTCTTCGTTCATTCCACTTTACAACTATTTTTCCTTTTGCTCAGTTCATCTCTTCTTTTTGATTAAGTTATCACTCTTCTTTATCATTGTTGTCGTAGCAAACTTTGTTACTTTTAATTATTACACTTAACAATTATTTTATTTTACCAAATTGATTTCTTACCTTTTAATTGCACAAACAAATATACGTTAAAATTATTAATGAATAATTTCATATATTACATTTGGTAATATACGTTAAAATTATTACTGAATCATTTCATATATTATATTTGATTTTGGTTTTTTCGATCGAGAAAATCTGTTAAAATAATAAATTGGCTAAATGTGAAATGAATACAAAAAAGAAGGTTAGATTGATTGATATAACCAACAATGATAGAAATGAGAAACTTTTCTACAAAGTAAAATAATAAAACTTTTGTAGGTCAAACATTCATTCCTTCACCTAAATTAAATGATAGATAGCATCATAGAAATAATCAATTATAAATGCTGTAATTTTTTCGGCAAGTCAAGTATTTATTTTTGGTTCGTGATAACTTGCGAATTAAAATTACTTATCGCTAGTATATCATATTTTAGTTTTCTTAGATGAGTTGTGGAATTAGCGACTGATGAAGATCAATTATCGAATGATAACGTTATGATATCTGTATGTGTGTGTGTGTGTTTGTGTGCATTATACCTCTAGCATTGTTGTTGTATGTTACTTCAATAAATGAATTTAATCTAAATTCGTTAATTTGAAAAATCTGCAAAAAAAACTTCCTTTATATGATCAAAAAGAAATAGCCCTTCTTAAGTGCGCATTTATTATTTTCATGCCAGCCAAAAGAGAAATATTAGCTAATTGCGCATTTCTTCTATTCAAATTTTTAATAAATGCGTTTCTTTGAATGTTCTTTTCTTCCGATGGAAGCATACTAATTAAAATGTGAAAGAACAATTTTCAACTTTCTGTTATTTCAAAATTCAAAATTTAGTTTTCCAATTTTATAATTTTTAATTTTTAAAAATTAATAATATAATTTTTCACATAATCATAACTATTTAACTATTCGATTTATATTATACATTATAAATAATATCTTATTTAAAGTATTATGTATCAAGCCATAAACAGAAAATACTATCCTTATTGTTTACTTTAATTAGTGTATTTTCACTGGAAATAATAATTAAATTTGAATATGTAATAAGTTGAATTTCGGAATTTGAAAAGTAAAAAAATTCGATTATTTTAATTTTTTCTTAGACTTTTATCAGTTAATGCTGATAACTAATTAACTTTCTGCATTATATTATCATAATATGGAAAGATAAGCATATGCTTCTATAAAGTTGCAGAAGCTGTGATGATTTGCCGATGCAGTAATTTTTTAAATTTTGATAAACTAATAATACAAAATAAAAAAAATGAAAGGGAATGTGATAACTGCTGATAACAATGCAATCCCAACAAACTTCAGAAATTCAACTCATCTATCTCTAAGTGTCGCATATCTGAAATGATTGTGTACGAGTGAATCGAAACAGTAACAGATTTAGAAAGCAATAATATAAAATTTAATATGGCAGTAAAATAGACAGAAATGTATTATCTTATCATATGTTCATATCTTATCATATGTTAATATCTTATCATATGTTCATAAAACTTCTCAAATTGTTTTAAGGCTCTTTAATTTTTCCTAAAATATATCGTTTTAATTTTTCCTTCCTTACTAATTCATTTATTTTCTCCATTAATTTATTCTCTTTCGACCATAATTTGATTTATAATAAAATTATTAAAGAAACTGACAAAGTAATTATTTATCAGACAATATTATATTGAATTATAGCAATTTATTTTCTACTCTAAGATAAAATCCTCTAATTTATGTCACATTACTTTATTTGCTTATCAATAAAATAGAATAGTTATCAATAATGAATTAATGAATGCTGATAACTTGTTTAAGATAAAAAGATCTTAATTTTAGTAATGATTAACAATTTGCTTTACTCATAAATTCATTCGTCTTTTGCTCAAATTATCATTCATTAACTCATTATCTTATTGATAACTATTCTATTATCATTGATAAGCATGGCAGTTTTGCTTCGTGAAGTTTATCTCAGTTTCATTTTTATGCTATTTTCTTATTCTTTATTGAATTTCAATTGCTTCCAGTTTTTTCCTCCTTATAAATTAGCTACAATAAATATTTGGGAATGAATGTTTATTTGAATTGAGCCATCGCAATATTATTTATCTAAGATAATGAAATAAAATAAATACTTATCTTTCAGTGAAAGCTTATCTATTTGAAATAACATACAGAGTTTATCACTTATTTTGTTCTTATCAATCAATAGAATTGATAAATTTCGCATATAAAAAGAGTTTAAATTAACGAATGAAAACAATGCAGTTGTTGTATATTTTGAAATGGAAAAAAATGCATCATTTATTGATAAGAGGAAGATAGAATTCGCTGATATAACGATGGCAATGTTATCGGAAAATTCTCTTCTAAAACTCTCTTCTAAAATTCTCTTTTAAAATTCTCTTCGAAAATTCTCTTCTAAGTAAAATTTTCTTTCAAGTGAAATTCTCTTTTAAGATTCTCTTCTAAGTAGAATTCTCTTTTAAAATTCTCTTCTAAAATTCTCTTCTAAATAATAAATTGTAAGGATATTTGTACGAATATTATTATTATTCTCATAAGAAAATGACAACAATTATTTTGACCATAATAATTATAAATGTAATCAATAAAAGTTATTTGGTCAATTGTTTAACAATGCTGTTTAAAATTCACATTGCATATAGCTGACAGCTACATCACATACATCACCTTTCTTATACCTGTATCTCTCGTGTATTTTCTAAAATTTTTGCAAGGAATTATTAGTTCGAATTTTTCTTTTTTTCTTCATAACATATCTAACATTCAATTTTAGCTAATTTTTGAAGTTATACGCTGTCAAATGTTTGCACAAAGTAATCTTATCTGTCAAATTATCTTATCTGTCTCTTCTGATGAATAGCTATTGCTTGATTAAAAATTCGAAATTTAATAGCTAGCAATGTAATTTCTCATTTAATTAAAATTTATCAAATTTAATTAGATATTATTGATAAGAAAATTTTTTTGAGATATCACAAAATAAAAGTTTTGCTATCTTTTTCTGCATCACAATATCATACTGCTCGAATTTGAACGATGATATATTTATCCGTTTAACTTTCGTTATGTATCCTTTATCTCTTCAACATTTTAAATTGAGAATAATTTAGAGGATTGATAAAAATTTCAACAAAATTTTTTGGTAGAATAAAAAACTATTTTTTTGTTGTGCTAAAAAACTTATCATTAATCATTCGTCATGTTTTATTTATTGCTATACCTGAAAACTGGTTTTTTTTTTAAGATGGAAAAATAAAATGGTTGACCGGTTTGCAAATTTCTATAACGATAAAGTGGTGATGTGCGTGTATACACATATATGTCTCTTTAATGACAATGAAGAAAATGACAGCAATAGTAGCAGCAGCCTGTTGCATACCAGAATTCTCCCAAAATGACAACAGAAACGACGACAAAAGGTGCTGCTGGAAGATAATGAGCTGTTATACTTACTTTTTTTTCTCTTCATTACAGATATTTACGGTTTTCATTTAATTGTTAGAAAAAGTTTTGAAATTTTCTTTTGGAAAATTTTAGCTCATTTCAATTTTTATTACAGAATTCTAAACTTCCTACATTTTTTATAAAGGTAATAAGAAAATTTGATTCAAAATGAAATAGAAATGAAATTTTATTCTTCCGATTTGAAAATTAATCGATATGCTATAATAGCTATCGCGGTATTTCATTGATATGTTACAATAGCTATCGCGGTATTTCATTGATATGCTATAATAGCTATCGCGGTATTTCATTTATATGTTACAATAGCTATCGCGGTATTTCATATACTATAATAGCTATCGCGGTATTTCATTGGTATGTTACAATAGCTATCGCGGTGTTTCATTGATATGCTACAATAGCTATCGCGGTGTTTCATTGATATGCTATAATAGCTGTCGCGGTGTTTCATTGATATACTATGATAGCTATCGCGGTTTTTCATTGATATGCTATAATGGCTGTCGCGGTATTTCATTGGTATGCTATAATAGCTATCGCGGTGTTTCATTGATATGCTACAATAGCTATCGCAGTGTTTCATTGATATGCTATAATAGCTATCGCGGTTTTTCATTGATATGCTATAATAGCTGTCGCGGTATTTCATTGGTATGTTATAATAGCTAACGCGGTATTTCATTGATATGCTATAATAGCTTATTGGTAAATGTTAAACAATAATGCTTTTTTAGTTTAAATCATTTTCGAAATGTTGCCGAAATTTGTGAAATTTCAACGGAAGAGAAACCTTTCGCATGAGTATGATCTTTTATCGGAAAAAGAAAATATGTCTAATATTTAAACTGAAAATGTTCTTTAATAGGAAAATAACAAAACAATTTGATAATTGAAGAAGGAATTGAAGTAAAAAAGCACAGATAGAAAAAAATGATTCAGCTCTACAATTTCTTATATTTATTAATTACAGCACCATTGGTTAGTATTTAATTAAGCTTAGAAATTTTTTTGAAATTTATGTAATCTAAAATCTTTTTGTAGTTATTTTTAAGATGACCTAAAATTTCCATTAAAGTTAAATTTAATAGTAAAATTCTTTGAAAAAATTTTTAAAATAGTACCATAGAAAGTACTATAAAAATTTTTGAAATGGTACCATAAAAATTACAATAAAAATTTTTTAAAATAGTACCATAAAAGTACCATAAGCATCCTTAAATTGCATTACTTTTGTTTCATTTTAATCACAGTGAAATTAATATATCAGCTAGATAATTTCAATTCTTTTTTCATTTTTATTTACATTTAAGTTATAGCATTCTTTATTTTGAATTTCATGTAATAATAATTTATTCAATCTTTGTTTAAACATATGTTAATTGCTGTTGACAAACTAATTGTTTTAATGAATTAAATCGTCGTATGCAGAAGAGACAAAAAAAAATGATACGATTTAAAGCATACTTTCCATTATTCAAATTTGTTTAGAGAGATAAACTTGTGATGATGAATTTTCATATTTACAAGAAACTTTCAAATCGATAATATCGGTGTTTTGTTTGATATTTCAATCATTAATTTATTCATAGATTATGAAACAATAGTTAGTATTATTTATGTATCTATCCATTTCTACTGTTTCTATCGCATATATCTGTAAAGTATATGAATATATATCTTTATCAACAAAAGTTATTATGTTAATATGATTCATTTCCACGAAGCAATAATTTTAACTAGTAATATTTGAATTGTTTTCGCTTCCTACTACTTATATTCATTGAATAATAATTAATTAAAAATTCAGATTAAATTTTTAGTTTTACTAAACGATTCATTTTACCACTGCTTATTACTGTTAGCGACCGTTGTCTAAAGTGATTTGAAAAATGGTTATCCTTATGATAGCATTTACAATTATTTCATTGGCTTACCTCATGTTTGATACAGGAGCGTCAAATATCGATCCCATTAAAAATCAGGTTATTATTAATAATTAATTAAAAGTTTATACAAATTTGTTCTTGTATTTGATTGTGCGCTCATTCAACTTTTAGAATTAAAATTTTAATTAATCAGTAATTTATCATTTTCCTGTTTGTTTGTTTCTTCACTTTTTTAATTTTAATAATTATTTTATTTCAGGAAGTTAAAATTGAATTTCATACATACGAAATGAGGCCTTACGTTTCAGGTATACGAGTTATCAACATACCAAGCAAAAGTAATTTAATAAGCTATTCGTAAGTTTCAATAATCTTTCCAATGTAACTTTTGTATTACATACATTGTCGAAAAAAATTTTTAATTGAATAAAGATGTAAGCTTTGTTTTTAAAATTATATTTTCCTGTGAGATGAAAAACAACTAGGAAATAAAATATCAACAAGTAACAATAACAAAATAGAATTAATATAATGTTTAATAAAATATTATTATTTTTGTTTTGCTGCGAAATTGATTTTTATCATTTCAGTGAATCAGGTGCTACAATAATTTATCCAGATTCACGAGCACGTATCGTAATGTTTGGTTATCATCTTGATAAAATCGGTATCATATCACTTACAACAGATAATTGCTTTAATTCAGTGGTAAATATCTCACGTCCTGAATTTCTCATTCAAACCACCAAACGACTTGATTTTGTTGCATATTTCGCTGAGTACGTGAATTGTTTATTTTTTGATCAGTAATATATTTTGGATCTAAAAATTTTCCTAAACTTTCAAAATGATTGAAAATGATAAATTTGAATTTTTAAAATTTCAGATCAGATGAACCATATCATATTTGCTATAAGGAACGAATGAGCAGGAAGGAATCAAGCGAAGAGGAAGAAGATATGATTATGGTACGAATATTTTAAATTTGGCTCATTTTTACAGATTATCACTTCAACAACAATATTTGGAATGGAATGGATAACAAAGTTATCCTACAGCTAGCTATAAATTTAAAACTTTACATGTTCAATCTGCTCTTCTATAAGTTTTATACAATTTTTAATTAAATTTAATTACATTAATATGTAATTAATATGTAATCAATAATTTAGATTGATGAATCGCGTAATTCAATAGTAACGGAAACACCAACTCATATATATTATCTACCACTGTACCTGCAGATCAGTATTATTTTAATGCTCTTTTGTCTGTCTGCTTTATTTTCAGGCCTTAATTTGGGCCTTATGGCTCTTTCACCTCATGAATTGATGCTTATACAAAAATGTGGTAATTGTTAACTCACTTTCGTTTAAGGTATTTAGCAAAAATGGGATCAGTTAAAATGATATATAAGTGCTCCTATTTTGATATAAGCTTCCGAACGGGTATATAATAGCAATAATTATGTTTCGTCAACAAAATAATTAATATATATCAAATTCAATATATATCAAATTAAAGCTTTTACTGATAAGAAAAGTATCGATAATTTAATTTTAGCTGATCATTCAAAACGGACGCTATAAATTATTGAATTAAGTTAAATTTAATATTTTCTTAAGATAGTTTTATTACAAAAAGTTTTCGGCTATAAATTTTTATAAGAAAAATTTTTTTTAAATATCTAAACAAAAAGTTTCCTTTCAAATAACTCGCTAATTAATCTCTGAGTAAGATACGTATTTAATTCAATGAAACATTAGAGCTGTACTGCCATATAATTAACTGATCGATTGAAAGAAAACGAAATTAACATTTAATTTAGAAAAACATCATTTCCGAAATTTAGGCTCAAAAACGGAACGGAAATATGCCGAAATTATATTACCGGTACGAAAATCGGGTAATTATCTTTTATGTACAATATTAATTATGAATGTCGTGGTGAATGCAGCTATTTCAATACTCTTCGAGGATATGACCAGTGGAATGGTTGCATTCATTATTTCATCAATTGGAATTGTTATCATTGGTGAAATCATCCCACAGAGTATCTGTGTTAAGTTAGTTTTAAAATTTTTATTTTTATATCAATAAAATTTTATATCGATATTTACGATATAAAATATGTCAACATAAGTTTGTATCAATATAAATCCATCATATGCATATACAATTTAATTAACGCGATCGCATTTAGAAGTATGTATAGTAATTTGAAATGAGTAATTCGTGAAAAATAAAAATCACATCTAAAATGTATTCGTAACACAATTTATAATTTCAGATATTGTTCAAACATGAGCAGCCAATAATATTGAAACAAAAGCTGGCATAAAATAAATAAAGGGATTAATAAAAAAATTTATGAATTGTTCCTTTTAAAAAATTTTTTATTAACTATAATAAATAATTTGCATAATTTAAGCAAATAAAAATTTTGATATGAAACTGCTAATAAATTATATTAATGCTTAGCATTATCAGAGAATTATTTTTTTTTGAAAGAATTTAGAGGATAAAAAAATGAAATGAGAATATTTAAAAGATTTTAATAATAATTCTATTTGAATTTTCTACCAAAATATTAGCATAAAATATCAAATAAAATAATTTCAGGAAAGGTTTAGCAGTTGGCGCATATACAATTTGGTTAACGCGATTGTTTATGATTCTTACATTTCCGTTAGCATTTCCGATTAGCAAAATTTTGGATGTTTTCTTGGGTGAAGATACTCCAGTATATAATCGATTCAAGTAAATAATGCTTGCTTCCAATGGTTTAACTTCACATGAAAATGCTTGTAATTTAATATTTTAAGTTTGAATTAAATATCAATTTTCAAATTGGAATTTTGTTGCATACGAAATTGCTTTACAAATTTACGACATTATCGATTACATTAAGCAATTCAATGCTAAATTTTATTGATTGTATTTCGTTGAAATATTTTCGTTAAATTATCCAAAAATTATTTGATTCTTTTCCGTTTCAATATTCCGTTTGGTTATTATCTTAAGGTAAATTTTATTTCGTTAATTAGAATTTAAAGATTTTTATTAATTGTTATCTTGAAATGATCGATTGTAGGATCACCATTAAATGAATGAAATTACTAATAATGAAGTTAAGGTTGATAAATTTAATGAAAATGACTGCATGCGAGGAGAATCAAGAATTAGCAGCTGATCTGAAAATAGCTGTTGGTGCTATGGAAATAAGCGAGAAGACAGTTGCTGATGTACTGACTAAAATTGAGGTATTCTCATTTGAATATTTTCAATATTACACCCTCAAATCAATACCTATTCCCTAATACTTTTTGCTATTGTTTTAACATTCAAAGCTTTTTCTTTCTTTGTTATAAGTTTTTTAGGATAAACTTATACCTGGAACAAAAATCATAGATTTTCGATCATAACATCCATGTATGAAATAACTTTAGAGAATTATTTGAAAAACAAATTCACATTTTATTTAAATGATTTATGTAATAGGACGTATTTATGCTATCTGAAGAAACGGTTATCAGCGCTGCAACAGTTGTCGAAATTATGAGACATGGCTATTCCAGAATACCAATCTATGCAGTTAGTTAAGATATTTTAACGATTCATGGAAGAAAATTCGTTTGTCACGATGTCAAAGAAAGAATATTTTATTCATATGTATTGTTTTTTAATTAAATCCCTTTCCTTTTTTGAAATTTTAATTATTTCCAATAATTATATTTTATAATTTATAATTTTTTTTTAACCTTTATTTTTTTAGTTTAATATTTTAGTTTAATATTTTGTTATGTAGTTTTATTATCATTTCTTTCCCATGCTTTAGTTATGAAAAATAATCTACCGAATTATATAGAACTTTACTTGGAACGTTTATTCATTCTTTTTTTCCGTAAATTTAATTTCATCTTATTTAATTAATTTTTGTTCATTTTAATTTCTCACTCTTACAATTTGAATAAATCATATTTTACTAACATGAATTTTTAATTGCGCGTATCAATAAATTCTATATTATTTTAATTATAATTAAAATTTCAATTTATTTCAAATAAGCTTAGGGTGATGATCGAAACAATATCAAAGCTCTTCTGATGGTGAAAGATTTGGCTCTAATCGATCCTGGTGATAATTTCACCGTCAAAACAGTTTGCGAATTTCATCATTATCCGTTACGATTTGTTGATGCAAATAAGCCATTGCATTCAATGCTTGATGAATTCAAAACAGTAAGTTTATTCCAACTTATTCTTTTGTCTTATTTTCAGTGTAAGCTTGTCAAAAATGCAATGATTCAAATTATGATTGATATTTTAATTCAAAATTTATAGGGTAATTATCATTTGGCTGTTGTTGAAAATGTTCACACTTTGTATGATCGTAAAATGAGTCGACAAACAAAGGATCTAATTGGTATTGTGACACTAGAAGATATTGTGGAAGAGATTTTGCAATCGGAAATCATTGATGAGAGTGATTCGGTTGTCGATAATATATATAGATCAAAAAGGAAACGTGTTAAGGTACGTAATGATTCTTTCGAAAACACATTAAAGTAAATAGTGAATTTTTATTTAGTATACTACAACGATATACGTAAAGCGCAATCGATGATAGTAAAAAAAGTAGGTCACACAACTGTGATCAGTTGATTATTTTATTTTTCAAAGAAAAACAATTATTATAATGAATAGTATATGTGGTACCTTATAAAGCCATTTATTGTAAATTTCAGGAACCAGCTTTCACTAAACTTTTAACGAGTGAAGAGTATAGCAAAGAATTATCGGTGCATATGGAACAAATGACAATACATTTTCTACAAGAACATCATGTGCTTTTCACTGATAAATATGTTGAACGGCGAGCTTTAGCTCATTTGCTTAAGCGTAGTATCAGACAGGTAAAAATTTTATATGCAAGCAAAATAAGAAATATGAAATTAACATTTTGTAATATTTCACTGCAATCATTAATGATTGTTTCAAAAATGTAGAAAAAAAAATATATCAATAGTATATGATAGCAAATAGGAGATCATATTGCATTTTGTTGAATTCTGATATATTATTACAGATTGATATGTCGTATTCACCACAAATAACCGGTTATACAGCAAAGCAACGTGAAACAGTACCCATATATTGCACGAATAAACCAGCATTTCGTTTCGTTGTAATTCTGGAAGGTCGTGCTACTGTTAAATTGAAAAATGTTGGTAATTGTATGAAATTATATAAAAGTTTTGTTATCTAAAGTAGTTCTATGATATTGATCAATTAAACTAATACTACCGATATTTTTCCTAAAGAAATATTGGTAGTATTAGTTTATAAGAAAATGTTGGCAGGAAAAATAGTAAAATATTGCTTTACCACAACATTTAATATTATCCATCCATCGCACTATAGACCGAATCTTAGTAATAAAAGCATAAATTGCAGATGGAGTTTGAAACTGGTCCTTGGACATCGTTTGGAAATGAAATTTTAGACCAGTTAGAAGAACTTATCGAAAGTAATTTGATAAACGATGAAAGTGAATTTATTTTATCAGGTAATAAATGTTGCATGACAATATGATAATAGCGATAAAACTTGTTTTAAGCTGTTATCAAGATATCTGTTGCTCTTCAGATTAGTCCTGATAATTCATTTAATTGCTTTATGTGATGATATCATTATATTGTATGAAGTTAACTTCCGTTATCATTGCTTCCTAAATAACAAATAGGAAAATGTTGACAAGAAAAATTATAAAATATCTGCTTTATCACCGGATGAAAATATCGCTTATCATTTTTAATTTGTATTAATAAGAAAAGAGAACTTTAATACATTTAGATTCAAAATTGGCGCTAATCAATTCAATTCAATTCAATCCGGATTTCGATCTTTTTGTGACAGATTTTTGCCGATTTTTAAATCTCACCTTATCTTCCTATATAAATGCGATGAAAGTGACTAAAATCGCTCGTGCGGCACGGTATATTATTTATCTTTGAAATGTTTTGAAATAATATTGACTGGATGAATGCTAATCAGCTTGAATTTGCAGTAGAAAAACTGTTAAGTGACATATTATCTTACCGTTGACCTTTTACTTCATGTCTGCTATTAAGATTCAATTTAATCTTCTTTCAAGAGTGTAAGATTTTAAGAATTGTTGCGAAATATCAATTGAGATAGCATGAAATATATCAAAGTCATCTGTAATTCAGGAATAAACGAAGCTCTATTGGGTCAATGCCCAAAACTTCATTGTGTTATGGAAGTCCATCACAATCGTGGCTTTTGTCCGATACGCTTATCAAACAAGAGGTTCGATTATTTATGTCGCATTTGCTATTATAAATATATTATCAAATTAAATTACTCATTACTCATTAAATAGCCATGAGTTTGTGATAAAAACTTTCCTCACTACATTTTGATTAACAACTCTTCTATTCGAAAGAATAGCTTAAGCTTTAGTAGTGATTGTTAAGCGATGATACTCTGTAATTATTCAGAAATTTGAATTTGAATCTTGTTTTCGGTTCTCAACTATGAGAAATTAAGTAGACAGTTCTAGATGACTCTTTTATTTTGCCGAATATTGTAAAACCAAAATGAATTTCATCAGTCCAAAAATTTCCAAACAAAAGAAAATCTCTCTAAAAAAAGGATAGACGAAACAATACTAATTATTGTACCAGCTTTATTATATGCTATTATTTTGAAATTATTAGCTTTCTGATAAGAGTAGGAATGTATCTTGCGATTCCAATATTATTTTTTTTTGTATCACTAAATTAATATTTTTGTATTACTAAATTTTTTTTATAATTAAATTTTAGAATTCAAAATCAAATTTACAATCAAATTCAAAAAGATTGATCGTAAAGCGTCGTTCAAACAGCGATTTCGGACGTCAATACTGAGAACAAATTTATCCATCCATGTACAACTAACTGCTTGTTGAAGTGGTTGTTACCTGTTTTTATATCTTACTGCCCTTTTAATAATATTTCAATTCTGCATTTTATGATCTCAGTTTTGCACTAGAAGTTAGTATTATTATTTTTTTTCCCTGCAATTACTATTATTTAAAATGAAATTAGGATAATTTCGGTAAAATTCATTTCAAAAAATTTTTTTGATATTTAATAATTTTATCAATTGCAGTATGTTAATATTTCACATTAACCTTTGTTTTTAATGTATGCAATTATTCAAATTTTCTTTATGCATAAAATAATTTGAATTATGGCAAAAGTTTAGCACAACTGTCATCAAAAATGAACATTTTTTTCTTGCTGATCTCATTTAACCCTTCGCAATATATTATTTATTGGAAAATTATTTCCATCGTTGCATAAATTTTTCACAAATAACGGATAATATGCGAAAAGTTTGATTTCAGAAAATCATAGATCAACTCCTGAAATTATCATTTATTAGCACTCATTTATTTTTTAATCTTCCGATAATTAAGATTTGTTGATTGAAAAATTAACAAAATATGTTGGAATACGGAGAATTGTAATTTTTACTTTTAAATTTTGGAAGTTTATTATTCAAAAACTTCTCTCAAAAGATTATTAAAATTAATAATGCATTAATCGTTCATTTTCAAAATTTTTCATTGTTAAATTTTGAATTTCGGATCTGCCGAAATTTTTTTTTGATAATTTAGGATCGATAATTTTGATAAACTGATAATCGACGAGATAGTTTTGAATTACAAATAGGTTTGGCGGTTTTTTTCTTTATTGTTTCTCTAAATATTCTTACAACTAATTTCAGATTAGGAAAATAGACATCAGACTCCACTTGCCAGATGATTTGGTTGCTGGGTGCTAACTAAAAATGAAAGAGAAGTAACATTTCAACTAATGTGATCCTTAAAGTAACTAAAACAAAGAACAGAAACTTCATTTTTTAAAAATCGCCTCTTAACCATTTATTGATATGCGCAACAAACAGATGGAAGGTAGTTGTAATTACAGCAGGAAAGGAAAATGAAACAAATACTTTAATCTTAAGTATGAATTCAAAACCAACTCTCATGTGCTTTTTCTTGTGTATCAGTTTTTGGCGAAATCTGTGGTGATGGTATACTGGGGGTTAACTCTCTTCCTGGTATATCATTTGTGCCTTGTGTCTGATCAGTTGATCTCGTTTGACGTTTTGCAAACTAAAATTCATTAAAATTACTGCAACATTAACTGAATAATTACAATGATTTTTTGTCAAATTTAATTAAACTATCCTCAAACTTCTTTGCAGTTCGTATTTTTACAATCCTATCAAATTTTGTTTTTTGTTATTAAAATTTCACCTTAAGGGTACTTCGAATTTCAGTTTTAAAAATGTAACACGCGCAGCAACCAATGCAAGCGCATGCAGCCATGTGAAAAAAGCTTGAACATATCAGAAATAAAAATAACCATTGTCTGGAATAAAAATTCGACAATATTCTGCAAATCTGCGATTATTACTTTAGAGATTATTTTCGAACTTTTGAAAGTATCACACGGAATTACTCATTTTGTGCTTTCTTCTTATTTAAACAAAGAAAAATATGCTAACACCATAATTTGATCTAAATCGGAGAAAAATATCAATAAATCACGAGCTATATCCTTCGAGCCAAAGATCGTATTTGCCGTATCATTCAATACATGACTTAGTAGTAAGAGATCTTGAATCAAAACCTGTTAATTAAAACCGATTCAGGAATGAAAATTTAATTAAATAAATTAGCAAAATAAAAAAGTAAATCTTTTGAATATATAATATAAAAAAAAAGACCAAAATGTATGATACATGATAAAATGATCTTTTATGAACTAATAGATCATTTTATCATGTATCTTCACATTTTGATCTCAGTATCCGCTCAGATGTCTAGTTCAAAATGTCGTAGTAATAACACTGTCAATTACTATAAATGATTTTGAATGGGATTATTTGATTGCGTTATTTTTCATCATTTAGTTATCATTATTACATAAGTTTTTTAAATAATTTTGGCTCAATAAATTAATTATCGTTTTTTAAATCAAAGTATCATTAAACTGAAGGTAATTAGTTTTGTTGAAAGGTATTTTTTAACATATGGACTGGAATAAATTTTAAATTTCAATTTAACTAAGTTAGCTGTTATTGAATTCAATTTCTTTACTTTCTGTAACTTTTAATTTCAAAAATTCTTATCAAATAATTAATTAACTCTTTTCAAAAATTAGCTTTATAATAAAAGAAAGTTGCAGATTCGGTTGGAAAAATTATTTCATAGACATTAATTAATGGAAATTTCCTTTTCAAATAAGCTTTACGGAAATGATATCTTGCAAAATATCCGGAAATGATGACTATATGTATTTATATAGTAAAAAAGGCATTGATTTCGATCCATCACTATTTGTGTTACAAGAAATGATTGGAATTTGTAAACCTTTATTAAATGTAAAAAGGTATGCATTTCAGTCTTAGCTTTCCGGATTAGACCAAATGTTTACTTATTTGTTCGTGATACAACTTGTGATACAATTTTATGCAACTTAAAAAAGCCTAATTCTAACAGATGGTATAATCATGGATGCTTTTATTGTTAATAAATTTGATAAAATTGAACTTCTAGCCGGAAAAATTATGTTTTAAATTTTCTTCAAAAATCTTACGGGCTTAGTGGGATCGCTAATTTTGATGTCACCGTCATAAAACGGATTTAATTTATAACGTTTCTTTTTGGATTTCCTGAAAGGAGATTGTCCATCTATTGGCTCGATTGTATCTAATAAATAAACGATAATAATTACGATCCATAGTTTACCTGTAAAAATATCAGTGAACGTATGAACATAGTCTACCTGTAATAATATCATTGAACATATATAAACTTAGACTGAAAAGATTTCACTGATAGATTGATGAGAATTATTTATGACCAAAAAAGAAAGCATTTACCAATAAAAGAAAGCGCCATAATAATTGATTAGTTGTTAATATAAGAGAATGAAAATGAATTAAATAATCCAAGTGACAGTCTTTCAACCATTTTATATATGTTAAAATTTGCATTTCATATTTTGTATAAATGACTTATTGTAAATTTTGATGATTGCATAATTTATTCAAAATGAATGAGCAATGAGAAATGTATAAATTATCGTTAATCATTAAGCAATTTTTATTTTCTTAAAGAATTATTGAGATGAACTGATCGTTTGTTTTTATCATTTACGAGTGATTATTTATTTTAGTGAGAATCTTTTCAACAAATAAAAGTTAATTGATAAAAATTTTTTGAGAATAAAAATAAAGTTTAAACGAAAAATTTGTGAATAGGAAAAATGTTGAAAAGTCATAGTTCTGGTGATATGAAGACGACGAACAAAAGCAACATATTGTTTTCTGTACCAATTACAGTAAGCATTTGAAAAATTTATATATCCGCTAAAAAATTAAGAGCTAAATGATTCTTGTGTGATAGTATTAATTTATAAGTTAAGGTGTGCTAGTATTAATTTATAAGTTAAGATATGGATATATCTAATATCAGCTAAAATAATATGGTTCTTGAGTAATAGTATCAATTTATATGGAATATCATAATAATGCTACTATAATGTTTTGTTTTTCATAGAATACATAATTTGATTAGATCAATTAATGAAAATAAATGTAAGGTATAAAAATGAAAATTGAAATGAACATATGTATTATAAGTTAAGATATGGATATATATATTATTGGTACTATTCTTAGTTGCAACAATGGTAATTTGTATTCGTGCTCTCATTGATTATGGATTTACGCTAGATTCAATCCCAAATTTTATGCTTACTATTGTACTTCTTATTGTTTCAATTATTAATGTTTTTGCTGTTACAACAGAGAAAAAATTATTTATTGTATGGCTAATTTGGATGATTGTTAGTTATTCATTTATTTTTGAATTATAAATTTTGGTCAAATGATTTTGAAAAATATCAATTTCAGTTTCATTTTTATTACATTTAAATTTTGATAGAATTTAATAGTTGAAATTGTTTATTTATTTATTTATTTCTTATTTAATGAAGACTTAATGAAATACTTTAAATACATTGATTTTGAATTGCAGATAATATTGATTGTACTAACTGTAATTGTATTCTTCTATCGAGTCTATGTTTTTTGGCGAGATGATGAAAATAGTAATACTTTTGTTACACTTTAAATTGTCTATATTATGGTAATGAATTGCTACTACTGTATAGCAGGTAAAACTGTAAGTGTGGAAGTTAACATCTAATGATCGTAATTCTGTAACTACAGCTATAATCTTATAGTTTCGGAATTGTTTTGGTCAACGTTCACATATGCTGTCATATTGGCATTATTTGGGTTCGCTTTTTACATAATAATTTCCTGGAAACGAATTAATAAATAAGGACACTAAGAGTGAGATAGAAATGTGGAAAGATGATGAAATTCAAATTAAAGATATAATTAGTCGATGATACTTAAAGATATTTTAATAATTAATCTCAAGTTTTTTTTCTCGAAATTTGTTTATATCGAAGAATTTATTTGGATCGAATAAAAAGTTGAAAAGCTTTTGCTGTAGCATAACATGACATCTGTACCAATTTTAAGAGTAATACTGCGTGAATATCAAACAGCTAAGCTCATGCACAATATCTAATGTGCTGTATCTTTTCATCTAAAATGAATGTAATGATACTCAACAAGATGATACTATCCTTAATAATAGCAGTTGAGATTATCAAATAAAGCATTATGGTAATTATTTTTTTTTAGCGATTTATAAAATAATAGGTAGTATCAATTTTTTTCCTTAATAGATAGTATCATTTTTATTAAGTCCAACTTAGCTAACTTAGATTTTGTAGATTTCATATAATAAAATAACAAATGATAACTTAATGAAGCAAGTTAATTAATGCTTATTCTAGATATGTTTCATCTTAAGACCAATTAATATGTCTCTTAAAAATTAAAAATCATGCTCAAGTTTGCTTATTTTGAACGGTAAAATAGTTTCCAAAGTAAAATGCTTTGTTTTTCCAATTGAAAAAAATGTAGCAACATTTGGTTTGAATGTCTCTTTACTTACTGGTGTTCAGATCAGTTCAAGTAATCTCAAACTATCGCATGTCTGCAAGTATTGCATAATTTTCATCAAAAGATAAGCAAGGAATTAAATTTTATTTAAAATTACCACTTCACAGATGATATATTATATAGGTTATTTATGTTAACACAACAATATTCGGCAGGATTGGCGACGAAGTGATTGAATTACTTCGAGCATTTAAAATTACTTTGATATTTGATATTTCACTGTCTAATGACTTTATACTTATACCAGGTACATTGCATGAAATTTTTTTTCTCGAAAATTCGGAAAAAGTGTTAGAAACAGCCGATCGAAATTAGTTTTATAAGATGGCCGTTTTGTTGGAATATTGAGTTTCTTGTTATTGCAATTAAAAAACAATAATTAAAGTCAAAGAATCCTCTTCTGAATTGTTTCAAAAACCATACATAATGCGATTCTTAATAGAATTACTAACAATGGTCATCTATAGAATTACGGAAGCCTGTGGTACTCAAATATAAAATGGTCATCTATAGAATAACGGAAGCCTGTGGTATTCAAATATAACATGGTCATCTATAGAATAACGGAAGCCTGTGGTACTCAAATATAACATGGTCATCTATAGAATAACGGAAGCCTGTGGTACTCAAATATAACATGGTCATCTATAGAATAACGGAAGCCTGTGGTACTCAAATATAACATGAAACTTCTACGCAGAAACTTCAATTCGAATGAATTAATACTGAAAATGATTCATACGAAGCAAATTACAGCAATTGTACGCGCAAAATGAACATTTATTGATTAATATCAATTTCACCACAAATATCACAGAGTTAGAAGAAATTTTAAAAAAGACACGGAATTTTAAACTGAGGATATTTTACATTGGACATTTTGTCACATTTTTTCAATCCTAATAGCAATCTTCCATGCTGACAACAAAAGGCCTTTGAATAGCCTTTTGAAGTATTACTCAATCGATTGATAATTCGATTGTTTTGTAAATGTTCGATTATAAAAAAGGAAAGCTAAATAGATCCAGGAAATATTCTGTGAATAATAAATTTATTTATACTTCTTTCATGCTGATATCACAAAGGACATCAACATACATATATGTAATGTAGACTCCACAGATCCCAATAAACAATATTTGTTTGATACCAGCAACATGGCCAATACCAGAAACACAGTGTTTCTATCGGAGTTTCGGTTGGAGAAGTTGCTGTCATTATAGATTTTGATGACAGCCTGGGCCTTGCCGAAGTTGGTCCAGACACTGAAGTAGTTGCTGCATATGATGTTGTTGAGATTAATGTTGTCGAGGTTGCTGTTATTGATGCTGCTGAGCTTGCTGTCACTGGTGTCACTGATGCTTTTGAGCTTGTTGTCATTGGTGCTATTGAGCTTGATGTTATCGAGATTGCTGTCGTTGTTGTCGTTGATGTTGCTGATGGTGCTGAAGTTGAAAATGTTGAAGTTGATGTTGTCGAGGTTATTGTATTCGATGCTGCTGATTCTGTTGAGGTTGTTGAACTACTGCTTTTCGATACATGAGGCTATATAATATTATATTGTTAGACATGAAAATAGTGGACATATTGGAAAATCATTGCTAAAAAAAATGTCAAGAAAACAAAATCGGAAGAAATGAAATTTCATCCTCTTACATTCGGCTTACAGAAATTAACGATGCCAGCAATGCTGAAAATTTTTGTTTTCTTATCTCATGCTTTGTTAAATGAATGAAGAAAACAATTGTAGCTTATATGTTAATGAAAGAATTAACCTAACATTTAGGCAAATGCTGGGAAATTAGGTTGTTGAAAGGTTGTTGAAACATGCAAATGCATCATTACGTTCAGCGAATGCTTCTGACCGAAGTAAATTTCAATCTTTTAACAAACTCTAATTTATTGCTCTAATGAGATGAACCTAACTTAGTTTGTTTGGGTGATGTAATTGAGAGAAGTGAAAGATAAATGAATTCTAAAGAGTTAACTCAAAGTCTATCTCTTTTGTTTTTATAAAAAGTTTTTAAATTATTGTGTGGATATGCTTATAAATATAAATGGTAGGTTGCTGAAATTTAAAAAAAAACGAAGTTAAAATTAGATTAAATTTGATACCATTATGCCAACCACATTGAAAGCGATGATGAGAAGATCGAATTTTTTTATTTTCATCGTTCGATTTACAACACTGAATAAATACAACACTAAATCAATCGTGTTCAAACTGAGTGGATAAACCGTTATTTAACATCATATCATTATTTAATAGTGCGATCGATGATTAAGCGCAAATTATCAATCACTCAAATTTCATTTCATATAACAACACTAAATTGTTTCCATATTTATCAATCTGATTAAGCGCAATTTTAAATTGATGCCAATAAAAAGGAATGAAAAGTCATTTCCCTGCTATTGAAATACACCAAAATTGTTTTCGAACGGAACATCCTACCCTGCTATGAATGTACCGGAAATTTTAAAAACATTTTATACAGAAATTGTTTCATTATATATTTATGGAATAATGCAATTGAATTGAAAGAATTGCCTTCCGAAATAGCACTACTCATCCAGAGCTTCCGGAAAGCAGGCAGTGTTTAAAGTATCACACCAAAGACATTTCAACTGATGACTTTTCTTGTAAACTGTAAAATAAAAAATATAAAATATAATAATCTTAGAATATGCAAAAAAAAGTTTGTTTCATTAAATTGTAATGTTGCAATCATAATTTTAAAATTCATTTTTCAAAGATATTCGCAGAAAAACTCGAAAATATTGATTAATCTGAAACATTTCAAACTGTTCCAATTAGGCAATTTGTCATTAATCAATTACTCATAAAAGAATGTATGATTTTTAATCTAAAACATATATGCTAATTCTGAAAGGAAATATTGCACATATATACTGTTTGTCACTAAGGTATTTATATCATTAAATTTTGCGTAACATAAGACATGAATAAATAAAATTAAGCTGTACTATTTGAGTTCACAACAATCATTAAAGTAAAAAAGAGAGAGAGAGAGAGAGATTTGAAATTCTTCCTTTGTTTTCATTTTTGCACATTTATTTGACACTTCCAGAATCCAATTTCAACTTTTGCACAATTCCAAGGCCACAAAAAGACTCAAAATTTTATATCATTAAAACGGAATATTATTAACATTTATAGATTATATCAACTTTAAGTTTCCAATACATTTCTTGTCATTTGAAATTGCTATAATATTCAATAAAGATAAAAAGTAAAAAAATTCATGACAAATTGCTTATTACAGCCGTTTGAAACGTTCAGATTAATCAGTATTTTCGTTTACTTCTACGAATATCTTTAGAAAATGAATTCTAAAATTTTGATTCCAACATTACAATTTAATGAAACAAATTTTCTTTTGCACATTCTAAGACAATTATATTTTATACTTTTTATTTTACAGTTTACAAGAAAATTCAAAGAGTACAGTTTAATTTTATCTATTCATGTCTTATGTTACTCAAAATTTAATGATATAAATAAAATACCTTAGTGACAAACAGTATATATGTGCAATATTTCCTTTCAGAATTAGCATATATGTTTTAGATTAAAAATCACACATTCTTTTATGAGTAATTGATTAATGACAAATTGCCTAATTAGAACAGTTTGAAATGTTCAGATTAATCAATATTTTCGGGTTTTTCTGCGAATATCATTGAAAAATGGATTTTAAAATTTTGATTTAAATTTTGATTTAATTTTTATTTAATTTAAAATTTTGATTTAAATTTTGATTTAATCTTTATTTAATTTAAAATTTTGATTTAGAATTCTTGGTTTAATTTAAAAATTTAAACAAACTTTTTTTTGCACATTCTAAGACTATTATATTTTCTACTTTTTATTTTACAGTTTACAAGAAAAGTCATCAATTAAAATGAAAATGTGAGGTGATGCTTTAAACAATGCCTGCTTTCCTGAGGCTCTGAATGAGTAGTGCTATTTCAGAAGGCAATTCTTACAATTCAATTCAATTGCATAAATGAAAGATGAAACAATTCCTATATAAAATGCCTTTAAAATTTTCAGTACATTCATAGCAGGGTAGGATGTTCCGTTTAACAACAATTTTGGTATATTTCAATAGCAGAGGAGAAATGCCTTTTCATTCCTTTTTACTGGCATCAATTTAAATTGCGCTTAATCAGACTGATAAATATGGAAACAATTTAATGTTGTTATATGAAATGAAATTTGAGTGATTGATAATTTGCGCTTAATCATCGATCGCCTTATTAAATAATGATATAATTAATGTATAATTAATATAATAAGGATTTTATTTCCAGAATTTTATCTCCAGTTTCTCTCTTAAGATTCATATATTGTCGAATGTTCTCATTCAATCAATTTTCTTTGCAAAACTCAAACAAATTAAAATTACATTTCAGTTACTTTTCGCTTTTATAAACATTGATATTTTGTCAAAAATTGCACAAAATTTTCTTCCAAAGCCTAAAATTTTTAAATGATATCAATAATTCCGTTTCCGTTTTCTATTCCGTTTTCTCTAATTCCGTTTTCTCTAAACAAATTTTAGTCATTGAAAGAATATTTTGATTCATTAAAATTTCTGTTGAAATAGCTAAATAAGATTTTTCTTATTTTCTTAGATTAATATTTTACAAAAATATTTTTACCAAAATAATTTCACATTGAAGTTTCTTCTTCTTCGAAACTTTACTTCCGTGAAATTTACTTCATTTTGAATTTACTTAAAAGAATATTTCGTGTCGTGCATACATATATATGCTTCTGCAAATCGAAAAAAATTACTGCAGAATAGTTAAATCTTTGTTGCAACCTACACTACGATGTTTCATTAAAATTCTCTATTTGCTTATTAATTAATTTGTAAATAAAATAAATTTGAAAAATAAAATAAAAAAAAGAACTGCTTATTAATTAATTTGAAAATAAAATAAATTCAATGCTGTCATTATAATGAATTACTAATAATGTCCTGTTAATTTTCTTAAAAAATGTAAATTTTACAAAATTATATGGACAAATAACGATTGGATAAGATAAAATTATCTTATTGTTTTTAATCGATTAATTACATTGCGGTTCATTGCATTGTTACTAACAGTAGTAGTGTAAAAGTAATGAGTAAGTTTTCTTTTCATTTCTCTTCTTGAATTCGGAAATCTCTTGATATGTAAAAATAACTATTCTACTGTTATATCAATTAAAAAATTCTAATTGTTGAATTAATCAAATGTAATTATTGAATGTAATTGTCTAATTCTAATTGTTGAATTAACCAAATGCAGTAAAATTAATTAACGAAAACGAGAGAAATTAATTAAAATAATTATAGGAAAGTTCGGTGCGGTACTATTCATATTATTAAATACATTGTGCATCTTTAAAAATATTTTCGCAGTTGCTTGGGTAAGTTAAATTGCTATTGCATTGTTTCCTACAACGTGAAATCATATATGCCAGACAATATGATGTATCATCGCTTTAATCACTGATCAAAAAATTTACCGAAATAACTTCATGATATAAAAATGCTTAAATAATCAATGTATCCTTATGTCCTTGTTGCTTATGTTTCTTTAGAATTATTTATCACAATCTTTGTCAATGTTTATTCTTCTTGTCATCTAATAAGATATGCTTTGTTTAACATCTTAATTTATTACTCTAAGGAATACTGTAATAATTAACAACTCCCTTATTTATTATCGGCTTCATTTACTGCATATTCAAACTATTCCTTATTAGCCAATAGTTTTATATGACCTTTTTGTGACGTTGATTTCGTATACAAAATGACCAATTGACTATTTATCAAAAACCAGTGCTTACTGAGTACCGCCCAGCTGAAGATCGCATTTTAGTCATTTCTGTGCTACTTACTACTCCAAAATGTATCGATCTTGCCATCTAAATTCCTCTGAACCAATACCTAATTTATTACTCCAAGGAATACTGTAATAATTAACATCAAATAACTCAACGAAGAGTACGAAACTAAATTCTCAGATCAACGATAAAGAGGATCAACTAAATGAATGACCCAATTATTTCCTATTATTTGCAGTAAAAAAAAATCAAGAAGAAAAATAAACCATTTCATTGAATAAATAAGCCTTCACTATAATTCGATTGTATCAATCCAAAACTCTCCATTAAGAAAAGAATTCACAACAGTATTGATAGCGATTATGGATTGTCGTAGCAAACGCAAAGGCTATGAAATACAGAAGCAACGCAACATTTTATCGTATTAACCATTTCCGTACAATTTATTAAGGTCAATGATTTCATGTCAAAGATCGAAGATGGAAAAATGCAAAAAACGGATGATTTACGTGAGATAATCAATTCAAAATATTACCAAAAACTTTTGAATTTGATCTGTACGTCATACTTATTTTGTAATACAATTCTTATCAATCCATAATCTCATAATGTCACGTTTCATCAGATTAATGATATTATCTAATGTGTAATCAGGAGATTCTGAGCATCTATGCTTATATGATTATATGATTCATGTAATTAAAGACGCAGCACGAAGGCTAATCATCTGTTTAGATTATCTAGCTCAATTTGAAAGGTAGCTTGATGATTGCTATAACAAATGCTTCAAATGTCCTATAATACTTCCATATTACATAACATTTCCATCTTCTCATTGAAATATCGGATATTCCGATCTAGATTTCCAATGATACACGACGTAAAGTAACATTTATTTCCACCATTATTAAAAAAGGCATAAAAATAAGCCATAATATTTCCTACAAATTCAGCAACCAAAAATGAAGGACGTCAAAAGCGGCAAATCGAAGAATCATCATATTTGGGAGCTAATCGAATATTTACAAAACTTGATAATACTGTCGCAAGCATGATTACAACTGTCGCAATTTATGAGTTGAACAATATGAATGTGTTTGTTCATTTTCCAACAATCATTATTAGCTTTCAAAATATATGTTATTAAATCACATCATGATTAAATAATATTTTGGAAAATTTTTGGAAAAATAAAAAGATGCCTAAAAAACAATTTAAGCCATTAAATGTCATTGAGACTAAAGTAATACTGATAAATCATCGTGATAATGATCATGATCATGGCGATCATGATCGTAGTGATCATGGCAGAAATTACAAACAAACATTCCTTACATGCAAGGGAAAAGGGAAAGTTAATTCGAAAAAATCAGCAAATCTTTTATTTCGATTTCATTATCTTTTCTAGTTATATCGCAACAAAATTAAGTTGCTTGAAATATGTCGCAGAAACTATTCAAATATTCAACAAACAAATTGATAATGGCAGCATGTTTGTCCTACTATTAATTCAGTTGTGATTTCGATTATCAATTCTTATTAACAATTAACAAGTTTATTCTTGAATCTATAAAAATAAAACGAATTAAAAAGTAATTTCTGCAGAATATGGATTTTCATCTTGATTATTTATTGGATGCTAATACCTGTATTCATTTGGGTTGCAATTATTTTATTTATGTGGAAAAATCTTCGATCACATTGGCATAAAATTATTGTACCATTGGCAATTGCGGTAAGACAATGCTTAAAATCTCAACAAGATAATATTACACTGAAATAATAGCATGATCTTTTGAGACACTCAATTATATGGTTTTTTTATAATCAAAGTATCATAAACAACTGTACGCATTTTTAGAAGCATTGTGAAGTAAGCGGTAATTTATTAAATGCGAGAAATGAAATTATTACAATGCCAGCATGGGACGGTTCGTTGTTTCATTTTTTTTACAAAAAGCTATCTGATATGTCGAATATATCGAAAAGTATGTCAAATATGTCGAAAAGAAGATATGTTGGGCAAAGATGATTTGCCTTTTTTGCAGTATAATTTGAAATAATTCGATGAAATGAAAATTTTCAAGATCAGAATAAGAATCATTACTAGAAATGACACATATAAATATTAAACTTAAATTAATAGGTTTTTAGATAGCAAAGAATAATCACACTATTACTGATTTAGGTGTTCTGGAAGCTCGCTTCGAACAGACAACCCAATCAGAGCATGATGAAATTAAATGGTCGCCAGAAGAGGAAGTGGTTGAAAAACAGGATCAGGAAGAAAAATGAAGATCACAAAATAGTGAAAGGAAAATACATGTACAATTTAAAATTTTTAACAATCTTATCAATTCAAATTTGACGAAGTTTCTGATATGAATAAATTTATCACGATTTTTTCGGGTGTCAACAAAATGGGTAACGCACTTAAAGTGGAAATGTGATGAATTCTTCATTTGCATGCATAAATAATACTGTAGCATACGAAAGAGTTGCATAATTTAAAGGACATTTTGTCACAAAACATCGCTTCCTTATAATACAAGTAAAATAAGTTTCAGTTTTTCTTTTCTTCGGAAAATTAGCTATAGCTTCCGCCTTACTATAATTAATTGGAATAAATTAAAAGAGCAAAAAATATCCAAATATGTTGAATGATGCTTGAATGATGTAAAAGTAATATATTTGACCTATTGCTTATCCCATTATTAGCGTGGTAAGATTTACTCATTCCAATTTAGAAAAGTAAGAATCTAAAAATTTTGTCAGTGAAGAACTGAATTTCCAAAATGGAATTATGCAAGAATTAAAACTGGATTCTGGAAATATCAAATAAACGTGTAAAAATGAAAACAGTGGACGAATTTTAAATCTCTCCCTCTCTCTCTCTCTCTCATTTTTACTTTAATGATTGTTGTGAACTCAAAGAGTACAGCTTAATTTCATTTATTCATGTCATATGTTACGCTAAATTTAATAATATAAATACCTTAGTGACAAACAGTATATATGTGCAATATTTCCTTTCAAAATTAGCATATATGTTTTAGATTAAAAATCTTACACTTTTTTTATGAGTAATTGATTAATGACAAATTGCCTAATTAGAACAGTTTGAAATGTTTCAGATGAATCAATATTTTCGGGTTTTTCTGCGAATATCTTTGAAAAATGGATTTTAAAATTTTGATTTAAATTTTGATTTAATCTTTATTTAATTTAAAATTTTGATTTAGAATTCTTGGTTTAATTTAAAAATTTAAACAAACTTTTTTTTGCACATTCTAAGACTATTATATTTTCTACTTTTTATTTTACAGTTTACAAGAAAAGTCATCAATTAAAATGAAAATGTGAGGTGATGCTTTAAACAATGCCTGCTTTCCTGAGGCTCTGAATGAGTAGTGCTATTTCAGAAGGCAATTCTTGCAATTCAATTCAATTGCATAAATGCAAGATGAAACAATTCCTGTATAAAATGCCTTTAAAATTTTCAGTACATTCATAGCAGGGTAGGATGTTCCGTTTAACAACAATTTTGGTATATTTCAATAGCAGAGGAGAAATGCCTTTTCATTGGTTTTTACCATCAATTTAAATTGCGCTTAATCAGATTGATAAATATGGAAACAACTTAGTGTTGCTATATAAATGAAATTTGAGTGATTGATAATTTGCGCTTAATCACCGATTGCCCTATTAAATAATGATTTGATGCCAAATAACGGTTTATCCACTCAGTTTGAACACGATTGATTTAGTGTTGTTATTATTTAGTGTTGTAAATCAAACGATGAAAATAAAAAAATTCGATGTTCTCATCATCGCATTCATTGTGGTTGGCATAATGGTATCAAATTTAATCTAATTTTAACTTCGTTTTCTTTAAATTTCAACAGCCTACCATTTATAGGCATATCCACATAATAATTTAAAGACTTTTCATAAAAACAAAAGAGTTAGACTTTGAGTTAACTCTTTAGAATTCATTTCTTCTTCAGTTCTCTCAACAGACTAAGTTAGGTTCATCTCATTAAAGCAATAAATTAGAGTTTGTTAAAAGATTGAAATTTACTTCGGTCAGAAGCATTCGCTGAACGTAATGATGCATTTGCATCTTTCAACAACTTTTCAACAACCTAATTTCCCAGCATTTGCCTAAATGTTAGGTTAATTATTTCATTAACATACAAGCTACAATTGTTTTCTTCATTCATTTAAAAAAGAATTAAGAAAACAAAAATTTTCAGCATTGCTGGCACCGTTAATTTCTGTAAGCCGAATGTACAAAAAAAGGATGACATTTCATTTCTTCTTGACAATTTTTTTAACAATGATTTTCCAATATGTCCACTACTTTCATGTCTAACAATAAAATATTATGTAGCCTAATGCATCGAAAAGCAGTAATTCAACAACCTCAACAGCATCAACGACATCGAAGACAATAACCTTGACAACATCAACTTCAACATTTGCAACTTCAACAACATCAACGATATCAAAGACAACAATCTCGTTATCAACAATCCCAGCAACATCAATGACAACAACCTCAACAGCATCAATGACAACATCCCCGACAACATTAATTAACGCAACAACAACATCGACAGTATCAATAACAATAACATCAAAGACAACAATCTCGATAGCATTAATCTTAATGACAGCAAAGACAACAACCTCGACAACATTTATTAACACAACAGCAACATTAAAAGCATCAATGACAATAACATCAATGGCATCAAAGGCTACAATCTCGATAACAGCATCCACACCAACATCAATAACAACAATTTCGACAACATCAATGACAACAACCTCGGCACCATTAATTAACACAAAAACAACGACATCAAAGACAACAACCGCGACAACATCAATAACAACAACCTCGACAACATCAATGACAACAACCTCGACAACATCAATGACAACAACCTCGGCACCATTAATTAACACAAAAACAACGACATCAAAGACAACAACCTCGACAACATCAATAACAACAACCTCGACAACATCAATGGCAACAACCTCGACAACATCAATGACAACAACCTCGACAACATTAATTAACACAACAACAACATCAACAGCATCAATGACAATAACATCAATGGCATCAAAGACTACAATCTCGTTAACAACAACCCCAGCAACATCAATGACAACAACCTCGACAAAATTAAGGGCAGCATCCCCGATAAGATCTCTGAGACTACAAGTTCGACAACATCAATTAGAGATAGCAAACTCGACAACATCAAAGACAACATCCCCGGTAACATCAATGACAACAACCTCGACAACATTAATTAATACAACAACAACGACATCAATGACAACAACCTCGACAACATTTATTAATACAACAGCAACATCGACAGTACCAATGACAATAACATCAATGGCATCAAAGACAACAATCTCGTTAACAACAATCCAAGCAACATCAATGACAACAACCTCGACACCATCAATTAGCACAAAACCAACGACATCAAAGACAACAACCTCCACAACATTAATCTCAACAACATCACATACAACAACTACTTCGATATCTAAACCAACTTCGACAAGGCCCAGGCCGTCTTCAAAATCTATAATAAGGACATCTTCAATTACACCTCCCGCAAATGCACTGTTTTTCTGGTATTGGTGGTGTTGCTGGTATGCAACAAATACCGTTTGTTTATGGAGCGTGTGCAGCTCGGATTACATGTATGCATTGAACTTGTGGAATTCATTGTTCACATAGCATTTCTGGGATCTGCTTACCTTCGTTTTTTGCATGTTAATATTTGCAAATCAATCAAATGATCAAATACTTCAAAAGCTAATACTTCAAAAGTAATACTTCAAAAGCTCTTTTCAAAAGCTCTTCAAAAGCTCAAAGCTCTTTTGATGCCGGCATGGAAGATTCTTATTAGAATTTAAAAAATATGAGAAAAATGCAATTGCATTCATTAATCTGATGTAAAATATCCTCAGTTCTACATTCCGTATTTTTCTGAATTTCTTCTAACTCTCCGATATTTGTTAAATTGTTTTTAATAAATAAATATTCCCTTTGCGCGTACAATTTCCGTAGTTTCGTTCATATAAATTCATTTCAATATTATTCATTTAAATTGAAGCTTTTGCGCAGAAGTTTCTATGAGATATCTGAGTACCTCAAACTTCCATCATTCTATAAATGACCAATGTTAATTAATCTACTAAAAATCACATTATATATTGTTTCTGCAATATTGCGGGAAAGCTTACTTTGACTTTAATTATGATTTTAACTGCAGTATGAAAAAATTGTTCCGAAAAATGGCCTCCTTGCAAAATGAATCCTATCGATCATTTCTGATATTTATCGGTTTCTGTAAGGTATAATTTACTCAGAAGACAAAGTCACTGAGCAAAGGTAGTGAGAAATTTTTACTAATTTTCACAAAAAATTTTTGCTAATTGTAGTCTGCTAGATAGTGTTCGAAGATTTCATGTACTAATTAATTTAAAGTTAACATATGGAGGATTAATATTTCCATGAAGAATTCCTCTCTTGCAATTCATATATCATCAAATGTTCTTAGTCGTAACTATTCAATCGATCTTTCTTACAAAATTCAGAACAGAACAGAATTATGGTTCAGATGGTTATGATTTCTGTAAACATTGATATTTTATCAAAAAATTGCGCAAAATTTTTCTTCCAAAGCGGAGAATTTTTAAATGACATCAATTAGATTCCGTAAGAATTTACGATCGATAAGCATTTCATTTGATGAACTCATTTGAAGCTCTCAAAATGACAACAATCCAGCGCCATACAGGGCATAATATCGGACATAGCAGTGCTAGCAATTAAACTTTGTTTTATATGGGTACCGATGTGCTGGGTATATGCATAAGCACTTTAGAAGCTTATACGTTAGCTACAATTGTGTTAGCACTACTAACTCAATTTCTGGATTGCAAAGTTTCTGAAATCATTTATTTGGAGAAACTCAATTTCTGGATTGCAAAGTTCCTGAAACCGTTTATTTTTATGCTTTATCCATTATCACAAACAGTTTCGAATACGCCGTAACTCATTTAACATCATTAAAAATTACCAGAAGTGTAGAGATGACCCAATGAATTTAAACTAGCTAAAACTGCCTGAAATTTTCTTCAAAATTATAAAAGGAAAACATTCGTTCACACTTTTCAACGGCATATGCTTAATTTGAATTCGAGTGACGCTATCAAAGATGACATGTTGAAAAATTGATCAATGAATTTTTTAAATCTTATCACTTCTTCATTCTTCCAATTCATCTGGTTCCTTGCATTGTGCCTTCAGCATTTCTTTTACTCCAGGTGAAACAGCCCCAGTGGAACTCGTTTTAGCAAAAATTTCTAAATGATTTTTACCTTTCCATATCAGAGCACATTTGAATTCAGGATCGTTTTTTATCAAAAATTTTGCAATTTTATCTAAACAATCGTGAACTTTCGATAGTACTACATAGGGCAAAGGTTTAATTAGCTTAGAAATGTCGGAGAGAGCATTCATTGCTGGCTTTCCAAAATCACCATTTCCTTTGAACCATCCGACGATCTCCTGCAGAAATTTTACTTTTTCATTTAGATTCAGATGATATTCAAATTTGTGTACAATTACGATATTTAATTACATTCTTACAACCTCTTTTGCTTGATAATCAATATACAAACCTGATCTGCAGTAGTGAAAAACATTTGTGCCCATGTAAAGAATGGAAATCCAGCACCTTGTGGATAAGTTGTTAGAAGTTGCAACGGAACATTTCGTGGTACTTCACCATATTCTATGTATGAAATTGCATTATTTTCATTAAACTTCTCTTTTTTTGGTTCCAATTCGCCTTCTTTTTCCAGATGGTTGTCGCTACAAAATCAATAATTCAACTACTAAATAAATTAAAATACGAATTTAGTAAATCTATTTCAGATCTTAAAAAAATGAATCATTTGATCCATTTCATTCATTATCACCCTTATTATCACTTTTATTTACAGCGTGAATTAATAATTTTACATTTCTAGTTGCACAATACGAAAACTTTCATACCCAAATTGAAAAACAAAGATCTGCTAATAGGTATAAGCATTGATTACTAACATGTAAAGGAACGAATGATTAGAAGCCTGATAGTAGTTGTCAAATAAAACTTCCAATTAAAATATACGATAGTAATTATTTATTGAAACACGCACTTTTTGCAATATGCTTCAAAATTTTTTACAGAAAAAGTTGTAAGAACTTTTATCAATCTGTTTGTGGTAGATCAATGTGAGGTGGATACAAAGAGGTGGATCAATGTACTGATTACTGTTATGAGAGCTATAAGAGAAACAGCTGTTCGCAGTGAATAAATGGTAGGTAGGCTGAGTCACAACTGTTTGTTGTTTTATCTATCGCCGGCAATTGAAAAACATTTTGATGAGAAAAAAAAGGCATTCTCGTTAGCAAAATTATCGATTTGATTTCCCATCTTTTGTTTTAAAAACGTAATTATACTGCCAATAAAAATTTAAAATGTTTTTCCACTATTTTTTTCGGATAATGCAACAGCTATCAAGGAATTTTGTTCCTATAGAATATCCTATATTTTAAGTTATAATCCGAATGTAAACTGTTCCGATCAGTTACTCTAAATTTAACTTAAAGTCCTTAAGATCATTAAATCATTTAATTTTTTTTTTGATTTTCAAGATGTTTCGGCATATTCTTTATTTTCAAAAGAGATCAAAAATAGTTTTGTCCTTAGTTTCCGGATCTTTTTAATTTTAAGACCATAAAGAAAATCTTCTGAAGATCGCTAGATCATTAATGAGATAATTGAAAGACGAAAGACGAATTGCAGGACTAAGAATGGAACTTGAAACGGCTAATTATGTTGCTAATTTAATCGCAGATCAAATTTAACCTTTCCAACAGATAAAATAGTTGCAGTGATGAGACGTGAAATTTAGGTGCAATCTAGCAAAACTATTAAATTTTCACCTTTGTTTTTGCACAGCAGCATAATCAGCACAATCAACTTCGAATCGTACCAGTAGTTTAAACTGGCCAAATTGGTAAGAAACAAGCTGAAAAAATGGGCCAGTAGTGAATTTTGACCTTGCTTTTGTCATTTTTCGTTTCAATGCTTGATCAAATGTTACATGACCAATTTCCATGAGATCCGATGCTTCCATTCTAAAAAAATGTTAAGATTAAAGCTAGCTCTAGCATAAAGCCTTCAATTCAAAAATCTTTTAAAGAAATTTTTGAAGACGGATAGCATCTGTCTTTTGTTTTTCTTCCAAATCAATAATTGAATTTTAAATTACTAATTCAATTGCATTTATTTTACAGTATACAAATGATAAACGATTGAAATATCTTGATATAGATTTATTGATTTGTAAAGATATGTTTAATCAAAATGCTTTCGCTGAAATAATATCAAAATGAATAGCAGAAGTTAATTAATGGATTCACAAAAACTGAACTTAATAAAAATTTAGTTCGAATTTGTTTTATTGTTTCAGAAGTGACTTTCTCTAAAACACATAATAACCTTGTTAATAAAACGGTTTTTCCTATCCGTTCCGCATCAATTCGAAACAATCCATCACCAGCTTCCTGCGCAAATGCGAACAATTTTTGCAAGTTTACAGAATCGGTGATAAAATTATAGTCGTTGAAATTAATTGGTTTCTTTACTTTTGTTGTTATGTGATGTGCAGCTAATATCGCTGTATCTAACGGACCAGTCGGAATCTGAAAGATCGTTGATACTAAGCTAATTAAATTGAATGCTTTTCTCAATAAGCAGCTAACGGTATATGGCATTTTCAGGTAGAATATTAATTTCAACTTGGATAGTAGCCTAATTTTCGAACTATCGATTTTCTGTTAGTTCAGCAGAACTAATCAACAATGCTTTTTAGCTAAAAATCGCATTTTGGAACCAGTGATTGGGAAAATTTGATGATTTGCAAATATGTTTGCTCATATTTATGAGGCAGTTAAGTTATTATTGCTAGTAGATTTCTACAAATATGAAGATTTCCATATGCTTCAAAAAACTCCAAGTTTTTAAATACCGTTTAAGATTCTTATACGTTTTCAAAGTTGAAAAAGCAAACTTTTAAGTGATTAACATCGTATATAACCACTCCGTGATCCTGCTGTAATTTGCCACCTGCCCAAAAGAAAGATTCCGGAGGCATACCAGGCATCTAAATAAAAATGAACTTTGAATTTTAGTTAATTATGGAATAGTCATTGTCCGGTTAATTAGATTGCAAAATCTAGCATTACTCATTGCAAAATCAAAACTTCTACAAAGTTAAAGAAATTTGTAATAAATTTTTACATTTAAAGGATTTGATAAATAAGCCTTTTTACTATAGCAACATACGTTTGAAATTTATTGATTATAATATATAAGAATTATGAATTGCTTTAAAAAGAAAAGGAAAAGATGAAAAGAAATAAAAGCAATTGTTTTCATATTTATGGTAATTTCGAAATGAGTAAACGTAGATTTATTCTTTTAAATTAGATTATTTATTTTATGCAAAATGATAGAAACCTACAATGATGGTAGGTGTTTCATCATTCAGATACCATTGGTATGAGCCAATTCTTTCGACAAATTTCGTTGATGTTGGTCCACCTTTTCCAGATAAATTCACAAGCGGTAAAAGGCCATATGGTTCCTCTTCCAAACCATCAAATAACCAAAATCCATCAGCTGACATTACACTTAAAGGCCGAAGGCTTGTTTCGCTTGATTCTTGAATTGAACGTTATATATCACAAGCTAAAATTACGATCTCGATTTTTCGCATTGATTAAAAAACATTTTGTTATGATTTTAACGAACCAGCTTTTGTTGAAAAACAACTTAAAAAAAAGTAAGTTAGGGAGAGAACTTAAATAAGCATTATTTATACGAAAAATTCCCTCATTATACGATCTGCTATATAATATCCCCGTATTTCTCTTTAACCTTTCTCTCTCTCTCCCTCTTTCTTATCTAGCCAATATCATATAATTTTCTCGCATTTCGATAATTTTCTCTCCAGAATATTACATCAAAAAATATTCATCTTTTCCAAACAACGTTTATAATGATAGTAAATAAAGCAGCATGTAGTAAATAAGCAGTTAAAAATCGCTAATTAACAATATCTAATGAATCGAGCCTAATTCCTCATTTTTCCAGAAATATGAAAATATAGAATTTCTAAAAAAAAAATAAAAAGCTGGCACTTATACTTTCTATATGAAAGTTTAAATCCATAGTATAGCTAATATTTTCTATGCAAAATGCATTCAAATTAGAAATTAATTCATAAAATTTGATTCCAATTACTAAAAAAGCTTTCAGTCTAAATTCCTATAAAAATTAACAATCTTAAAATTCAAAATTTATTATTTGAAATTAATTAATTTGGCAATTTTAATTATTTCTAATCAAAACCACATCATATCGATAGTAAAATGTTTAGAAAAAAAGGAAGCATAAAAGATCGGATGTTACAATAATACCACAGAGACCAGTGGCAATTAGCTTCAGGAATAATGCTCTAACTGAACAAATGTTACAGCTACCCAATGACGCTTTTCTTACCACTCCTCCTCTTCCTCGTTTCCAACCAACTAGGCTTATCTTACAGATGACGATAGCAGGGATGATGATGATGATGATGATGATGATGATGATGATGATGATGATGATGATGATGATGATGATGATAGTTGTCATGACTGATGATGATGATGATGATGGTGATAATGATGATGATGATGATGGTTATGGTGATGATGATGATGGTGATGATGGTGATTGTGATGATGACGATTATGATGGTGGTGATACGTGCTTGTGACTGAGAGAACCTGATCTAGCTTTTTCTATCGTAATCTCGTGCTCTAGCTTTTGATGAATGATCATCTTATATTCTTTACATCACAAATGCTACCGCCATGAATGACGTTAATTGATAATTTAAAAGATTCTGATGCATTCATTTGTTAGAGGTAAATAAATAATAATAATTTTAATTTAAATTTGAATGAAAAGGTGATAGTTAATCAGTTGCAGCATTATAAATTACATGAAATATATCCAGCAGAAAATTATTGCCTACATATTTTGCTTTCAAATCTTGAACAAGCCTATAATTAATTATGCCTATGCTAAAGATTTGGGAATAAGTTCACATTTTTCATCTCATTTTGATACTTCCTAAAATTAAGTAAAATAATCTAATGAATAGCATTAATTTTCTAATTAGACTCGATAATAAATACAAATATTCAATTGATATCATCGATTCTTGTTGACATGTAATCTGAAAGTGTTATTTCGTTTTCAAATGAAGTTTTATTATGATTGCTGATTTCAAAGGAAAAGATTATATTTTGATTGTTTTCAAGTTAAACGACACACGCAATATCATATGAGTAAGCTGTCTGATAATTTGGCTAACGTATTGGATACATTAAAACATTCGGGCTATATTTCTTTCATCAAACAAACTCCCAAAATTTTAAATATATTGAATGATTAGAAAATTGAATGTAATTTCTTATCTGCTATTTGAATTCAATTATTTATTCACTTATAATTAATTGATATACAATCAATTAATTGTGTAATTGCGCTTCCGTACTTTTAACGCTTATGCTATTTAAATTGATACTAATGAAGTACAGCAATATACTAAGTGAATAAGTGCGTTGTACTTCGTCCTATATTGGAATAAAGTATGTAAGTGAGAGAAATTTTAACATCATTCAAAAATTTTTTCTCAATTTAATAAATTTTAAACGAAAAATTAAACTACTTTGATTCTTTTTCATAGGATTTGTGCTACTTTGATTCTTTTCCACAGGGTTTGTGCTACTTTGATTCTTCTCCATAGGATTTGTGCTACTTTGATTCTTTTTCATAGGATTTGTGCTACTTTGATTCTTTTCCGTAGAATCTGTGCTACTTTGATTCTTTTCCATAGGATTTGTTCAGAGGAAGATGAGTCATAAATTAACTTCAAATGTCAAGAATTATTTTGAAAACTGATTTCATTTTGAAATCTCATCATTTCGCTGATTTATAAACAAATGCATTCTGAAAGATCGCTACCAAATAAAATTTTTCATATCAAAAACGATTTACTGCAATGTCAATGTGAAATTTGTGTGATTGTCATATGATTTGGATTTTTTAGTCAATTAAGGTTAAAACCATTGATAATTGCTTCTGATACCAAATGAAGATATCATTTTTCAATAATGAAAATATGATCTTCACTTTTAATATATTGATTTTTTTTAATGATACGAAATCGGTTGATAGTATTTTTTATGAGTAAAGATATAATTATTATTGGAACAAATTGGAATCATTGAAAAATTCAATCTCTAGAAGGTTCTCAATTGCAACAACAATAATTTCTAATTTGAAGTAACAATGCAATAATTTTCATGTCTATTATACTTCTATGTTAAGAGTGGAAATTTAAATGAGACGTTCAATTTTCTCTTAATTGATTTTCTCGGAAATTTTCAGGCATCGATAAAGATGTAAATAAATTAAAGTTCTATTGCTTGAATCTTTGTGATAAATATTTGTTCGAAAATATCAAAAAGAATCTTAAAAGATTTTTTGAACTGCTTCTCGAAGAAAAAGTGGATCTATCACAAAATTGCCAATAAAGCTTTTTCGGTTTAAAGTAATCCGATCATTTATAATTCAATACTATGAATTTGTAAAATATACTATGTCAGGTAATCTCATACCTGAAAGGTAATTATAAAAGTAATCAAATCTGAGTGAAACAAATATTCTATTCAAATGCAATTATTCTGAAAGAAAAGAGACACTTTCAGTTTGTAGAAATGATTGATATGCTGCTTTGAAATAATGAAAGCAGACATTTAAAAACAGCCACTCATTTTTTTGAAAGTTTAAACTATTCTTCAATCAATCATCGTCTCATGCAAATGTTACTAATCAGTTTATATCAAAATAAGTTTATCATTTTATGATATATTTTTATTCCTATAAATTTTGCTGATCATAACTAATTTGCCACTTGCGTGAAATATAATAAAAGGTAAACATTTCAGCTAATCTAATATATTTCGAAGAGAAAGGTACTAACTTAAAATTGTAAATCTTTTTTAATAACCATAATACTGATAAATATAATGAAGTGTAAAACTTGCTCTAACAACGCTATATAGCTAATTGAACTATATTGTAATAGTTGTTGTAACCAAAAATATATAATTAACATCAATTGAATTAACTCATTAAAGAATAATATTTGCGAATTAATAATATTGTATTATGACGTTGATGGAATAATCTGAAAAAGAAAGTTCTAAATGTACTGGGAATGAAAATGTGGATGATGAATGACTGGAAGCTAAAGAAGTAGAATCCCGCAAAACACATCACTAATAGATCCGTCTACTCTATGATTCACATTAGCTGAATCACCGAGCTATACAATCAAAGAGTAAACTTCTGATGAAGCTACCTTTCTGGTTTCATAAATAATTAAAACACTGTTCCATCAATTCCATCAGTTATCAAAGATGCAAGTAATGAATACAGTAAGGATAGACGACATCGATTATCTGTAAAATTGTATGAAGCCGGTATATGCATGCAGTAGATCATAACCACCAGAGTAATCTGGAGGTTACCGTCAGTAATCTCCTTGACTGTTATGCTGTGATAGCGGTCCCTTTATTCCTCTCTCTTACTTTCTTTCTCGCCCTTCTCACTCTCTGTTCATCCACTTCTTCATTATATTTTTAATTCCTGTCATGGCAATCAATCAACTATTCGCTACGTCTAGTAAACAAAGAAAAAAGGTAAGGACATATGTGAATGAGAGAGTACCCTTTTTTTCTCTGTATGACCATAGTTTTATCAAACGACCGATTATTGGATGCTAGATGAAATGAATAATGGCAGCAAGGGAGCAGTACGTCTAATCTTTATCCAGGGCCTTATCCAAGACCCGGGGAACAATTTTTGGCTGCTTCCCCAGGAGGGGAGGCAATTTACATTATAACGAATCGGGATTGTTTTGTACGCAGGAAGCGATCTGGACGTTGTTGTTATACTGATTTAACAGTTGTGAGTAATATAATATCCTGGATAGAATAACTGATTGGTCATTTATAGCAGTACTAAGTTTAGAATTAATCGAACAAAGTAAGGTACGTAAATTAATTAGAGTAATTAATTAATTAGACCCATTAGAGCTATTAGATAGTTATGGCGTGAACCTCTAAACTTTTTTAAATTTAATCTCATTAAACCAAAAAAAGAATGAAATTCATGAAAATAAATAAACTCTGCGATATCGAACAAATTTGGAAACCATTATGATATTATCAATAGTATCAATGACAGCAGTAAATATAAATAAGTAGAAAATGAATCATCCAAATTATTTTATGTTCATTTAAACTACTACTACCATCTAAATGTTCTTATTAAATTTTGCTTGAAGATAAATAGTATTAGAAAGGTAAGAGTTGAAAAGATAAGAGTAAATAATTTTGGATATATATGTGAGATATAAATTTTGAAAATAACATTTCATTCTACTTTCAATACTTTTTTATAATTACAGTGAGGAATTTATTATAATTAGAATAATTTTTTTACAATTAGAAGTGCTACTTGGTTAGCAGGCTGTCAAGGAAAAATGAAATAACCTCTTAAGAATTTAAGGCCTCATATAATTTTATGCTTATGAAAGATGAAACAAATTTAATTTATGAATAGTGTATGTATTTTAAAAATAAATTTTAAATAATTTCTGATCTCATTAATTATGAGAATAAAAGTTTAGATTTAGTTTGATCTAAACTAGCTTAAATCTAAACTATAATTTAATTGAATTCAAATGAAATTACTCACAAGAAAAAAACGATCCAACATGATATGATAGCCTAACATTATGTTATCTCATTATCATACCAAGCTTACATACCACTCAGTAAAATTTATAAGTCTTCAACCATGCCTTCTCTATTTTCTAATTAAGGTAGATTTAATTACAGAAAAATGAAATCAGATGAAATATGAAATTTGTATTGCATATGTTGAGTTATTGAAAATACTTCAGTTAATTTACTGTCTCAGTAAAAAAAAGAACAAAAGATTTTTGACTTTATTAATTGAAAAGTTTAACAATGTCAGGTAATATTTAAAATCAATGAATATTATGTATCATCCTGAAATGCCTTATCAATTATTGATTGATAAAAAAGATTTTAATCCAGAAATTTAAATAAAAATAATTATTTGTTGTTTTATATTTCTTGCTCTTCAAACAATCCCTTATGTTTACTTAGTTTTTTCATTGCATTTTTTGTTTATTTCTTTGCACGCTCCAATATGTTGCATAATTTCAACTTATTAATAATCGATAAGTGAACGGAAGTAAAATCTTAGTTGGAATAACTTATTCTATCATTTAGCCATTTAATTATTGATTTGAAATGTTTTCAAAAATGTACGAAAGATGAAACTTTGATATCATAACCATATTATCAAGTTGTGTTAATCAGTAATTGTTTATCAATTAATTACCAATGATATAATTTGCTAGAAAATATAGTCAAAAATTAAGAAAATCTAAATCTACTAAAATTTGTTAAATTATTGCATTTAAATAAAGTAATGAAATACTGAACATGCACAGCTTACATTACTGCAGCACATAACCACACCTGAATCTACCTGGATGAATTTACAGGAAGGAGAAAGTGTTTATATTTCATTGTCTTCTCTAATATTTTATACATTTATAAAGCTAAATCAACAGTGTACATATAAGATATTATTAAACATTGAGCACTCCATCCAATTCTATTTTTTAAAGTTCATACTTAACTAATCCTCTTTTATGACTTCCGTAAATTGATGATAACATTTCCTTGAAAATTACGGACAGAGAGAGAGAGGTAGAAAGAGAAGTAGATGTGAGTGAAGGATTTACGATTTTCGTATCCGAAATAGCTTTTAAACAAATACGTTTAGTATTTCCGGATAACGTTTATTGGAAGTTAATTGGAAATGCTCCATATAAGGTTCGTACAATGGAATTGATATGATGTTGGGAAATATCAGCTTGTTTGCTTGGAATATTAATTAGCTTGATTGATTAATCAGTCGCTAAACATCATTGCTTTTCAGATCGAACAAACTAATAGAGATGGAAATTTTGCACAGTGAGTTGGCGATGATGTGACACTTTCGTTGGAATGCTGCCAGCGTTGTTTGGAATTTGGAATTTGGAATTGTTTTGTGGTTGGTGACAGCGGTAGGGTGATCATGTTGTCCAGAATTATTGGTTATGGTAGTGTGAGTGGTCGGGATGAAAGTCTTGTTGTTTTAATTGGGAAAGACAGTGTGAAGTATTAATTCTTATAAGAAATAAGAAGTTTAATGAGACATTATTTGTAACTTGTTAATTTTTCTTCACCTTAGTCTCTTTTTTTTTAAGTTATCTATAACAGAAGTTATCGGTATGGATAATATTCAGATACGGTAGGGTATGGAGAGGTTGGATATTGTTAGCCGATTATTTGTCATGGTTTTTAGTGGTGATGACAAGTAATGTTGACTTGTCGAAAGTGGATAAATCGGCTCAAGATGCTTACAATTTGAGCGAAGCGTATCGATTCAAGGAGCAAGCAAATGCTCGATACAGTGCAAAAGATTATGGGTTAGTTTTTTCAACATTTCTATTTTACTGAGATTTTTTTTATTTATTTAGCTGTAACATCAGGAGTATTTTAGTATGCATTTCATGTTATCGGTCATTTTTTTCATGTTCTTCAATTCTTCCATTTTTCCCAAGCATTTTTTAAATTTTAATTTGAATTAATGGAACTATCTTACGATAGTTCCATTAATTATTAATTCCATTATTACTCATATCGTAAGATATGATGCTTGTTATTTCTTATCGCATATTTTTTACTGATAGCAGAATAATCGAATTGCACAAGCATTCTGCCGTATAAAAAATCGTCTGTGGATTCATTTTTTCTATGTCATGATGCCTTCATTTGTTCCTTGGTGCGGATCTGAGCCATGACTTATTGTTAACATTTGTCTCGAATTTCAAAGTTTTAGCTAATGTTATGCGGTTCTCTATTAAACATAAGTCGCAATCGATTCTGAACATTCATGAGAATGAATTAGCATTTGTTTACCATTTGTGCAGAATCGCAGAATATCTGATATTTTCATGAAATTTCAGTGCGGCAATCTATTTGTATCACCAATGTTTATTGCGTGCTCGAGCTATTCAACAGCTTTCACAATTTGGATTGCAGAGTTCGTGATTAATTTTTTTATTTTTTGTTTCGTCGTTTTCGGGAGACTGTCGAGGTTCAGTGGATCATGAACTTAAAGGCTGGCTGAAGATCTTTTTTGATCAGGAACATTTATCTTTTTTGTTTTCTAAAAGTCATTAAATGACTGAATGAAGTCGGAATCTTTGTGTTAGTGCTTCACCGAGTACTGTTACTTCATTGATTTACTTAGAGAGGATTAATATACCACAGTTTCACTCTTTTCCAGGTCTAGCTCGTATGGAACGCAACTTAGATGAGTCGGTAGGCAACCAGGAAGAAAGTGGAAGTGCGGAAGGGAGTAGCAAAGTTGTTGATGTGAATGATGTTGCTGATGAATCATCAGTAAGTTTTGTTTTAAATTTGGCTGGTGCAAACAGCTTGAAATAGTTACTCCATATTTATGGATGAAGAAAGAATCATACAGTGTAATTTTCTTATCATTATCAAAGGTCTAGAATTTCAGAAAATGATTCTTGAATAGTTTAAAATTGGTCAAAAGACCAGAGTGACCAATTTTTCTCTCCCTTACTGGTTTATATTTTTACTTGTCACATTATTCCTATGTCATCTTTGTTGTTCTAATATTATTAAATTAAAAAAAAATGCAGGATGCTGAAAAATTTGGCGAACGGCGCAAAAGAATTAGTTCAACAAGTCGAGGTGAAGAAATGAAAACAGAAGCAACTGATATCGCATTAAAGTGTTACAGTAATTTAGCAGCATGTATTTTGAAGGGACAGAATCGTACTGAACCCGACTTTCTTCGTGCTGTGGAATACTGTGATAAGGTAAATCATATAAATCATATAAAGTACTAGTAAATCATATAAATTATGGTGATATCAAAAATTACAGTATGTGTATACTCATTGGTATTCAGCATTATTCTCTTTGATTTAAATAATTCAAATATGCTTTTGAAAAGTTCCAGCAATAATTCAAAGTTAGGAATGTAAAATTACAAGAAGTCTATGTTTTGCATGAATTAAACCTTTTCATAGGTTTTGTCGGTGCAACCTTCGAATGAAAAAGCTTTATATCGTAAAGGATTGGCGCTTTCAAAGGTAAACATGTACGAAAAAGCAATCGCAGTACTACAAAAGTGCAGTTTCAGTAGTATGTTTTTATATTCGATTGGACGACTTATATTGTGTAGTGATGGGGTTTTTGCCATTGCAAGAGCACAAATGATTCTCATAATTCATTCTCCCATGATGCTTTTATTCATTTCCATAAAATAAGCGATTTCTTTCTTTGGTAATTGTTATTAATAGTTGATTGAGAAATGATATCCATGTTAAAATTTCATTGAGGAAGGATAATAAACCTGAATCCGATAGTTTTAAGATCGTGGAGCTCAAATAATAATTGATGAATGTCAGCAGTTATTAGCAGAAGAACGACGACGGCGAGATGATCAAATTCGACGTAATTTTTCACGTTCATTTGGAGCTAGAATAAATGGACAAAATTTGCTACAGGTTTTTCTTGATCTCTTCAATTGATAATATATTTAGAACTTTTTGCTTCTGATTTGCTATAGTTGTTTTTCATAACAAGTCATGTGTTTAAATATTGTTGTGCCTACTTTCAAATTCGTTTAGAATCTTTAGTACCAATAAAGGGAATACATGGAAAACAGCATTAGTTTTGTAGTGTTATATGGACCACTTTGGAAATATTGACAATATACGAGATGTAAATTAATGCAGCCTATATGGTTATGTTGCTCGGGATCATTTTACATGCATACTACAATATACTCACTCATTATAAAAAAGCATTAGTTAAACACGGTTTGGTGACTTGATCATGCGCTTCATTATTGCAGGAATTTAATGTTGGTGCTGCGAATCAGGTAATAACAATGAATGGGAATGCTACTGCAAATTCATCTAGCGAACACCACCTTAATATTCAGCAACAGAACTAATTTTTTCATCAAGTTTTCGATTCTCCATTTTTGGTTACAATGTCAGTTAATGCTGACTAATATCATTGTTTTTAGTAAACTCATGCATATATGTGTTCACGGTCTATAACATCAGTACCCTCGAAGATGTGTTTATCGTTGTTCGCCCTATTCATGAAATTTTTCGATGTTTATAAATACTAATTTTGTGCTTGTTTAGGTTTTTATTTCGAAATACTAGTGGATCGGAATAATGTCCGTGATTGGGGTTATTTCTTTTTCGTCTTTAATGTTTTCATGAAATTGAAAGAAAAGCAGATTTTAATATTCTGCCAGTTATGCTGTTAGGTGCTAAATTTGGATTAGTATTACAGTGTTGGATTTTTGCCAATATAATGTTTAGTTTGATAGCAGCAAACCTTGTCACGCTTAAAAAGTATTTTAATATTCACGGATTGTTCACATTTTATTATGCGGGTCTAACAGGATCTTGAATATATTATAAAGTGAAAGTGTTGAATGAAAAATGAAGCCTGTCCTAAGTTATTTTTAACACCGTTCGCAAATGAATTTCTTTGTTTGTGAAATCGAGTAATTTGTACTGCTTGGAATTTGATGTTGTTGTTATGTATATTATTTATTTGATATCATTGAAAAACTGTGTGGATTTGTTCCCTGAAATAGTTTTGGTGATATTTTTCCATGATTTTCTAAGATGTTGTTGAGAGTGTCGCATATATACGATCTATAAGTTCTGCTTGTTCAGTGAAGAAAATTTAATATTGCGAGTCTGACTAAACATTAAAATAATAGCCTTTCCGTCAAATGCATCACCATTGCATACAAGAGCTTTTAAATCACTAGGGTCACTAAACTTCGTTATGATGTCAACCGTCTAACATAGATGATGTGGTAATTTGCAGATTCTTACAGAAAATTTTAACAACCGTGCCATTGTGTAGGAGTTTTAAAAAAATGTCAAATCGTAATAATTTAAGCAGTGTTCCGGAATGATAAAGTTACTTCCTTTTCAAGTGATTCTAAATGGTGCAATAATGAGAAGTATCTGTTAGATAATTTGAGTGGACTTTAATTCTTTTGTTTACGTCTCATATTATTAAATTTTGCCTTGCACTGCACTTTTGCGCATTATAAAAGAGTTGAACGGTTGTGAGAAGTCATTATTAGATAAAGTTACTGCCGAGAGTGCAAGATGGTAAGACGCAAGAAATCCAGACCGGTGAGTTTGCTGGGATCTCTTGAACCATCGAAATGTCTTATAGGTGCTTGAAGGTTAAAGTTGAGTAAATCTAGAGTTTCCGTACTGATGTAATATAATATGCACTTTATCAGGTATCAAATTGTTTTTGATGGATTGCAGTAGTCTTTCTTTTTAATTTTCGGAAATCTTGAATTGAAAAATATCACTTTTCGTATGAGAAGCATCAAAGGCATAGCTGTAGAGTTTTACTGACAGAAATTAACTTGAGTTTTGCGGATCAATGTTGCAAAGTTTGCTAAGTCATTCATGCATTAGAATCAGACAGATCGGATAAGTAATTTGGAGTAAAAGTAATGAGAGAATTTACAAATACTTCAATTAATTATAAATTAGCAAAAAAGGTTCGAAATGAACTTCTGTACAAATGCTGCTAATTTTATCCCTTATTGAATTTCAGCATAGTTTATATAGGCTATATGTATCCAAATAGATAAGGTCAAGCTGACCTGAACTTCACGAAAAATTATTTCACTTATTAGAGTTTATTTAAGTTATATAAAATTCGTAAAATTTGGCAAGACAACTTATAGGTTTCTTTTTTTAAGCGCTATATGTTATTTTTTCTGATGTTTCCCAGTTCAGTACTGATGCTACTGAAAAGTTTGTTTTAGGATAAGGTGTTTTAATTTCCCAATAATAAATGAAAAAAGAAGCAATGATAAGAAGGAATGAATTAACTAAATTAGTTTGCTAAGAGTTAATGACAGTTTGAGAGGTGATGATAACTATATAATGTTAGAGAAGAATTTCGATCCAAACTTAGTGAAAGAATTGTAGAAGAAAAGTAAGAGAGAGGCCACGATAGAGGAACAAATGGTGACAATGGCCACGGTAGAAGAAGATGAAGGAGCGGTCGTTATGACGAGACCAAAGAAAAAATTAAGTCCTGATCAAGCGTTGGAAAAATTTGCGCTTGCTACTGTTGCTAAAAGTACTATGATTTGTTTTCCTCATATATCTCATAATTTTCAATGATACCATACTTGAAGTGATAAAACGATCGTTTTATTTAATTTGCAGGAAAGAATAATTTTTGAAGTAAAATTATTGCAGAGCAGTAACTTTTACATTATCACTAAAAATAATGAATAGTTATTAACAGATAATTTTCAATCTTTTAATTACTTCTTATCAAGTTTTAAAGAAGCATAACATTCTTCATAATTTATGATAATATAGAACGGAATGTTGTAATTTCATTTGAATAAGAAAAATAGCTCAGATTTGAAGTTCTCTTTCTTAATCATTAAGCTTTTAAAGTTTTATTCTGTGTTTGAGAATATTTACTTGATGATAAAACTAAATTATTTACTTCTTTTTATCATTTAACTAAACAATTAGGAGAATGTGCTAAGATATGAAATGAAATGATACTCGTCGAATTCATTGATATTTTTGTTGTATAATATTTTTTGATAAATGTTAAATGTAGCATAGATGAAATTTATGATTTGATATTTTAACGTTAATTAGAAATTAAAATAATTTATTTTTGTTTCATCGAATAAAATATCCAATTAATTATGAATTGTGAATTTTATGAAAAATGCTTTTATTGTTTTAAATTTTATCAGAAGAAAAATTTTTCAAGAAATCGATGGTTTGCGAGCAGAATTTGCAACATTGAAAACATTTGTGCCAAAAATAACCTCACGAGCAGCATTTGATCGAAATATGAATTGTAATCGATATAATAATATCGTTTGCTACGATCATACAAGAGTTGTATTAAAGTAATTTAATTATCATTTATGTTTAAATTTCGTCTTTCTCTTTTCTTTTACATTTCCTACATTTATCGCTAATATTAAAAAAGCTTAGCAGATATTTTAACGTGAAAGAAATTGTGTAAAAATTAATTAGCGAATAACTCATTTCATAGATTCAATGTGCCACCGGATAATGATTACATTCATGCTAATTATGTTCGAACATCACTCTGCAATCTTCCCAACAATTTTATTTGTACACAGGTGTGAAAATCTTTTATATTAACATACATTAATCATAACAGTTATATAAACTTTCCATATCTATCATAAGATTCATGGAAAATTCTATCGCTTAATAAAATTTTATTACAAATCATTCTTGAGTAAATGATATATGTTAGTATAGTTATGCAACAGATTACTGTATTTAGTAGTTAAATTTTTCGCTATGAAAAGTTTTGAAGGGTCCAATGGATTCAACAGTGAATGATTTTTGGCGATTAGTATGGCAAGAAAAGCCAAAAACAATCGTTATGTTATGTAAAGTGATGGAAAGCGGTAAACAAAAATGCTCACAATATTTTCCACTAAATCAAGGTGAAACGAAGAAATACGGAATGATCACTGTTAAGAACGTTCGAAAAACTTCATCACCTTCCGAAAAAGTTCGATAATTTCAACTTCAAAATCATATTCATATCAAAATCATATTCATAAATCATTATCATATTTATCTAAAATCATATTCATACTTCTACTAAAATTATAATTATGAGAATTTGCAAAGCATAATTATTCTTTACTACGACTATTTTTGTCATAGTATTAAATTACGACGAAAAAGATTGTTTTCAAAATCACTCCCAGAAATCTTCAATTCCAAGATTTGATTCGAAAAATATTACTGAAAAATTTATTAAGGTTTTTGAATCGATTGAAATGAATGTCAGCATAACGGGAAATACAGCAGTTGTATTAACGCTTTTCAAATGGTTAGATTGGCCAGGTAAAATAGGCAGTTTATTTTCCCATAAAATTTCATTCTGAAATATAAACTTTTGAAATTTAAATCTTGTAAATAATTTGTGGGGAAAGAAAAAACCTCAAAAAATAAACTAATTATGGAAACAAAAAAATTATTTCGAATTAGAATAGGTTGACACGATGTTATTCTCTAGCAATGTTATTCGCTAGCAACTTTAAATCCTTCAATCTTAAATCTGTAAATAGCTGAGGTGAATATTTCAGAATTATTTTTTTATCAAATAGCTGTCTATAATTTGTTTTTCCTTCAGGTAAAAGAATAATTTTAGATTTTGGTGTGCCAACATCTGGAATGGGAATGCTACGAATCCTACGTCAAATTCGTGATCAACCTCACAGTACAGCAATTATTCACTGTTCGGCAGGTGTTGGTAGAACGGGAACAATCGTTGCATGTGAGATTTGCTTGAAAATCCTTCTTGAAGGAAAAGATCTTAATGTAAGATTTATTATTTTGGTACTTAAAAATAATCTCACTAACAAAAATAATTTTTCAGCACAATTTCGATATAATTTTTAGAAGTAGCTAATTTATTGATTATCATGCTAAGATGATTTCTTTTTCTATTTTAGAAACGATACATAAACTATACATAATAATTCAAACTATACATAATAATCTTGCTTATTATCTTATTAAATTAACAATCATTCAGAAAAGATATGTGTTCCAAATTTTGTCACACTTTTCAATCTTTATTTCAGGTATTGGAAGTAATAAAAGAAATGCGAGGACAACGAGCTGGTGCTGTACAAACGGAAGGTCAATATGTATATCTTCATAGAACACTATGCGAGTATATAAATGCTAAAAAAATTGCTAAAGATAAAATCGCAGAATTCTTTACAGCTTACTTGGCTTATGCAAGTAGTTGTAAGGGAGAATAATTCTTTTCAAATGTTATTATTACTGAGAAAGATACTTAATTAATGGATACAACATTATCAGAAGCATTCCTTCACTATACTTCAACCATTCCAATGTTTCAATATCACATCCATTCATTAATTATCATATCATTGTATCATAAATAATTTCACAAAATACAAATTGAAACTTTGAATAATAAAACCTTGCATTATCTCATTGCTTATGCTAAATATACTAAATGATAACCAAAGCAAAATGTTTAATTTCATTTAATTACAAATGATAAAATGATTCAAATCTTAGTTGATATTTTCGGAATAACGAAATGACATTAAATCTAAACAATTACGATAATATAAATTAAATTTGACAAGTAAACAGCTTTATATCGCTGTCTGAATAAATAATAAATATAATTTCTATATCAAAAATTTCATAATTTCATCTTATTGTTTTGTATTCGTTTCTTAACTAAACTATTCAAAATTAAATAAATATTTGATACGAAATGTTTTTTGAAAATAATTACGAAATATTTAATTGAAAACAAAAACAAAATAATAAGATGATATGTGTAAACAAATTTATTGAATAATACCCCGTATTTTTCCGAATAAAATTATTTCGCAAAAACTAAGAAACGATCACTTCCATGGATGGGGCAGACCATTGAATTAATTAATATAGCAACAATAGTCATCATGTTTTTAATCAAAATATTTCGACCATAAATAATTATCTTTCGCATAATATACTATAAATATGACAACGAAATTATTTCGAAAAATAAAATTGAAAAATTTTAGAAATTTAAAATGTTTATGAAAAAACAAATTCATTCATTTAATTAATACTTATTTTTAAAAATTCGATATTTTGAAGTAAAATTTTAGCAGTAAATTTTTTCTCAGATACATATATATTTATGAAAATTGTGTTGGATAGATATTTTGGTTTGAAAGTATTGCGGTACAACCTCTTCATATGTATAATCTTTAATTAAAATATATGTACCTTTGTATTAAATAAGATTTGACTGGTTGACTGGTAGCACTTAATGTACTATCAACAGTATATCGTCTGCATAATTTCTGATGATTATTATCCAAAACCGGATCAATATTCATATCACTGTTGTGGTTTATATTTTTCTTTGCTGCAAAACGTGTAGAACGCGGTTGCATGGAACCTGTACGCCGATATCTGTCAAATAATAAAGTTTCATTTAACAGAGAATTAAAAAATTGAAGAGAATTTGAATCATTGAAATAAGCTATCAAAGATTTATTTCTTCTTAATCCTTTTATTATTATTTTTATGATATTTATAAGATTGACGAAATACGACAATCTTGTTCAATACGACAATTTTTATTATCTCCTACCTACTAAAATGAAGCAATGAAATAGCGGTGAAATTAATTATACCTTGAAGATCTCTTTCCTATAGTATTCTATATTTTAAATACATAAATAACAAACCTTGTCATAATTTTTGAAACACAACTATGTGTCACTCCAATAATACGAGCAATATGGCTTACTCTATGACCCTTTTCGTAGAGTTGTAAAATTTTTTGTCTTTCTTCCATTGCAAGCGGTCGACCAGGATTGTATTGTCGTCCAAGTTTATTTTTAGCTTAAAAGAATTCAAAAAAAAAAATTGAGCTTACTTTGCAGTAGTTTTTACATGAAAGAAAGTATTAATAGAGAATTGCACTTAATAAAATAGCGTTAGTTATTTATAAGTTACTAGTTGTAGGAACTATGATAGAACGAGTAAAAGTCGTAAACGCAGAATTAAAATGCTCAACACTCACATAACTCTGTTCCCATTATTTTTTAATACGTTGTGGCCAAATCGTGATAAAACATGATATACTTATGATTTGTGAAAAAAAGATTATGATATGCTTATGATATGCTATGACATGTAATATGTTCTCGTGATATGCTTGCAATATGTTTATGATAATTGAATGCTAATGAAGCGATCACAATTAATTCATGATATGCTTATGATATTCAAAAAATCATAATATGTTTATGATTTATGAAAAGAATTGAAAATTGTCAAAAAAGTTGGCAACATACAGAAGGATGCAGCATGCGACGGAGTAGTCGCAATTAATTTACAAGGACTTATAGATCCTTGTATTTCTTTTTTCTTCATGCTTTCCTGTTGTCGTGAAGAATTTATGATATATGAAGTTGGTGGCAAAGTATATGGCAATATATACCGTTGCACTTCTGTTGGAACAATGCACGATAGAGCTGGCTTGAAGTAGTAAGCACTGCAAGCTAATGCTGGCATGAAGTAATAAGCATTGTTATATTCCTGAAATAATAATACATATATTTTTTGAAATTCTTTCAATTATCATCTTATCGAGTAATGGTTAAATCTAAAGTCATTCCTATTAGGCTTCATTTTACACAGTTGTCGTCTGTCTTGACTTTTTTGCGTAATATTAGCAATGGCAATTGATTCATTCAATAAAATGATCAATTTGAATAAATGGAATTACGTGAATTACGTGTAAGTCATATTTTTATAATTATAATAAATAAGAAGAAAAGTGAAGTTGAAAATTCGAGTAAAAACTTTTCTCTCACATTTAGCAATTTTTCCGATCTATTATAATCTTTGATTAAAATTTAAAAAATTCAATCATTTTCGATCTGTCTATACATGAAAACTTTTTTCATATAACTTCTAAACTTTATAACGAATAATAAAATATTTGAATAGTAAATACATAAATATGCTCAAATGGTCCTTATGCGCTTTTAGCTTTTATTAATAATTATAAACAGTATATTATATTTTCTATCCTATTACTATTATCAATAGGATTATTACGATTGTTCGATTAATTAGCACAACGCTTTTTTCGGTATCATCTGAACTGTAGAAATTTTCGAAAGAAATTCATAATATTAGCTATCATTTATTTTTATTTAACCATTTCGTGTTTTTCGACCAGCTGATCTTAGTCAAATTTGTTATTCCGAAATTTGCATTATTGTATGCTCGTATTATTTAACTGTTATCATCCCGTATTGCAAGAAATGTAAGAATTTTGCGAAAGTTGATATCATTAATATCATATTAATATTATAAAATCAGCTTATAGATTTTATCAATTTTTACCGCTTTAAGTTATTTTAGAATATTACGTTGTAGGAATGAAAATTTTAAAGTTGAATGTCCAGTTTTGATTCTATTCAAGATACTATTGAAAATATTTGAAGAGATCGCGGTAGATGCTTTTTTCAAACATCATTTTTTGATGAACGCCAACGTTCCACTTCTATCGCTTGTTAAAAATCTCGTCAGATAGATATCTTCTCGTTACACTTATTTTCAGATTCATGTTTCCATTCGTAGTAATCTTTGATGAATTTCTGATTTATTGAAAATAGTCAAATATCCATCTTTCATTCTTTCGTTGGCAACTAATTTTTTCCGCAAAAGAAGTAAATTGAAATGTTTGTTAATTCTACCAGCTGACCAGTTCATTGAATGAATTCCATCGAAATAGAATTACTGTTATCAGCAAGATATTTAAAGGAGATAAAAATCAAATGCATTGTTCTGCTTAATTTGTATTTATTTGTGATAAAAGAATGTTATCTGTGGTAATGATAATGATAGATGGCAAATGTTTCTTATGGATAGTAGCATGAAAATAAATACGACGATGTAAACTTAACCGAATATCTAACTTTTACAAGAAAAATTTTACCTCCTTCTTATTTACAAAACCGCTCAGAAATCACAAAGACATACTTTACTGCTTTACCAATCAAGTAATTGATATAAAATTTGATATAGCAATACTGAAGTATAAACGTGTGTTGTATACATCGCGCTGTATCAAATATGCAACTATTTTTACTATCAATTACAAGTTATTTTATCATTTGGCAAGGTATGATGCTTCTGAAGATAATAATAGTAGTTATAACTAAGTAAAATAGTGGTTATTATGATTTAGCAGTTAACTTAGTTGAATTCCATCTAGAGAAAAGATTTTCGAAATTTTGAAAAGTTTTCAACCCAGAGATTTTTGATAGAGAAATGTAGACGATACTTGAACACTTCCTTACAACAAATGTCATTACTTCGTGAAAAAAAATGCCAAGAAAAGAGTTGATAGTATGAAGTATGTATGAAAAGTATGAAGATGAAGATGAGTAGATAATATTGCAAAAGCTCAGGTTTCAACATATGCAGTAAAGCAGATATTACTGCACCGAAGTATATAACATTGTTACTTCCTTTGAGTTTTGTCTTAGGCAAAAACGAAGAAATATTGAACATTCAATCGTAATATTAGCAAGAAAAGCCAAACTTACCTTTGTTAATAGCAGGGAAGTGTAATCGACCTGCGTACTGTGAATTTGAATTTCGTGATTTAATGCTGCCGAAAATCCTACCATATTTTGCTCCAAAGCCATACTTCATATATATATATATGAAATCTATGAGTAAATTGTAGAATTAATATCATAAAACTAATCTCCAACTAGCTTATTAGAAAGAGTTATTAGATGTTGACAAAATCAGGTATGGTTTCTTACAATGTCATATCAAAGGATTCGTAAATTATTTTCAATAGAATTAATCGAATAAACAAAAAGCCAAAAATGGCCAATATCTTTAGTTTTATCAAAATGTTCGCCTATGTGCCGTAATTTTTTATGAAAATATTTTTGTTGCATCGATAAAAATGAAAATCTTTTCCTTCCACTTATTGAGATGACCTGTAACCCGAACAAAAGTTAATAGAAGAAATGCTAATTTTGGACATGTACCACCAACAGAAAGGATTTTCTAAAAAAGGAGATTAGGAGAATAACCTGTAAAGATATATATGATTGTGTATGTGTGTTCCATTGAGTGTATTTTTCACCTTCCTTTCATTTGTCTCTCTCAACCAGCTTATCATATCAAGTGTTTGGAGTAGAGAAGGACTGGAAGTTGTTTGTGAAAAACACGTCTGGGCAGATAAGGCGAAAGCTATCCAAAAATAGCTTACAAATCTACTTTTTGTTCATTTTCTTTCTTTTCTTTTTCTTCTTCTTTATAAATTCATTTTGTCATCTGCAAGCTGTCATCAAGCATAACCATTCACACTTTCCTAACAGCACGATATCGAAATTTAGTAATAGATGATATAACATAATGGAAGAGCTTTTTTGTCACTGTTAGCTTATGTTACAACTTCTCTCCGTTTTTCCTGCTATACGTCATGTGAAATTGATAACCGGATTGCAAACGCATGTGGACAAAATATTCATCATACCCTAAGGCAATAATTTTTCATATGAGCAAAATATTTGCCATACCCTAAGGGTGAACAATTCAGATAATTATTATTGTCGCACTTCTTGCGCTCAAAACGATGAATGGATTGATGAGATTGTTGCATTTGGGATAAAGAAAATGAAACGATGAATTCAATTAGCAAATATATCATCAAATGAATGAATATTGAACTTTGCCCTATTTCATACATACTTTCATTCACTATGTGAAATATCATCCATTTGTTGTTGTTGTTGTTGTTGTTGTTGTTATTGTCATATTATTTCATTTTTCTTTTTCATCTCTTAAATTACTAGCTTCCCTTTTTAGTGACAATAATAACATTTGACATTTAAATATTTGCGATAGCAACTTTTCCTATTTCTTCACTATCATTTATTTTTGCTATATCACAAATATAATTCGCATATTCCGCAATAATATTCATTACCATTTTATCGCATACTTCAACATTTTCTTTTTATTTCTTTTAATGCCAAACTTTTAATATCGAATATTCTACGGTAATATGTATGCATAGCATAAATTAAGCAAGAATAAGAAACGAAATTACAAAAGCATAGTAAGAAGATAGCAAAAACAAAATATTGCAAAAATGTTATCAAATCAGTTTAAGAAATCATAATTGGTCAATTATAACGATTATTATTTCTTATCGATAATAAACTATTTGGTTGTCAAATATTTTTCAAAATTAATTTTTACTTTTATCTTATAATTTCAATTTGAAAAAAAAATGGTCAATTTAATTTTAATAAAATTATACTAAATTAACTTCTTGGAATATCAAATAATTTCAGTATTAAAGATAAAATAGTAAAGAGAGAAATGTTCAAACAATTTGTATGAAAAGAGTAAAACAAAAAGGATTTCTTCTCTCATTTTATTTCCTTCCATAAATTACTACTTCCAATAAAACTATTCTATGGAAAAATTAAAATACAAATAGTTAAAAAACGGATAATTAATTTTTGATGAAACAATAAATTAACACAAATTTGCCATTACAAAAATTCAAATGAATTTCAAAATATTAAATTAATACATATTATATTAAATATTTTTTGCATTGCAACTAACCAGTAAAAATGAATTTTAATAACATTTTTTCATTCTTGTAAATATCATTCTTGTAAATTAATTAGTTCTTGCATCCTACGAATTTAAATTAATTAGTTTATACTACAATTATGTCTTTCATCCTACGAATTGAATATTTAAATGTAACGTTGAGGTTATGTCAATAATGGTCACTCAAACAAACAGCTATGCAATATAATCAACTAATTTACGATTTGTAGTAGTAAAATTAAACCTTTTATTAATTTAATAATGAATTACATGTTTGAAAATCTTATAGAATCTTTCTTAGACGTTGTTATTTGATAGGTGAAATTAAAACAAATGATTTTCATTAAGTTAATTTTTATAATTTTAATGAATGTAAATTTTTTTTTTCTTTAAAATACATATCAACAGATTTATCATTAAATTATATCATTCAGATAGTTTAAGCCGAATAATTTCGCTATATACCTGATGATTTCTTCAAGTGTGACAAAACGAGACAAATAAACATTGAGCATTTCTCAAAAATATCATTTTATCGGACAGCAGAAGGTTCACTCGAACTTTCTACCACTACTTCATCTTCATCAGCTGCTATACTGTCTACAATACGTGATAGTCGTTCTAAGGAGCTTTTCTTCCCCGTTGCTTTCCCTGAAATTTCGTAATATTTTTTATAAACTTTTTACCAAACTATGATTTTTTTTCAAATTTGAATAAGCTTAGATATTTTACAATTAAATAATAAAATATAATATAAAATATTAAATATGATAGATGGAAAGTATTTTAGATTAAAATGCTTTCTCATCTTTAATAAACTAATAAAACGAAATATTTTAAAATATGTTTTCAAATCATTGAAAAATAAAGTTGGCACGAATATGAGATCTATCCCCGTGACACACTAAAGATCTATTTAAAGAGAAACTTTAGGTCAGGTTGAAACAACTGACGCATATTACACTGCTGCTATTGCATATTGTCTTCTTTCTAACTTCATTTCAACTAATACACACAAAAATTCAACTATTATTCTAAATTTCTAAAAATCTAACATTCTTTTCTTTTCTCTAGCCTATTCTTTTACTTCTCTCTTGACCTCTATATTTCAACTTTATCCTGCGCCTCATTAATTTCAAAAGAACTCATTACCGCCTTTTCTCTATAATGATCTCGTTTAAAGCTTCTTTCAAAGCATCTCTTTAAGAAATGAAATAGACTGATGAATTAATGAGCAACTAGAGAAGAAATGGGATAGATAAATGAGAGAGACGTCAATCATTGAAGGCTTTAATCTTTCAAGGTGACTGACACCAGCTACAGTACACCAAATGAGCTAATTTCTAAAACTTCAGAAATTGAAATTGTTGAAATTTTACTTTAAAATAATTTTGAATAGAAACGAAAAAAGAAAACAATTCTCTTTCTCTATTCTATTCGTGATCGTTTAGGAATAAAATCCTTTCTTTGATTTTCACATTTAAAAGATATGAGCGCTAGCTATTACGCTATCACTGAATTTCAGTGGTAGTAAATTTACACCATAGCCGAAATCAAATTAAATGTAAATGAGTGATTACTATATTGGAAATGTTGACGTAACTCTAAGGAATAATTATGAATAAAATCTGATTATTTCAGAAAATATGATAAATTCGTGATAAAAGTATAATAAATTCAAAGTATGATAAATTCAAAATTTTTACATTCAAATTTTTAATTATCGTTTTTTTTAATATATACGCAATTAATTGCAAAATAAAGATAAGCTCAAGCAATACTTCGTTATGCGCAATATATGCTAATAGAATATTTTCGACTTTTAAAATTATGAAAAATTAAGGAAGAGATATGCTCCGAATATTTTGCTGATTGGCAATTTTTATGCAATTACTGTAAAAAAGAAGCAGGAATTACTGTAAAATTTTTTTGCGATGAATTACTGTAAAGAAAAAGAAGCAGAAAGAAATTTGTCGTAATTACGAACAGATAATAATATTTCTCTCTGATAATATATCCATAAATGAAAATTTGAAATTTTTAATTTCAGAAAATTCGAGGGATAATACGTGAGAACATTCTTATGGTAATATAAAATAGAATGTCATTACTAAGATTTGAAAATATGATTGCATATTGCATTAGAAGTTAAGGATAACCGTAATATTTTGAAAATCAGCCAAGTACCAAAAAGTATTGAGATAATTTTATCACTGTAAAAGACTAGAAAAATAAGTTAGTGATGCTGAGAAATAGAATAGGTAAGAATTCGAGAGTGTGAAAATACCAGTAACTAAAATTAATCCGGAACCATAAAATTTTAATTTAAAGCTAATCCGGAACTATAAAATATTAATTCTAAAGCTTATCCGAATTTATTTTCTTCCTTTTAAATTTTTAAGTAATTTCAAAATGCAAAACAATGTTTTATTATCTCTTGCAGCAGATTCAAATCTGATTCGTGATAAAATAATTCTCAAATTAAAGTCTGAAACTTTTATAACTCATGGTTTTGTTTTCAATTACTGAATCTGACTTGCTTCATGAGGGTTTTCGCCGGTGCTTACACTTCCGAAATCTTCATTCTCTTCCGTAAATGTTCCTATTTTTCTGTCGTAATAAGCTGCCGTTGAACCATTGCTAGGTGTATTATGCACAGACTGTAATTAAACATGAATTTCCTTTAATCATTTTCAAAATAAAAAACTAATTACAAACATTCTTAAGGTAAAATAATTTATTTGAGTTTCAGTTAAATTGTTTACTGATTTTATTTCAAAACATAAACCACAATTCAACTAATAAGTGCAAAATGACTGTCAAAAATGGAATAAGGAAATGATTTTAATTAAAAATTAATTAGGCTATTTCTTTGAAATTTGTTAAAAGCCGATATGCTAGCAATTATCGTTGATAATTAATATTATGCATACGATATCGAAAACATTTCAAAATTTTTTCTAATTTTTGATTTTGAAATAAACTTTTCTTATCTCCTATTAACGAAATTTTTATATAATGAATTGAAAAAAAAATGAGGAAAAATTTTTCTCAGCGTATCGGACAGATATCTCAGCAAATAAATCACCGATATATGACATTCACAGCTGCTACATTGCAGTAATAAATCTTTCAATGATGATATTTGCATATATGAAAAAAAACCAAATTTTTACAGTAGCTGATTATTTTGATTTTTGACTTTTCATTACTGATTAAGTTTACCTGTTGATTAAAAACAAATGGAGTAAGATAATTAAATAAATGATGTTATATTGAAATCAATGAAATTTAATGTAGAAATGTCTTTAAGTGTTTGAATCATTTAATGATAGAAATCAAGCAGTAAAACTTAAAAGTAAATTTTTGTATTTAAAGAAGCCTTGTCCTTAAAAGCACTTCTTAGAAAGAGATGGATTTCCTTTTTCTAATAAAGTTGTGCAGATTTTTTCTAGAATGTCGAATTTTTTCACTTTATGGATCGGAGTTTCGATGGCTTCTACCAGCGGTATGCCTAGGCTCAATTAATAACTCGGAAAACCTTATCAGGATAGCGCTTTTTCGATTACACCGAAAAATCATTAATTCTTAATCCGTTTCTGGATTAATTTCTGAATTTCATTGTTGCATAAATGTGTATAAGTTTTTTTTTCGTCATCTTAATAAGTTAATTAAGACTTTATATTTGGTTTTTGTAAATAGTATTGTTTCTGAATTTTCAGCACTTTGTCAGCGATACATTATTCTTATGATAGCTCTCTTTTCAACCATTTTAGAAAAAATAAAATAAATGAACAAAAATTGAAATTAAACTGACGACATAATCCTGTCCATCGTTATCCGGCAAGTGAATTCCTTGATTAGCAGCCATAATTTTCGTCATTTTTCCCTGACTTTGTAGCATATTTTCTAGTTTTGTAATATATTCAATAGCGCTTCTTAGGATTTCAACCTAAAGTCGAAAAGTTTTGGAATTTGTTTTCAAAGAATTTGTAAAAATTGCTGAGTTGGATGATTGTTTGTAATTTTATTTAAGAAGTTATGAAAATTTTTAATATTTAGCAGAGTTATTTTAAAAGTTATTATTTTTAAAAAAATTTTGTTGACAGATTTTGTAACAAAAGAAGACAGATAAACCTTTGGTAATCTTTGATTTGGATTAGGACATGTCCTTTGTTTAACCACTTCAAATGCTTCGTTTACTTTACGCAATCGTCGCCTTTCGCGCATTGTTGCTGCTTTCCTTCTGTCCACTATAACTTTGAACTATTAATAATATAATTCTAATAGTTGTTTGTTCTAAAAGAAGTAAGCGAATAGATAAACAAATAAGGTGGTAATAAAAAGGAGATAGTAAAATTCAATAATAAATAAATTGCTCGAATGCTGTTTTACAGATATCATTCGGTAGAAATTTGAAAATTTGACCGGAAGATTGTTAAGTGATGTTTTGAATAATCTTACGAAACTTACGTCTTCGTGGAACCTGTGTAGCTTCAGCATGTTGTTGCACAACGGTTGAAGTATTAGCGACATCTGCATTTGTTTGGATTAATTCCGCATGCGCTTCTGGAATGTCATTGGTTGAACCACCCACTGCGGAAATCAATTCTGCTGCTAAAAAAATTCTATTTGTTTTCTCGTTTATTGAAATTTTGACACTGAGAAATTTTAGCACATATGCAGCATTCTTGTATTGCAAACTTAAACTTTCCTACAAATAATATATAGTACGAATCTGGAGAAGATAAACGGAATGGAAAAAACAAATTAATAAAATGACGTTTGTTAAACTATCAGATTATGTTACAAAATATTTGCATGAAAGGATAATGAGAAATAGTGATATCGCTATCACATCAATATTATCATTATATGATCAAAATGATATTGCACAGAGCGCTTCAAAAATAGTAATTCAATTATCCCTTGGAATTTATGCATGTTTTTGTAAAATTGCTATAACCTGATGAATTTAATTCATTGAAAAGAGCTCGTGGTTGATTTCCCATTTTAAATTAGATTTAATTTAAATGCTTGCTCAATGGAATTAGAAAGATCAACAGAATAGTAAACAACGTTCTGCGACAAATACTTACTAATGTACACATTCCATATTTTTCATAATAACAGTAAATTTTAAAGGCCACTAAAGCCATAAATAAATGTATTTGACTTCTTAAACAGAAGTCAAACTCTAATTTTTGAAAACGGCTATTTTTCTACCTTCAGTATTTTTTTTTAATGAAATATCAATTTGAAAGTCAAGAAAGACGGACTGTGCTCTTTAAGATCCTGTTCCTGCTTAATATCTTTTGCAATTTCTGGATCAGAACGAACTGATTTCGAGAAATCTGCATTGCTCCGATTTGTCGAAAATGGCGTTAAATCTGTAGCATAGAAGGATGTGGATCCGGTAGTGGGACCATAAGATGGATAGTAAGAAGGATATCTGCAAAGTAGGAAGTGAGATAAAATGAGAAAACATTGCCATAAAGAAAAATTTTCTTATTACAAATCAATGATTATGAAACAGTATTGTTTCGATGAGTTGTTCTAAAAGGCAATACATTCAAGTCTTTCAACAAAGTTGTCGAATCTAACGGTAGATCCGATTAATTTACATTTCTTGATAAAATCATATAATTAAATGAAAGAGCTATTCAATCACTTGTATGTGTGAACGATGAAACATATAATAGAAGGGTTTGATATGATTGTGATCGTGATATTCTTATATCTGTTGAAGGATTAAAATATTTCCGATTTCATATAGGATTACCTGTAGGGATCATAGGTGGAAAGGGCATGCGCGGATGAATATTCTCCAAGAGATGCTGCTTGCGGTGCAAAAGGTGTTAAAGTTGTAATATCTGGCGCTGCTGTTATTCTTGTTTGTGGTTGTGTGTAGCCGTACAATGGATCATATTGACACCCTTCTGGGTTCATCTATAATTATGAATAAGAGTAAAATTCTTGGCTCATCATTTTTAAATTTATATATATATATGCTTGCCCCTTTGTTCACTCGGTTTATTCACTCAGACATTTATCGAGAAAGCTGCTTCTCGAATTATTTTTATCTTTTATCTGGATAATTTCAAATTATTATTTCAGGAATTATTATTTCTTTTCAATTTAATATCAAGAAAGTAACTGAACTTTACTTTTCAACTGGAATGGCTTACAATATATAATTCTAAAAATTAATTAAGTTATAATTAAGGCATTTTTTACAAAGATATTTTGGTGTTAATATGTTATGCAAAATTAATAAGAAAAATACTTCGACTGTAGTAAAATAGTTGTGAAACTAACCAAAAAAGCGAAAATCGCTCAACATGGATATTTTCTCGAAGCGATTTCAATCTTCTTATTCAAAGGAGATTTCGTTTGAAAATTTCAACTTATTCATTAAATTGAATAGTTTAGTTACTCAGAGAGTGGTATGTATGTAATTAAAATGATGCTAAGCGTGAATGGTAAATGATTGAAGTTATTCATCATGGTACACTAAACGGATGTAAAGCTATTCCGGACGTTTAATTCGAGAATGTTAGTGAACTAGATTGGCAGATAAGCTTAAGCTAACTAGACTGAACTAAAACTAAAACTGAAACTTATATTAAAAATAAGCCAGTTGGCGCGCCATCTGTGGTGGCAACAGGCGGGGACAGCTGTATCACCATGTTAAAACTCTAACTCTTTGGCCGAAGTTAGCACATATGTTCCATGGTCAATTATTGCCGAATTGTGCTTAAAGGCCAACTGTTGTGGCTGTAGTGACGGTGATAGTGATGGTGGTGGTGATAGTGTTGGCGGTAGCGGTTGGTTGGTGCTGACGTGTATGTATATGTTAAGCTTTAGTATAAAATAAAATAGCTGCATCATAGTAACAACGCTTTTATCAATATCATCATCATCCTCCTCAACAGCACTAACATCCATTCAGAAGACTTACCTTTCAAGCTTTTCCAACGATCTGGAGAAGCTAATGGCTATATACTCCGTGAACAGGTTCACTTCACTCTCACGAACAATTGGCGTAAAATTCGAGGTGACGAATAAGACAAGAAAGATGGTCCCGTTTCAACAGCTGCTACCTTCAGAAATAACAAAAACGTCCACTACCAACAACTGACTTTAGGCCAACTGTTCATTCTTGAAGGAAAGCGAAATATCCTAAGCTAATCTCTGGCTAACTTCCCTTAGCTAACTACTGTACTCCGCCCCTCCTCTTTAGCATAAACTTGATAAAATGTAACTAGAAGAGAAGCTAACAATCATTATGGATTATATGAAGTGAAGAGAAGTAAAGAAAGGTGGAGTTGCTCGGAAGTAAATTGTGAAATATCATAGGAGCTATATCAAATCAAGAACAGATACCCTCCTAAAATATTCAACCTCCCTTTATTGTTCCATAACATCAAATCATTCTACAAAAGATATTTTCCCCTTTTTTTTGTAAGACCGACTTTTGAGAATAATTTTACGACGATGGGTACAGATGGAACAAAATTTATAGCTTTGAAAAGAAATAATTCCAACTATTGATAAATTATTATCGTGTACAAAATCGTACAAGCAGACACGTAAATACGAAACATTGCTTAGAGGTCATTTTTCCAGAATTTGAATTGGAAAATTGCTAAACAGAGAGAAGAAGAAGAGAGAGAAAAGAAGAACAGGGAAATTTTTGAGACAATAATATTTTGTCTCACATTTTGTTTGATTCTTTGTGGCAGCTCTACGATTCACGAGTTGATCTGTAACTGTCAGATTCTTGCGAATTTATTTGTAGGGCTTTCTTATCAGAAGATTCGGGATGAACATTTCTTGTTCTATTGTTCGTTTAACTTTTCTTATAGAAGCTCTCTTTCATAAATATATCATTATCAATCATGAAAACTGTTGTAAATCACAAATTTAAATATCTTGAATTATTTAAAACTGAAAATGGACAATTTAGGCGAATAAAAGATCTAATAGAAATTAATTAAATTATCTCTATAGCATTAATCTCGACAGCCATAGTCAGGCCTAAGGTTTAGCAGCCTTATCATATTAAGCATGAAAAATGCAATTTTTTGGGAAAAGTTGTAGACATGTAAAATGCAACTTTCTTTTCAGCATTCCATAGGCTTCCACATTCGTGAAGTTTGCTTTCCTGAAATCATCTAATTAGCTAATATTCATAGATTGGTATTGTTTTTCCACTTTTTTTTTTTGGCATCGAAATTGTTGAAATTCTTTTTCGATATTTAATTATTCCTTGTTCGATTTCGAAAAATTTTCAATCATAAACATAAATCATTGCATCAACACGAAGCGAACTTAACGCTAGCAAAATTGTAGTAGCATGCAGCAGATTAACTATCGGATATTCGTAGTAAATGTTGATAGGTTGTGAGTGATATATGAGAGTGATATATGATAGTTCAGTCTCATCCATATTAATTAATGTTCGTACAATGATTTTAATTAATTAATTTTAAGTTTAATTAATTGCTTTTTCTTCAAAAAAAAATGTTTATTGCACACTTTTGTTTATTTTATACACATAAACTGATACCATAGCATTGATATTTGCTTTATTCTTTCTTTCCTTCTCCCTCTTTCTCTCTACCTATTTATTGCTTCTTTCTATCATTTAATTTTGGATTGAAATTTATAAGAAAACTTTTGAAAAGCATTTTTATATTTTTACAAGCATAAAGATTGCGATTCTTTAGTGATTTCCTGGGGCTTATAAGAAAATAGTTGCCTAATAGGATAATTCACCAACCAAAATTTTAACTTTTTAAGCAGCTAATTTTTAATTCATTCAATTCAAATAGCACTAAAAGTTTATATCAATTGTTTCTGTCAACTGTTGAACTCAATAGAAGCATTTATAAATTGGCTATTTGAGGTTATCTTAGAGAATGATAATGTTAGGTTCTTTTTGACCTTTCTGGTTCGCTCTTAAAATATGACAGTGAAAAAGAATAGAGCCGATTAAGTATTACAATTCATTGCGCTCAATGGTACCCTGGTACCGGAATGAGGCTTTTTTGTCGGCATATTAGATATCACTGAAGATTCATTCCTGTTCGTATTACGGTATATTAGCTGTTGAGCTTCTACTTCTGCTCTACAGCGGCACTTTTATCTCTTCAATTGATATGTGAGCTCAATTAGTTATTTGTAGCGATTGATTTCAAGTGAATATTAATCGATACAGGTGATAACTTATTGATACTAAAGTTATTTTTTATATCCTATAAGATTACATTCTTTTCAGGTTTCGTTTTTCATTAAGTTTTCACTATATTTAAAATTTCGATATAATTAACTAAAACATTTAATGTAAGCTTGAAAAATAAATAAATGTCTGTCATCAAATTGCAAAAGGTAAATTTTAATTAAGTTTTTCAGTTATCAAAAAATAAAAATCAAGATATATTACTTATTCACGATATATATAATTATATTATATATAATCAAGATATATCAAGATATATATAATTACATTACTTAAGATATATTACTTTATTACTTTGTTTTAGCATGGAATTTAAGATAAATTTAAGATTATCAATATCTTGAATTTTCTCATTTTAATCGATTTATCTCTATTTCGAGATTAATTTCATACAATAATCAATATCTTATCACTTATCATTTTTATTTTTTTTTATCAAACTATAAATTTCTGAAAAAATTTATTTACCGAATAAATTTTCAGCAAAAAATATATTAGCAATTTAAATTTCTTTATTTGAGTAATTAATATCATACGTGGTAGAATTGCATGAAATGAAATTTCACTAAACTATAATCAGATATATTGATAATTTCAAATAATTATTATCTTTTTGAAACGTTAGTAATATGTTAGCAAAAAAAATCTATGTCAAATATCATAATGCATTTTGGTTATTATAATTAGTGACAAATTATTGAATATTTGGTGACACTCTTTGTACCTTTTACTTCTTCACTGAAGGAAACATTATAGTTAACAATGAGAATAATAGTTAAAAGTACTATTAGAAGGTAAAATAAGAGCATCCAAAATCTTTTTTGTTGCAAAAGAAAGAAGGAAGCTACGAAGATTTAAACTTCTTAGTGGAAAAAAGTGGAAAATTATGGGAGCAGCTGAAAATGTCATTAATTTAAATGTATCGCTTGGTTTTATCACTTTCCTTATCAATGGATTGATAAGGATACTTTAATGAAAATCCTCTCCAAGTCATTCATTCATATCGATCTTTTTTAAATTGACCTCTGTCCTCAATCATTACTTATTTATATTATTATCTTATAAGTTGGAAATTTTCAATTAGAAAAAAAAATAGTTGAACTGTAATTTAAGCAAAGAAACACCTTTTGATATGTATTTCATTTATTTCTAAAAAAGATGGAAATAATTCAAAATGAGATTTTTGATTTTCAGTTTTGATTTTTCTTTCTGTTTTGAACTGATAAGACTTTACAAACTAAAAGAAATTGATCACTCATTATTTTCTGGAATTTAATAAAATAAAAGGATCATCATATTCAAGAATGAAATCTGAATATCTTTTTAAAGGAAAAAAAATTAAGTTATCCGTTTTTTTCTTTTAAATAAAACGTAGTGGAAAATTTGAAAAAAACTTCTTAGTTTATATTTGATTTCTAATTACAATAAGGTGAATAGATAGAAGTAAGGTGAATAGATGAAAGTAAGGTAAATAGATGGAAGTAACGTGAATAAGTAGAAGTAAGGTGAATAGATGGAAGTAAGGTGAATAGATGGAAGTAAGGTGAATAGATGAAAGTAACGTGAACAGATGAAAGTAACGTGAATAGGTGAAAGTAACGTGAATAAGTGAAAGTAACGTGAATGGATAGAAGTAACGTGAATAGATGGAAGTAAGGTGAATAGATGAAAATTTGCGCTTCAATTTATCAAAGCTTTAAGAAGTTAGAACGAATTAGTTAGCGTAACTGAATAATCATTTTCATTTCATAACATATTATTTTTTCAAAAATAAAAGATGTGTCTTAAATTTTTGTAGGAAAAATGACAAAGTTGCAGTTCAACGGTGTCTCATTAATGATTTATTTATGATTGAGTCGGAAAGTCAAGAAATCCGTTATTTATTTCAGGATCAGGATATCAGTAAAAAGCATATAAAGAACTAACGAAACTTGACTTATAGCAACAGAGACATAAGCACAATGAAATCTCACAACAACATTCATAAAATACATCTTAAATACTTCAAAATGTGCCATATTTCATTCCTGTTTTCCGAAATTCCATTCGGAAGACATACTGAACGCCAAAGAAATTACGAACGTGAAGTATCTTTTTGAATGATGACAAATATCTATTTTACATATATGATAGCTTAAAATTTGATTAAAGAGGTGGGCGCAAAATCATGATTTTGATGAAGAATGATATTTTTGATGTACTTCTTGCTGATAGAAATAAATCAAATATTAGGGAACAAGAGAGAATAGAATGAAGGAGACGAAATCAAATGGTTAATTGATTTCGACAAAATTCTCTTGCAACAGCAAAAAATAAGATTAATAAATAAACTCCATTAAACGATTCAAATTAGTTACAATCGCTATTATCACCGCTGTCACTCTTTACTATCACCACTATCGAGAAGTGATTTGGGTTTATCAACTTTTCGCCGCATTATTTCACTTCTTTTTCTAGTATTTTCAGATAAGGCATTTTATCGATCTTAACAGCATCATTTTTTTATATCATGTATGTATCCAGCAAACTTCCGTTCCTTTTCAAAAAATTTAGATCATATTTAGATTTCAATAAAAGCACTTGTGCATTATTTATCAGATTATCATTACAGGCTTTTTTTTTCCAAGCTCCTCCATATAATTTAACTGATAAGACTTCTCATAATTCATCAGATCCACAGTAATTAAATGTTACGCAAAATAATAATGCGAAACTCTTTCGCTATTTAAATGAACACTTCTGATCTGAAATGATGGATAACAATAAAGTTTGCAAACAACAAAGCAAGGAATTTAATTTCCAATTTCGAAAATTTACTAAAGCTTTGTTAGCCATATATCGCCTTGGGTAATATTGCATAAAACTGATTATTATTAAAACCAAATTGTGACACTGTGGTACCTTTTGATCGATCATACATTTCTTTTATTATCATTGCTGTCAAGCGATATGAATCCAATTTGAAACGAATCAAATTTGCAAATAACAATGTGAATAATTTAGACTAATTTCTAATCTATCAAAGGGCTTACTCAATACAGCAATGATTATAAATGCTTGCAATGCATGTATTGTGTTAAATATGAGTTAATATAACAGTATGAGTCTACTTAAAATAATACACCAATAACTGGAACAAATATTTTAACGGTGATGACTTAAATGTATTCTACGTCAAGTAAATCATATTTCCTCACAGCTTTTATGAAAACATTTCAGGATGACTATTATTAGCGTTATATTACCAAACCGTAGCTATCACACATTCTATGATTATGCTGAACTGTCGCAGTTACATCTTCTCTTTCCAATTTATTTCTTTGCAAATGCGACCTAATTCCGTAACAAACAACCATAAAAATGATTAGGAAAACTTGGGACTACATTCTAGAAAAGTAATGGATCAAATTACTCAATTACTAAAAAAACTTCTACGAAAGATACTGGTACTGGTCGACATGCCTTCTATTACGTATGTGTACGTGACCAAAGAACTTTAGATTGAAATATCTGAAGGACAAAATAAATATACAAAATTTTTTCAAGTGAAAAAATCGTAGGTTTTGAACACTAAATCCCACAACTATGTGGTTATTCCGATTACTGAATTTGTTAGTCACTGAATTGCTTACATGCTTCATGCAAATTCTGTATCTATGGTAGAAATTTTATTAAAAAAGAACACAAAATGATTTGTTGGTTGAAACTTACAGAAGATATGTTTAAGATATTCCGATAAAATTTACTGAATACTGAAAAAGTGTAATGACCGACTGTCAGAGATTAAGAATGATCAAAGTTATATAATTATATGAGAAGTTGTTGAGAAATTTACCGCCATTCATTTTACAATCTCTAAAAGTTTTAAATAGAAGTGCAAAAGTGAAAATGCCTTGTACCTTTTGCTGCTGTATTTTTTTGTTATCGAAATTTCTTTTAATAAATATATTAATTGATGTACTTTAAAATTAGATCCGTGAATCTTACTCGTAGAATCAAACACAATAAAATAATCGTCTTCTGATAAGCACACATGTTAAGTTTGACAAATGAAGAATAATGATAAGTTTATGGGATGAGAAAAATTCCCTGTGAAAAGAAGACGAAAGATACTGGTGCTAATCGACGTGTATCAATTCTTCAATTTAGTGTGATAAGTATATCAGTTCTTCAGATCGGTATGATGAGTGGGAAGATTTCTCTCAAAAATAATGATAAGTTCATGAGAAGATTTCTCATTCATCATATCGAATTGAAGAATGATGCAGATAGCTTGTCGTTTGCATAAATATTCATGTAAATTTTAGCAACTATAATATCAAAAATAATTTTGTATGGGATAGAAATTTATGTAACGAAGTAACAGAGATACAGCAATTCAATAAATATATTCAATTATTTATCAGATAAATAAATCGGTGAAGTTTTACAGAAATCAATTCATTATAACTGTCCTATTCCCCTTAATGATTCAACTTGGTGTAGCTAACTGACATAGCAAAAATATCCTGAAGTAAATTGGAATATAATTTTTTTAGTTAATTAACAAAGTCCTACTTAAAAAGGTCGTTATTTATTATTTTCTAAATAGACTAATCTCAACAACTAAACTATCCTTCTTTCCACAATACATTTGTATGGAGGTGGTGAGGTTGTCAGACCGAAGAGTCGTTTTGTTGAAGGATTCGGTTTGTTTGGCACGGTTCGAAAACGGTAATGCCTCATCAGGTTGGCATAAATCAGGAATAGCTCGGCTTTTGCTAATGATTCACCCAGACATTGTCGTTTACCGATGGAAAATGGAAAAAATGCATCATACCTAAAAATTAACTAAATTATTAATTAATCAAGTAAGTAAACAATTGATCATTTCATACGTACTATGTAATTCATCAGCAGATGCTTCGCTAAATATTCTTAATTGTTCTGATATCAAATTATCTTATATTACCATTGCCAAGAGTGTTCTTTACATTTTACGTGATTTTGATATATCATTATTTTGTAATTTCAATTATAAGGATTAAAAAAACTGAACAACTATTCTAAATTTTTGGTTGAAATAAACATTACTTTTTAAGAGTGAATCCATCATCTTCTAGAAAACGTTCTGGACGGAATTCCCTGGGTTTTTCAAAATTTATTGGATCATTCATTGCTATGGAAATTTGTGGGATACAAAGTGTTCCAGCTGGATAGTAATATTTTCCCATAAAAACATTTTCCGCTACGGTTCGTAATAAATTGATGGGTAAAATATTAGCGAAACGTTGGATTTCCTGCAAGGTAAAAAAGTATTCGAAAGAATTCTACGGTTTCTCTTAATGGATCAGCGCAATATTAATCGATACATATTTCAGTTATTTTGATGTAAAACCTATCATGTTCTTTAATTAAGAAACTCTAAATTTCCTTTACCATAATTTGTTTCCTTTGTCGTACTCATATTCCACTGCTTAAAGTTCTTCTTTTTTAATATTTATTATATTCCATATTTTCAAATTGTCTAAACAAATTGTAAAGCTTATAAATATCGCTAACAAGCTTACATGAATGGTAGCCATTGTATATGAACATTTTGGTTTATCAGCAAGAGTAATTCGACTTCCAATTTCATCCAATTCATTTTGAACTTTCGTTTGTACATCAGGATGAATTATTGAAAGAAGGAATCCCCATTTTAATGTTGTCACTGTTGTTTCCATTCCAGCAAAAAATAAATCCAATAGTAGCATTGTTAACTGCCATTCGCTGCAAATTAAAAAATGCAACAAATAATTACCCTTCAGGTGACAAATAAGCGAAGATGATTCAAACAGCTTTAATGAACTCATTTATAATATAGTAAGCAAATCAACAATCAATAATAAACTACCACATACATAAAATGACTCGTTTTAATGGAATTAATTTTTCAAATTAATTTCAACTCTTTCAAAACCAAATTTAGACAGTTGTAGGAAGAAGAGTAAAATTATCTGAAGAAAATTATTGCTCGACTGAAATGCTCATTCTATTAAAAGAGAATTCAAATATTGAATTTAATACCTAAAATATTCAGTTGGCTCACCGGCCTTTTTTCTGCGATCTATTTCTGAAAGATACGCATATGTAAAATCTGTGATCTCTGGTTGTTCTTCGCTGTTGAATGTCTTCATGTGTACCTGAATCATTAAATGAATATTAATTGCTCGTGTGAAATGAATTAGCAACAATAACTAACAAAAGAAGTAGTAAAGAATAATACCAATTACACCTGCACTTCTCTGGAAATGAATTTCCACAGTTCATCTCGAAGATTCTTGAATTTTCTCCATTTATAATTCACAAGTGGTATCCTTGTAGTAAACGGTAATGATATATACAGACCCATCAAAGGATGCATTACCAATCGACAGTGGGAATCAAGTATTTTATGCAAAAAACTGAATTCCTCACTTCCCTGATAAAATATCTTTGATTAATTCAGATTCATTTATTGAGATTAAATAAAATTATTTCATATTTAGCATTAACGTTTCTAACGGTGCTTCATTACCTGTAAAAAACGATAACCAAATAGTATGTTATTGATAATATTGCCAACACAAACGGCATGCATTGCGCATATATCCGTTTCTTCCGCAGTACATTTCGCTTCCAAATAATCTGTGAAAATTTCAACTTCATTCATAATTCTCTCTTCTATCAACATCCTACCAACTCCAAAATCTCGTAATACTCGAAGTACAAAACGTCGTTGCTGCTTCCATTTATCACCATCAATTTGAATTATACCATTTGCACCACCTACAATCATTGATCAAAAATAAACCATCATCATTAAGATGTAAATAAAAATTAGGTGAGTGGTGAAGAAATTAAAACATTTTTTGTCGTTCTATTAAAAATTCAGTAACATAGATTTTGAGAAAAAGGGAGCATAAAAAGTGTTCGGAAAGAAATTATTACACTCATGTTATGTTCATAGTAAATTACAATTTGTGTTCGGTTTCCGGAAGATGAAAGTTTAAGAATAGAGAAATAAATTGTACTTATAAAGAAAAATTGTAAGACGAAATGAAAACTTCAAAAAGAAATGTACAATTTCTTTATTAATACCCATGAAGAAGTCGGTTGCGTAATTACGCCATCGATTACTGAACATTTCCGCATTACGTATAAAGTATTCGCGCATTGTTTCCACGTCCGTAACCATTACTAATGGTATCGGTCCAATCCAAAATGTGACCAAATTACCTAAATCGTAAAATTTCTTTCGTTTGCAAAACAAATAGTTGTCGTTTAATTAATCTCACTTGAATGAGTACTTTGAAGAATGTTGATTAAACATCACTTTACACTATGTATGTTTCGTTTATAAATTAAACACAACATAAATGAAACAGACGATTCTCTGTTCACTATTTCCAGTTTTTATCAAATAATGAAAGTGAATAAAAATACTATTAGGTTTATTTTGGATTGCATAAAATTAATTCAAAATTTGCATAATTAATCGAATATTTTTCACTTTAAACAATTTATCGACTTCGCTTTCATTAATTAGATTAATTAATAATATGTTGATGATCCTAAACTATAATAATCAAATAATCACATAACAGAAATCAACTGAGAATTTTCATTTAACAAAATTTCTATCGAAAACAGAATATCAAATATCTGAATAAAAACTGAAATAGCTCTCACCGTACTTCTGCTTCCACGTAAGGAACATATCGTCTATAGATTTATAAAAAATGAAATGAAGAATATTGCCAAAAAATAGCCATGGAGTTGGACCTGGTGGAAGAAATCGCCGTTTCCAATTTAAATCATAAAAAATGTATACAGCTGCCAATAACACCAATGATAATAGTGTTGGCTGAAAAAAGAAAATTCCATTGTTTTTTCATTTCAAAATATTTTTAATTTTAAAATTAGCAAAAAAGAACGAAAATTTTTGTGAAAATATTTCTATGTATAAAAACTTTCAAATATATCGAAAAAAAAAATGCCATTAGTTTATATGTATTAATATATATTATTAATGTTAATTAATTAATTTATATTATTAATATGTATTAATATATATTAATTAGTTCACATTAACTTTTATTAAAATTAATAAACATACCAAATGATTAAATGAGATCCATATTTTAGGACGTAAAACTGAACAAATCGCTATCGTTATCATTCCAGATAATAAAATAAATTGCAAACTATACATCGTGAAACTATGATCAAATTGTAGACGTTGTTTATTAATTGTAATCTTCTGGAAGAACAACTACATGATGTAATGTTTATATCACATATCTTAAAGATTCTTATCAATTGATTTCTGTGGAATTTCGGAAAACTAAAATAAAGAAATAAGAAAGAGCAGGTGGAGAATATTAATAGCAACAACACCAACATAACAACACTGTATTTTGAATAGTCGATAGATATATGTCGTCCAATGACTAAGACAATCGAGGACAGCTCCCCCTACCACCTTTCTTTTCTTCTATTAGATATCTATCCTCTTGATCTCCATTATTTTTATATGATCATCATCCTTTATATATATATTTATTATAGATCATCCCACAAATATGCCATTTAAACAAACTCATTCATGTGAATGATCAACAATATGATATAAAGTTAGTTGACAGTAATAATTATATCTTATTACTCTTCATTAGTTGACAGTAATAATTATATCTTATTACTCTTCATTACAACTATTTCTTATTTTATTATAAAATATTATCATTAAAAAAATCGTATGAATTGAATGGAAGAAAGTTTAATATTAGAAAATTTCTTAAACATTATCTATTTGATAGTTAAATTTATAGTTATCTTTATTTTAAATAAAATTGAATATAAACAAATAAGGATGTAACACAATGATAGTTATATGTGCATTTCCCAATTATTCTCTCCTTCTTGCCAGCTAAAACCTGAATTTGATTGGAACATTCCACTAAAATATGGATTTGACTGGAACATCCTGCTAAAACCTGAATTTCACTGGAACATTCTAAAATCTAAATTTAATTGGAACATTCTGCTAAAATCTGAATTTCACCGATATATACGTATATTATATTGGAATATTCCGCTGATTAAAATTTCTGAATTACATTAAATGACTTATTAGTTGAATATATGTAATATTCCAAAATGTTTCTCTATTATACATTTCTGAATTCTCTTTCTAGGAATGGTAACATTTTAGATTTAAACTTGAAAAGATTATTATTAACTCTCATATTTTATGATTTAAGGTATTAGTTGCCCTATCAAATGTCCTATTCATACTACTATTATTATTATAGAAAAATAAATTTACCGCTGTTGTAACTTACTTTAGCATTTGTTAATTATTTTAAAAATAATTACGAAAAAATTTTAGCTTTTAAAAAATGAGAAAAAAATGAAATGAAAAAATTGTACTGATAAAAGAGATTTTTATTTCGGCACTGTTCGTTTCTCTCTCTCTCTTTCTCTCTCTCTCTCTCTCTCTCTCTTCATTCTTCCCGAGTATTTTGTCTGAGAAAAAACGAACGGAGAGTGATAATTTCATTGTTATAAACATTATCATACGATTATGTTGTTAAGAATTTATTTTATAAAACAGTGGAAATAGCATACTGTACTCAGTTTTAGTGTCAAAATTTCTGCCAAAATTGACAATACAGTATTCAAGTATCTTTAAAGATACTTATCAGTAATCAAGATGATAAACGATTTTTAAATGGAGAGTTCTGATATTTATAAATTTAACTGAAATCCTATCTTCAAGATTCATTTCAGATTTTTGGTTAATGTAAAAGATGAATTTTAGTCTAACATCAATTTAGACTTTAAAAGAAATTTTATATGGAAATAGCATAAGCAAAGTGTTCAATATATCATCATATGCTTCCTCACTTTAAAAGCTAAGCAAAAGAAATATTATTATCAAATTAATTTCAGTCTTTTTTCCTAATATGATGAATTCACGCTCTCTTCTAAACTTATTTTAATTTTCCCTTATTTTCTGATCCTCTTCCCTAGGATATTTGTCGTATCGAAATTTCAAATTTATCTCAGTGAGAAAACGGAAACTTTTAAGTGATACTGATAAACTATAAAGGATAATAGATTTGGTGAGAGATTGAGAAAGCATGTAAATGGTAATGTTGCAATGATTGAGAGAGATGAAAAAGAGATAATGTTTTAAAGGAAATTAGAGAAGATCGTAATAATGGAGAAAAGAGATACAAAGATAACTATATATTTGCTGTATGAATGAAGAGAAAAGAGCAAGCAATTCCGAATTCGTTGTTCATTCCACTGTTTCTTTTTCCTTCGGTATCGGGGCATTAATTTGTGTGATAGTTGAAAATTAACAAGTTTTCTGACAAGAGGGAGAAGGAAGTTTGCAATTAGTTTTTTGATACGTCGATGAAAAATAGTTTTAGCTTACTTCCGGGATGTGCCATATATGATAATATCAGTGGCTTACATTTGATTTATTTTCATCATTTTTCATCATATTCAGGTTTTCCATCCTTTACATCTTCTACCTTCGGTAGTTAGGCCTTCATCCTTCGGATGAATTATGTTTTATTATTGTATTATCACTGTTGACTAAATCAATGTCAAGTGCAGAAAGTTTGTCGGATAGCGAAGGGTTGGAAAAATTCTATGAATTATTAATTGAAGCATCACAAAAGGTACAAGAATTGCAGCTGAAAGATAGAGGCAGTAAGTATTCACTTTCATTTTTCTTCTTACATTTTAATTTTAATATATTTTTACCATCAAGTCCAAAGCGTGCTTTATCAGATTTGAATTATTCAGAAAAATAACTACCGGAAAAGTCTTCATTCGGTAATTTGAATGTAGATTTCTTCAATTCTCAAAAAAGACCAAAAAAACTTTTGTCATTAAAAGAAAGCATTCTAACCATAATTGTATTATGGTTAGAATGCTTTCTTGGAGAGTCCTCCTTGGTAGTAGTTTTTATAGGCACATGTATGATACAAATTTAGTAGTAATATTGTTTGTTTTTGAGCTTTAGTAAAGTTGCAAAAATGACTTAATTCCTTACAGATACCAAGATTAATGCAGTGGAGGATGATAATGCACCCTATGTTCTTCCTGTAGTGCCTTATAAGGAACCGCTGAGGAAAAATCAAAAAAACGTGATTCATGTGATGAAACGTTTGCATTCCATGACTACAGCTGAAATGCAGAAGGAATTAAAAAAAGCACATATTGATTCTCGGTGAGTAGATAATGGTTTTTGACTTGCTAAATATCAGCTCTGGAAATTTTCGTTCGAAAAAAATTCCCAAAAAAAAGTTCAATATTTGCTGTTGTCGCAGATCTATCTGTCGGAGTACTTTCAGTTATAGAATTCATTGTTTTTTCAGTTATAGAATTGATAATCAGTACGATTATTTTGCATAATAATTGACTTTGTCTCATTTTTTTTTGGTCCGTTACTCATTGAAAATAATCGTACTATTCTAGTGGAAAACGAAGTGAGTTGTACAACAGGTTGAAGAAGTACTTTCGAAAAGAATTCGCAGTTATTAAAAGTGCAGAACCCCTACGAAATAAAACTGAAATATTTTATGATTATTTTGTGGTAAGCTAATCAATTTTTCTTCCTTTTGAAACGAATTTTCAAGTAATAGAGTTGAAATCAAAATTTTAAATCTTTTTATTGGACCAGAGCTAAGAGTTTATGTATATGAAGAAGTTATGTTTATGCTTGTTTCATATATTTGCATTTGAAAACACTATTTTACTATCACTTTATTGTACATATATTTTTGAGTTACATTTTGAAAAGGCGAATAACTATTGACGGTTCCTCGCAGGTGATAGATTTCGAATGTACATGTGAAGCTGATCTCTACGATTATAACCATGAAATTATCGAATTTCCAGCTATTCTCGTTGATGTACGGAAAAAAGAAATTGTAAGCACTACGACATACTACTTTACTTACTAATTTTAAGAGTTTCTAACCCACTTGCTCTACATTCTCAATTGTTACTTTTTCCCCTCAAAAATATCTTGTTAGGATTAGATCTTAGCTTAACTTAACAATATCGATTTAATTCGAATCGCTCCAATCTTCGTATTTTCATTTCTTCATATATATTTGACCACTTTCTTTTCACAAAATTATTGGAATGAAGTTACGGCAATTTACTGATTTCCCGCAGAGATGTATATTTTATTGTTGTAATTTCGAAGAACTGTTTTCCAGGTGGATATTTTCCATTCGTACGTACGACCAGTAGTGAATCCGCAACTTAGTGAATTTTGTTCTGCATTTACGGGTATCACCCAAGAAATGGTTGAAAAATCTTTACCATTCATTGATGTTTTGGATTCCTTCCGAGCCTGGATGCAGTTACATCGTTTAGGACAGAAAGACGTACGCTACGCTTTCGTAACTGACGGGTTTGTTCATGGCATACACCTTTTTAGTGGGGATTAAGAACCTGTGAATAGAGAATTGGAACACATATCGGTGATTAATCGCCAGATTAGTACAGAGACTAATGCAATGACTCAACGATTCATACCACATTGACTTTGTTTTGCGTTTGTTCGTACTTTTGCTTACTGTCGTTATATTTGTAGGCCTTGGGACATCGCTAAGTTTTTTCAAATGCAGTGCATTCAGGTATTAGTATTTCTATATTGCAGCATATTTCTTATTAATAAATTTCAAATTTAAATAGTCTTGCTAAAGTTAATCCTATTTTGTATTTTGCAGAGTAAATTAAGTGCCGTTCCTCACGATTTTCGCTTTTACATCAACATTCGAAGATCGTTCGCAAATAAATACTGTAAAAGTAATGTCAATTAATTTCATTACTGTTTTCTTTAAATCAAGCCAACTTGACCTGAGACCCCAATGCAAAAGACAAATCGCTAATAAATAATAAAATTTCTAGAACATTCGACGCAAAAGATTAATCTAGTCGGGATGCTGACATCCCTCAATATGAAATTCGAAGGTCGCCAACATTGTGGACTCGATGACTCTAAAAATATTGCAAGAATTGTTATAAAAATGTTGGAAGATAGATCTGAGCTAAGGGTATGTCCTCCCTTTCTTTCGTTTGTTAGTATACTCTTTTTTTTTTTGATGAATTAAGAATGGTAATACTTTTGCCATTCCTCTCGAGTATATGCTAATTTCGGAAAATTCGATATTTAATCCAAAAAAAATATTTTTTTCAGTGACAAGTAAAAATGTTTCCAGGTTAACGAGAAGCTTGTCTGGGCTAAGGAAGGTGAAAGAGTAAGTTTCTGGTCAAGCAATTGTTTTAAAGAAAAAGGATAGGATCTGAGAAAGAACTGGGGATTTAATCGCTATTATTGCGTATCGAAAATGTTGATAATTGGATTAATTTCCTTAATCATTATTATGCAAGTCAACTGACACAAGTTGTAGGCAAAAGTACTGCTATCAGACATGACTAAGGAAGATCGGGATCGACGAGTTTGGAGAGATAACCTGCCATACATAGTACAACAGATAAGCCGGGATTCATTTATCAGTGGTGAATATTTAGACTGTGACACATGCGATGAGGGCGACTGAAGTTATATATCGTTTCCGCTTTATTCTCAAATTGAAAATACCCTTTCGTCTTCTAGAACACTCAACAATCTCGATTCTTGTTCACAGAAATTTTGAATTTAAAATTTAGTACTGCAGGATACGATCATATAGAAACAATAGTTTCTTATAGCTTTAAGATATATGGAAACACATGAGCATCGAATGAAAAAGGAAAAGGAATCTCATTTCGTCAATATTTAAGTTGCAACTTAAATTTCATTTTAATGGAAGACAGTTCCTGAACTAATTACATATCACAAAAAACAAGTTGGCTAGTGTAGGAATCACAAAAAACAGGTTTGGAAAGCAGGACTGACCTATAAAAAATAGCAAATTTGGCAAAGTGATCACTGAAAATATGAACACTCACAATATCATCGGAAGTCGAAATGTGTAATCTGGCGATGCAATCAATTATTTAATACCTTAGACACGCACACTAAAATTTTATAACTAACATTTTATACATCTAAAAGTCGGTAGCTCATTGTTAAATATTCTTTTTGTGCTATCCCTGTTACTATTCACAACATGAAATGTAGGCCCGATCTTGAAAGACATAATCCATACGTGACTCAACAAAGTCTTTCTGAAACATTTCTTAATACGAAAATAATTGATACTTCTTTTATTTTAATAAGCTCGTGCTCTAGTTCTGATAAATATTCTTTGAAACAGTTAGCATCTGTCATGTCAGAACAATAATTAGCTATTTATAGAAATTCAAAAGAAACGTACTGTCATAACAAACGAAATGCTTGAAAGCATAACGCAGCCATCAGCACCCATACAGGCAAGAAAACAATGCCATATGAAGACTGAACTGCAACCTGTCCATCTTCTAAGTCACCGTTCACTTTATAACACAACAACGCTTCAAATATCCCGATCATAACAAGTCTTAACCAGCTAAATGCATACCTGAAAGGAATTTCTCAAATATCTCTCAAACAGAATCATTTTTGAAAATATCAGAAATTTCTATTTTCCCAACAAATGTCAAAGAATACAACTTTTCGGTCAAACTGAATACAGCGATTTTAGGGTTGATTTCAATATGGCAAGACTTCTCCTTTCGAGCAATAATTTTTCAGTTTCAGTGCTCGTCTTTCCTACTAAGAATTCTCAACATATAGCTTAAGAAAAAGCAATCGGCTGTAGATAATTGAAAAACAAACAGTATGAAAAATACTTCAAAATAGGATCCTTGCATTGTTTCTCTTCTACCACTGCTCGTACAAGGACGATAAACAAGAAATACAAGTTGAATGCAGTGACAATAAACAACGGTGCAAACACATGCCAATAGGTCAGATTCGAGTAAACTTCAGTTTTCATCACCTTCAAATTATATAATCTTAAAATACTGCGAAGCATTATGGAAAGTAAGAGGTGCTAGCAAAAGGTCCTGATATACGGATCAATCGAAAATTTTATCGACATCACTTGTAATGCAGTAGATCTAGCCGTTTTAGCTTGATTGCTTTACTCACAACTAATATTTAATTTAATTTCACATGGGATGAAAACACCCCTTATCCATATTTTTTGAATATATAATTTAAGGAATATTGATAAACACTTACGATAAGAACAGAAAAAATAAGTAATCCAACGGCATGTAACCAAATTTCGAAAATCGTAATACCCGTCCATTGTATGCATTCACTTATGGAAAGCATAAAAGGATTTATGAAGTTGAGAAGGCAATCCTTCCTGACTGCTTCTCAGATAATATCGTCCTTGAGGCAATGCTGATAGGTAACATCTATTAGAAGAAAAAAATAGAATACACACATATCCATACATCTGGAGGAAATATTAGATTGAAAGCGGAGCGAAAAGTAATTTCATATGAATTTATCAAACCTAATATCAAGTGTCACTAGTCTGAGAGATCGCAATGGATATCTTAACGTCTGAAAGACTGAGGAAATGACTTCAAAGTGCCGCATCAGGCAATCCAGAAGAATTCCCAATCGTCCTATCCTTGAACAAGTTGCGATAGTTGAGATTGATGAAAGGCAAGAGAGATTGAAATGCGGAAAGAGAGGGGAAGAGATAGAGAGAGATGGAGGAAGGTATTTTGGACTTTGAATTTTTGTTGTATTAAATGGAATTGTGTATACAGGAAGTGGTACATCGTGTAGTAATGGACTTTAAACCCTGTCTGGTGCATTCACTTCCTTACGACAAAGATGTAATTTCTTTTTTCATTCTCTTACAATACTTGTTTACACCGTATACAATCTAATTTATCTCCTTAATTAGAAGCTGTTTTCGGAAGTATTTTTGAAATTTTAATATATCACTTAGTTGATAAAATGTTTTTTAGCTAGCTGTCTCTCTTTTTGTCTCCAATCTAAATGAAAAGTGATTTCATGGAATTGAAATTTATAAAAAAAAGAATAACTTTTTTTCAATCCAAAAAATATGATAGGTATTTTAATTAAAAGAAGGTAAAATTTTGAAATTGAAATGAAGATGTAAAATTTTGAAAATTTCCAAGTATAATTTTGAAGATTTCGGTTGCATTGCAATATGTATTTTAGTGTTAACGAAAGCGATGCGAGCATTGGTAGCTGTTAAAAGAGTGATCGATTATGCAATAAAAATAAGAGTAAAACCAGACAAAACAGGTGTAATCAAAGAGAATGTGCAGCATTCGATGAATCCTTTCGATGAAATTGCCTTAGAAGAAGCAGTACGCTTGAAAGAAAAGCAAATTGTTAAAGAAGTTGTAGCTGTATCACTTGGACCCTCGAAATCACAGGTTTATTTTCGCTTTTTGTTATTTTATTGAGATTTTAAAGATCTAAAATTACCTAATGTGAAAATTTACAATTCTATAAATTTTCATTTTTAATTTCTAAGAGAAAGCTTTTAAGTTTTTTGCTTTCTCGTTCAACTAGCACTGTTTATTACTTGAGCATTTGATGATATCATGCGGTTGTAGAAAGGAAAACTATACAAAACTTGTCGTGCTCAGCTTTCTGCTTGAATTCCGAATAAGTAAAAAATCTTTCAGGAAACATTGCGTACGGCATTAGCGAAAGGTGCGGATAGAGCCATACATGTTGAAGTGGAAGAAGCCATTGCTGAAAAGATTGAACCGTTGCTTGTCGCCAAAGTTAATAAATTTTTAATTGTGGAAGAAGAAGAAAAAGGAAGTCGGATTATGTGAACAAAAAGTTCTAAAGATATTGGCATCGAAATTAATGAGAAAGTTATGCAACTCAATTTCCAAAAGAATTATTGAAAGAGAATAAAGAGGAAAAAGAAAAGCCAGTATTTAAATCTTATTCAACAGAAGTTTAGAGCTTCAATCAGAAATTTAGAAATAGTGAGTAATTGCTAATTATGATTTAGATACTAAAAAGGATAGCTGAGACTGAAAAGCCAGATTTAATATTCCTTGGGAAGCAAGCAATCGATGATGATTACGGACAGACAGCTCAGCTTCTTGCTGGTCTATTAAGCTGGCCCCAAGCAATGTATGCTAGCGTGATTGAACAGGAAAGTGATAAGACATTCATTGTTACACGGTGAGTTTGGTATTTATTTAATTATTTACTAATCTATAACTAATTTTTAAGTTCATATTCTTTTGATGATGCATTACATGAAATAAAGGAAAATTAAAAGGTTACTTTTAATTTCTTGAACCACTCATCTTTGAAGATAAATTCGGGTCTTTGCCTAATGTGCACGGGAAGCGCATGTAGCTTTATTTTTGATAATTTACTACTTCATAATTTGCTATTATTATTACACTTCATTGCTCAGAAATGTGATTTAAGCCACAGAATTCCCAAGGATATAAAAGAAGCATAGAGTATACATGCCTGCACAATCTTCGTTTTGAACATTTATCGTAGCATCATTCAACTAAAAAACGCGTTCATCTGGGATTTTTTTTTTCGTATTTCTTTCCACTGTATGATGTTCGTGGGTAAACTTTGAAATAAAAAATTGATATTGAGCAGCCAAGACGAATTTTCAATAACCATACAAATTCATTCCAAAATCCTAAAAATATCTATGTAGTGACAGTATCGAGTTGACAAGTAGAAGCAAGTCACCTACTACAGATAAGCTCAATTTATGTGTTTGTAATCACACTCAAAGTCAAGGCAATCTTCTTGTTCTCTTTCTATGCATTTTCGTGCAACAAATCACCTATAATTTCATGTTAAATTAAATATTTCAGAGAAGTAGATGGAGGTCGAGAATCGATAAGGATAAAAATACCAGCTGTGATAAGTGCTGATCTAAGATTGAACGAACCCAGATATGCTACGCTGCCAAATATTATGAAAGCAAAGAATAAGCCTTTAGAAAAGAAAAAACCGTCCGACTATGGGATTGAAATTGCGCAACAAACACAGATTCTTGAGGTTCTCTATTTTTCTAATCGGGAATTTTCTGTTTAAAGATTTCGTCTTTTAAATGAATTGATATAAAATTGTCAGAATTGCTAGTCTTTCTTTGATTTCTTTAGGTTACGGAACCTCCAGTACGAAAATTCGGCGTTTTCGTTGAAGATGTACCATCACTTGTTACGAAATTAAAGGAGATGGGCGTCGTCTGACTTTCTTGATCTATCTATCTGTATCTGTATGTGTATCTATCTTCCAAATATATGCGACTTGTTTGATTCATCTTAAATGCAGGCATTTATTTTTTAATAGATTAATAGTTGAAATGCAAGACGTTTTTGTAAAAGTCATTAATACTGTTTGTTCAAATTGTCGCTCAGTGATGATACAATTCGATATGGAAAAAGTGTACAGTGACCTAATAAAAGAGATTGAAAACGAAACACAAGATTGATTCATTGATAAAATGGTCAGTAATTATGTTCATCCCATGAAAGTTTACGTTCATTCAGGATTCCTAGATTATCCTGAGAAAAGAATTTATGCTGTTCATAGCTATATTTTTTTTCAGTAGGCTAAGAAATTAATAAAGTTGTAGAAAAAATATTTTAGTGAATTCGAAATTTCCACAATGTTAATTTGAACGAATTAAATCAACAATCACAAACATTTTCATAAGTTTAAGTTTAGATTTGGGGAATTTTTTAAAAATATTAATCAATAATCACAAAACATTTTCATAAGTTTAGATTTGGAGAATTTTTTAAATTCCTTTCCTCTTAAAATTTTGAATTGAAATGTACTTCTTTACGATGCTTTTTGATTAATATTTATTTGGAAATTAACTTCTGACAGTGCAAAAATTTTTTAGGAGTTTGTTTTCAAAATAAAGTACAAATAGAGTGACTACCTTAACTTTATTTGCGATCAGTGAATATGCATAATTTTATTCCAAATAATTTTTCATCTCAAATTTGAATGAGTAATTTACGCGTTTTATCTTGAATGCAAAAAAAGCTTCGACATGAAGGTTTTTACTGAAATGTAGACAAACATATCGACTCATGCAATATATCATGTATACAACACTATCAAAACGTTCTAAAACTATTCGCCAATCAGCTCCTTCAGCGCTATTACCTCATAACATTCTTGCTTTCATTAAGTTTCTACTGCATCACAATGCACCCTTCTACTTTCTCGCAGTCTGACCAAACAATTCATTTTGCCTATCGGATAAGAAATGCGACAGACTTTTTGCGATATGATTTTACTAAATTATAAAATGACATAGGTAATTTGCACGTCTAATTCATTTATTGCATTGGTTAACCCCCTAAATTTAGCATAACATTGTTTTTACATTTCCATAACATCAACCAATATTATCTTGCCAATAATTTATCGTTCTTTGATGCATTCCTTCATTCTATAGCTAATTCATTGGATCTTATAATTACTGAAGAAGTTCCACTTACACTCCAGTTATATTGTTTGTTGTGAAAGAAGATATCTTTTTCGTTAAATATTGGAAGTTGTAAATCTATCAAACTGATGTTACTCATATACACTATAATTTCTTCCACCGGATCTAGCAATTAAATGTTCCGGTGAATTTTTTTCAAAATACCGCTGTTATATCCTCTCTGACTTAACGATCATTATTGGCATATATATGATAACTGCATTTACAGTTTGCAAAAATGTTTACTTATTTATATTATTAATTCACTTGTTTGCTATTGGCTATGACTATTTCTCATACTTAATTATCAATTTTTTGCAAAATTTATTTATAAACCAATTAATAAACGATGCAGAAAGTCTTCAATCTAATTAACATAGCCAAATATAAACAATTGATACATTTTTTCAATTATGAGTTACATACATTGAGTACTGATTTCGAATTGATCCACAACTGCGCATTCTCATAAACATGACATAAGCAACCTTTTTGAGGCAAAAAACTTATCAAATGTTAACTCCGTTCGAATTATACTCAAACAAATGGAAAGTTAGTGATGGACGGTTCTTGAAATATGAAAAGTCATTCCAAAATAAAAAGAAATTCAAGTAATATTCAAAGGAATTTACATAGTATCTGAAATTTCATAATACAGATATTTCGCAGAAAAAAATGGGATCGAGGTGAAGTAAAATAATTAATTGGAAATATGCTAATATATAACTCGATGAAAAGATAACTAAAATGAGTATTATGGATATTAAGGATGCCGTTCTCAATGAGCATGATCAAATCAAAATATGGCCAACGATAAGAGACCATTGTTTGTTAATATGTTTTTTTTTTAAATCGCTGATAGTAATTACGTCATGATTTAAATCCATTTTTGTCAAAGATAGCAACCCGAGCTATTCACATTTGTTCCGCGACTTCTCGAGGAAACAATCAATCACAAGATCGGTTAACATCCCTGCATACCCCTTTACCTCCCATGGCCTTCCTTTTTAAAACCGAAACTTCAAAAACGCTTTGGAAGTTCGGTATTTAACGTTTTCATACTGCCATATAGGAGTAAAAGGCGCAAATATGATTACAAAGGAGACATTCTAATCAAATATGAGTAGAGTGCCTCCATTGTTTCAAAATGGATTACGTGAATGGATTTTGTAGAGTTTAGACGTACAAATTGGTTAAAATGAATTTAGAACGAATTAACTGAGATTAAGTAATAGAATGTGTAGAGAAGAGAAGGATAGAATAAGCGAGGAAGTGCAAAGATGATTAAGTTGTGTGTTGGAAGAAGATATGGCAGTTGAATAAAGATAGACTCGTTTTAGTGTAACAACACTAATAATAATTGCAGAAATGCGTATAAAACGTATTGAAATAGATGGCTTTAAATCATATGCCCAACGACAGATTATTGATGGTTTTGATGCACAGTTTAATGCAATCACAGGTTTAAACGGTTCAGGCAAATCAAATATTCTGGATGCTGTTTGTTTCGTTCTTGGCATTTCCAATTTAAGTCAGGTAACCGAATCGCAAATCTCTGTGAAATCATAGTTATTTGTAAATTTCCTTCCAGAATATAGGCGTGCATTGGCGCTAGAAAATATTTCATACTGGCTACCAAAAATCAAAAAATCCAATCACACTGATTGTGTAACCAGTTACTATATGATTAATGAACAAAAGATTGGTAAAACTTATTTTTCGTTATCAAGTTATATATTTTGATACATACGAAGATCCTCAATTCATATTGATATGTTGTTGCAGGTTCGTGCTGCACAGCTTTCGGATCTCGTTTATAAACAAGGTCAGGCTGGTATCAGCAAGGCTACAGTAACAATTACATTTGATAACACAGACATGTCTAATCGTCCTGTTGGCTTCGATAAATATGATGAAATTATTGTTCGGCGGCAGGTTCGTTTCAGAAAATGTTTAAATACACATCTTTCAATAGACATTAAAATTTTTAACTAAGCATTAAAATTCTAATTGTAGCAGTTTACAAACTTTTGATCCTTAATCGCTCGAAGGATTATCGTCGACGTACCGACTCCTCGACAACTCCGCAGTCAAATTTGCAAGGGGAAAATTATGTGTGAAAATTAAGAAATTTTTAGCATTTATTAATTAGTATTAGGAGGGTCGTTATTGATATTCAATAAATCAAAAGTCGATTTTATTTTTGTCTGCAGATTATCAGAGAATTATAGATTAAGCAGATCTTTATTGTTCAGATTTGTTTCTTGGAAGGGACATGGAATTTTAGTAGTAAAGTAACTAGATGTATAATTCTACTTGTAGCAGTATTCTGAATCTATTTGTTTCATAATCTTTCAATCATTCAAACTATTATGTCCTTTGCTTCCAAGCCTATCTTAAAATCCCAACATAAGCCATGGATGTATGGATGTCTTGGTTTTAATGTTCATAAGTTGCATTTATTTTCTCTTTTGATTAAAGGTATTTCTACTGCAGATAGTAATAAATGGTCGAAACACGTACACCATCAATGGTGCTGCAGCAACAAACAGCAGAGTTGCGGATATGTTTCGGACAGTTGGCTTGAATGTAAACAATCCACATTTCTTAATCATGCAAGGACGAATCACAAAGGTCCTTAATATGAAACCAATGGAGGTTCGAATATTTTGTTGATTTTATTTTGACAGCATAAGAAATCATTAAAAAATGATCTGTGATTAGTGTTCTTTTATTGATTGTTTTCTTTTCAATTTTGATTAATGTCGACCTTTATAGGTTCATCAAAAGTAGAAATCTAAATCTCCGATATCTGGGTTGAAACATAAATTGCGATCTATATGTTAGAAAAGTAAATTGTTTTTATTGATTGCAACTAGATGGCAAATTGATGCTCGTAATTATTGCAGAGTATTTTTAGATCGTAGGGATGATCGAAGAAGCGGCAGGAACGCGAATGTATGAGACAAAAAAGCAGAGTGCTGTACGGACAATAGAAAAAAAGGAAGGGAAAATGGCTGAAATCAAACAGGTGTTGTTTGAAAATGCCAATGTTCAGCCAAGTTTATCTATATATAAAATTTAATAAATGCTTTTTCATCAGATGCTTTCGAAGTATCATGAAAGCTCAGCTTGTTGCTGAAAAATACTAATTAGGTTTATACATTAAATGCCAACCAGTTTTTTTGCAAAGAAGCAATGTTTTTTGTTTCGAAATATTTAAATTTCTAGCTTATGGAGGAAGACATCCTACCACAGGTGGAGAAGTTGAAACGAGACCGTAGTAATTTCCTCGAATATCAAAAAATTGGCCGAGAATTGGAAGCACTTCAACGAAAGCTTATCGCATTTGATTTCATGAGCTCATTGGTTAGTATCGATTGCATATATTGGTAATTGCTAAAAAATTGAAGTCTAAATAGAGAATAAAAAAGGTCGGTAAAGTATGCGCAGAGGGATCTATTCGAATATTACATTTTTTTAAATGAAAATACCTCGATTTTTTTTGTTTTGTTTGCTATAGTGCATCAATATTTATAGACTCTTAGCCGCACTTTGCAAGATGATATTGCTAGCTTGAAAAATCAAGTTCGCGAAGTTGACAAGGTCATTTACGATACGAAGGAAGAGTTGAATCGGAAAGAGCTCCGTCTTAAAGAACTCGAAGATAATAAGAGTAATGTGGGTGTTTTTTTACATTAGATTCCATCATATTGCTACTTGAAAAATCAAATTCGCGAAGATGACAAGGTCATTTACGATAAGAAGGAAGTGTTGAATCTATCAAATTTGGGAAGTTTAAAAATTTAGAAAGCTCAAAGTTTCATGGAAGGAGAGCATATTCGTGAACTCTATATTAAGTTATAAATATTCATGTTTGTTTAAGACAGTTTCAAGTACTTGGGAAGAGCCAAACTTTCTGAATAACACATTTTTTGAAATTCAGCAAATTAAGAAATATTTTCTCACAGAAAACCAAAAAAGAAAAGAAGGAAATTGAAGACCGTATAAAAAGTACTATGGCAGCATTAACGGTAGCAGAGGCAGATTATGATGCTATGCGTGACAAAAGGAAAGAAACGAGGACTGCTATTGATCGCAAGACAAAAAGTATTCAATCGGTTAGTCAATAAAGCAAATCAAAAATGGTCTTTTGATATCAGGGGAGTTTTGTTCGAACTCAATGGATAATGTGATATCTGTCGTTAGACCTGATATTTCTGAATTCTGTGTGTTATATGATGCAGGGAACAAGTACCATGACAGGAAAAATTTTTTGATCACTGAATAAGCAGTTTATCAAATGAAAGTTGTTTCTGCAGGATAAGAGTGAACTGGAAAGGAAATGCCAGGAACTAAAGAAACTTGAAACTGAAATTGGTGGTGAGGAAAAGCGTGGCAAAGAGGTAGAGGAAGCAGTAAAACATGCACGGAATAAAATGGAAGCATTGGCGAAAGGCATGATCACTGATGAGGATGGACATGCCGTCACTTTAGATGCTCAGCTAACAGGTTTACTTTAGCGTTTTATATATTGCGGTTTACTAGTAATAGAACTTCCTGCTATTGAAGATTTATTATCTATATTGTAGTTTGACCCTACATTTTATCTTTCATGTTTAAAAAATTATTTGCAATTTATAAAAACTACCTGGTATCATCATTCATGCTTAAACTTACAGTTTTAATTATTGTGAGAATAAACAAAGTTAAAAATTGACATAATTTGGATGATGTAGATTGAACAACAGCTATATAAGTGATAAGTTCATGGTTCGTTTTGCAGCACAGCGAAGCACATTGAGTGCACTAGAGACGAAAATAAAAACGGCTCAAATGAGGTATGTCTTTGTGACAGTCGAAGTACTCTTTTTTTTATATGGTTAATAAGATTAAAAGAATCTTGTTATTATATGTTAAAGCACTCCAATTGACAAAAGCTTCATGTAAATTGCAATCGCACGAAGCATTACTATCGGTGATGCATAATCATTCAATGTGATCCTCTGTATAAATACAATTCTTTTTTTTTATTATTCATGCATGTGCAGATTTCTAGATTGAAACAGCTAGAACCATTATTAGCAAAAAAGAAAGACGAACTGAATGCATGCACTAGTCAAGCTGACTCGGAAGAACGTGAGCGATCAAATTTAGAGCAACAAGTGCGATCCATAGAGGTTGTTGCTAAAATATTCTATATAAATATTCTATAACTTTTGAGGATCGGAGAAATGTTATTGCCATAATATATGCCAAAGCTTTAATAACCTTGTTATGATTAACTTTCCATTTTACTAAAGATATGCCTGACTATGTTGGAATTTGTATTGAGATTAGTGCGCTCTCTAACTCATAATTGTTCTGTTTTGTTATTTTTAGGCTAAATTAAATGAACTAAATTTCAATGAAGAAGCAGGACTTCGAATTGCCAATGAACGTCGAACGCTTACTACAGAACGCAGTGCTTTGACCGATGCTGTAATGGATTTTGAAGCTCGGTATCAATGTTTTGTAAATATTTGTCTTTAATTAAAATCATATTACCCTTTTTGACAAATATTTTGGATAATGTTAGAATAATTCTCTATTCAGATAATTTTCCTTAGATTATTTCTGAGAATGCTGTCTCTTCCGAAGAAAAAAAAAGTCAGAAAACTAGGTAATTTTGCATTCAGTAAAAGCTTCCTTATGACCATTATTATTGTCTAAAGAATCTCTGTATTTCTAAAGAGTCTCTGTATTATTTTTCAAGTTTTTATTTTTTAATTTTGTCTAGGAATCCATATTTGAAATTCGACTATTCGGATCCATATCCAAATTTTGACCGTCGTTTAGTTAATGGAATTGTTGCTAAATTATTCCGAATTCGTGATTTTCGATTTGCAACCGCTTTGGAAGTTGCTGGTGGTGGAGCTGTAAGTTTTGAGTTTTATAATATAAAAAAAATCGTTTCGTAAGATCGACAAGGAATGAGCGGAAAATGATTTTTGTAATTTTTAATTGCTGAATTGTTTTGCAAGTTGAATTGAGTTTCCAAATGCTATATGCGAAATATTAAGGATTGTTTTTTTTCATTTGTTTCTTCAGCAGTGTTCATCCAGATTCGTTGTTCGACTAGTCTTGTTCAAGTGCTGAATTAGAAGAAAAATTTAGAAGCATTTAGGTATTAAGGACATTTAAATCTATTAGTTCTGCTGCAGGTCATGGATATATCCGTAAGCCAAAAAAGCTTATTATAACATACTATTAATGCAATTTAACTGAAGTGTTTTGATATCACTACCGTGAATTGACCTTTTCTTAAAGAAATAAAGGCAAACATGAGTATTTGTGGGATTATTTCTACTGATTTATTGGAATATCTTCAGTATTTTTTAAAAAAAAACCTTAAAGTCAGTTATATAATCCTTTTGTTTTTTAATTTCTAGGGAGAATCTAATTCCTAACAAGCTTGCAATGTAATGCTGAGCAAATCACGCTCAATGGAGTTTTTTCTTCATTTTATTAGTCTTGTTTCAGCTGGATTATTGAGTGAATTAGTTTAAGTTAGCATCTCGAAGTTAATCTTGCAATCAGAAAAGTGATTTTTGATGGTACACTTTTGCTTTTCTCTATTTTATTTCCAACCTCTTCTATAGCAAAACTGTCGTTGTTGCTAAAAAGTTCCGATCAGGAAAGTCTGTTCTTATTCATTTCTCGTGAAATTTTTATTTTCTTTTAAAACTTAACAATTTACTTTTTATTCTGAGTTCCCTTTCTTTCGGAATAATCATTAGCAGCTTTTACAATATTCAAACAGTGCCTCCTTAAAAATTCTTATGAGTTTGAAATATTATACCGCTTGATTTCTATATTTATTTTTGCTTAGATTGTTCGTCTTCATAATTTTTCCTGCAATATTTCTTGTTGCTAATTTGCGGCAGAAATGCAAACATTGTGGTCTCATGCAATTCATGAAATTGCATCTCTGGAGATTCAATGATGCATTTCGCTTTTAAGATAGTCATTTTATCCAGTAAATAAGAGGTGAAGTTGAAAAATAAAAGTTATTATGATGAATAAAGTTGAACAATATAGGATTGACAAAAAATGGAAATATAATACTAAAAGAGTAGTTAGCTGTGCCCTAGCCTTACCTTAATTTATTTGCAAATTTTAGCATCAAAAAATCAAATGTTTTCAGAAAACATTACTTGTGTTTTGAGTATTTGCGAAGTGTCTAAATATTTTCTTTAAGGTTTTTGAGATCTTCTTTTGAGCGGTCTAAATCAGCAAGATCAAATAAAAAAGCACAAATCAAATTATAGAAGTTACCAAAGATAGAAAAAAAATTGTTCACAGACTATTCTCCTGGAAGAGCTTATTATTGTTGTTATTACTTGTCAAATTTTTTACATCTGAAGCTTGGGCAAAAATCTTGAAGCAAATCGCATATGGAAAAATTTATTATGCGAAAAATTCTTGTATCTTTTTCAACTCGATCACATCCAAATTTTAGTTGCAGTGCTATTGATATGGAAAAATATGAATCGTAACGTATTTTTTCTTCAGTTGTATAATATCATCGTACAAAATGCCAAAATTGGACGAGATTTGTTGAAAAATGGTAATTTGAGACATCGAGTAACTATTCTGCCATTGGACAAGATCGAAAGTCGAATACTTGATAGTCGTAAATTGCGACGAGCACAGGATTTGGTTAGTGTCACAGATTTTGGAACGAAAATTTTCCAGAGACTGTAGATTTTAAAATTGGAAATCAATTCCAATCTGATGCAAGAAATCATGATATTTGTTACTTATTTTTGTATTCCAACAAATCTGATCTTCTGCATATCCATGCAGTCCTGTCAGATGTTATCGGCTGTTTTCAAGAATTTCTTGTTTTTTGATTCTTGTCGGTAAAGCATAATTGTTTTTTTTCAAGAATCTAAGAAAACTATGACGAGTGGTAAAATCTGTTTTTACCTCGTGAGTGATCCTATATTAAAACAATAACTTAAACACTTTTTAGAAAGGAAAGAAAGGATCTCTACATTCCTTCCAAATTTTCATCATGTAATAGAACAATATGAGAACGTTAAAAAGTTCCCTTCATGTCCGATAAAATTTTTCCTTTTAATTTTATCTTACTAAGAATAGTGGCTTTTTGTGAAAGAAAGATTAAAGAAGAGAAAAGGATAAGAAGATGAAATATATCGACAATCTTTTGTTTATCTTATACTTTTGTTGTTTGTTAGTTCGGAAATGAAAAAAATTTGATCATAATAGTGTTTCAGAGCATTACTTAATTTTTTGCTCCAAATACGCAAGTTTTATTGATGTTTTCAGTAAACTTAACCGTATGGTAATATTAGACTTGCGATATATATATTTTTGATCGATAGATCTGATTTTATATAGATAGAATAAGTTCGTTTAATATTTTCGAGACTGGTGAGGCAATGATGATTTGTGTCGAAGATTGCTTTTGTGTTGTTAGCAGACTAGAATTAACTAAAATTAATTTTGTTAACAGACTAGAATTTATTAAACGCCTCGTAACTTTTTTGAATGATATATAGTACTTCAAGTATTTAAAGTGCATTTTCTGATTTTTTCTTTGTAGGTTGGCAGGGAAAACGTTTTCATAGCAAAAGATTTGATTGAATATGCACCGGAACTGGAACCGGCTATGTGTCATGTGTTTGGCAATGTCTTCATATGCACAAGTGATAATGATGCAAAGAAGGTTGATTTTCTTTGTATAAATGTATATATTGGAATCGGTTTCTTGCTACACTTTTTTCCAAAATTTAAGATTTCTGATCTCCGTTATTATAACTTATTCAAGTTTTGACTCATTACGAAATAATAGATCGGAACAAATGAATGCAGTGATTAAAAAATTCAATGTTTCCTGAAGCTTAATGCTTCTGATTTACAAAGTCGTAATTCAAAATTCTTAATTCTCGGCAACTGAGATTTAGTCTGATGGTAAAGTTGAAAGAAGCCAAAAATATTTTTCTGTGGAGAGAAAAATAAAAACTATGATAGAAATAAAATTTCCAAAAAGGCTGAAAACTAATACATATTAGTCATTTGCATGAACTGACATTAGGTTTATATTATCCTTGCTGTATGATCTCTTTCAAATTTTGTTATTCGTGCCAATTATTTATGACGCGATGATAAGAAAATTTTTTATGTTTTTCAACAACTTTGGGATTAAGCGAATAGACCGTTGAAGGCAGATGACTATTGGCAAATGAATCTGGCACTACTGCATCGGCGTTCGACCACACGTCATCAACTTTACAAAAAAAAGCCGAGAAAAGAACTTTACAAAAAAAAACAAAAAAACCGAAAAGCCACGACAATTTTATTCATTATTTTTAATTTCAGGTAACGTTTGATGGCCAAATCAATGCAAGGTCGGTATCTTTAGCCGGCTCTGACTTCAATCCTGGTGGCGTGCTGACTGGAGGTTGGTTTTGGCGCTTTACAGTTAACAGCGAGAGCCTTTTCATCAATGTTGCAAGATAGATAGGTTTTTGTATTCCTGAATTTAAATGCTGGACGTTTTTATAGCAGGGCTTTTTATTCGCTTTGTATTCTATTTTCAAATTTATTTTTTGTTCAATAAAAGTCTGAGTATTTAACTGCACAATTGAGAATGTGGATTTCAGGATCACGTGGTAATAAGACTGCGCTTTTGACATCTTTGGATACCACACTGAAAAATATTGAACGTATCACCGAAATCGATTGTCATCTGCATCAATTGGAAGGTACTAATCATGTATTGCTTAGTGGAAAAAATACTGTGTTTTCAAGTGCATTTCAATTTATTAACCCAACATTCATTTCATTTCATTATATTCAAAATAGCAGTCTTGACAATTGATATATTTTTGCCAACGAGCGCTAAATTTATTTATTACAGTGGCATGAAAACCCGTACTTCGGCACTCGACAAACTTTTAAAAAATGTTTTCAGCATCTGAGTAGTTGTGAATGCATCTGGATATTCTTCAAAAAAGTGGTAATCGATGGACGAATAGTTAGATTAATATGAAGAATGAAACAAGACTTTGTAGCGCAATTTGTTTAACTTATGTAATTTGGCCGCACGATCAAATTTTGTGGAGAATTAGATTTTTATTAGTAGGACTGAAGCTCTTGTGGTTTTCAGCACATCTATTGATGTGCCTAGCATGCTTCTGAGTTATGCTTTCGCGTAGATTCAGATAGCTCTAGTAACAGGAAACTTTTATAAGATAGGATCATGGTCAAATTCATCTTCGAGAAGTGTTTTGGAATTTTTTTTTTTAATCCAAGCATTGAATTAGTCGTCACTAACTCCGTATACAGTCCTGTCACATTCCACAATCCAATCAAGAAATGATTCATTATTTCAGTTTAGAACAGCGATTTTTTAATTACTGCCCAGTTCACTACTTGAATTCTTGCAACTTCGCTGCTGACTATAGAACTTTCATTTTGAAAATTGTCATTGTCAACTTCGAATAACTGAACATTAAGCTTCCTTTAAGCTCTTGTTCCGTCCGCTAAACTTTGAAGCATCACTCGACTCTATTTTCGTTATCAGCTCCTGGGTTAAGTACATTTCGAAACTGCAAATAGCATATGCTGCTTCATATCCACTTGAACTCAGATAAAAAGATCACTCGAATATGTTCTTCAGCAGGCATTATTTTTTTAACCTGAAATAGAAATAAAATAAAAGTTGATGAGACGAGCAAAAAAAAACGAAAATTAGATAACATAATATACTCACATTTGTTTCAAAATATGTTCAGAAATGAGAAGGAAATCCCAATACAGAAAACCGCAATTACTTTTATACCAATAAAACACCTTCAATGTTGCACTAAAAGTCAAAGAAGACGTGGTCCAGAGATAGTCACTTGTTCTTAATAAATCAAATTTATAGATCAGCTGGAAAAATTGGCACCAATTCGGCAGCAGTACATTAAACTGAGTGACGAGCATGGGCAATGCTCTAGACGTCTTCAAATTATCAAAGATAATATGAAACACAGTGCTGCTCAAATCTTACGCAATGAAATTGCTGATATAGAATCAGTATCTTTTTATGTCTTTTTCTTAACTATGGCAAGAAATATCTTCTCTTAAATTGAAGTATTTATAGTCAAAGTGAACTTTACGAATTAAGATCTGTATAGATGTCATTGTGAAGGCATCTCGGCTGCCAGTTTTTCGTTTTTGAAAACTTATCATTTGACTTGTTTTTTAAAGCTTTTGCTCTCTAGCTTCTTTCTAGAAATACTGAATGTCATTACTGATAAAATGATGTTTTTTATAGTATGACAGTAGCGTATGGAAGTAATGATAAGGATTGCAGAGAGGAAAGGAGAATAAAATAGTAAAATGAATTAGATAAGAACTTCAGAAACTAGTGAATGTGAAAGACCTGGTAATATAAGCAATAAGGTGGTTGAAATATTAAAAAATTCTTTTATTAGGAAATTCCACAGTACCGAAACACAGTAGAAAGTGGCAACGTGGAACGGAAGAAACTGGAAGAAAAAATAGGTGTTTTAAATGAACGAAAAAAGAATGAAAAAATGTTCCAGGTATAGTTTCTAAAACATTTTTAATTTAATTGTAAGTAAACGGGAATGTTATGAACATTAGAGGGACATATTTATTTTGATTTATCGTTTATGCAAAATTATGTGTAACAGTTTCAGTTATTATCATTTGTCTCTGTTTTCTTCATCATATTATTGATCTGGATTCTTTTTTATCACCGTCACTTCATCGTTATCTATATTGATATGATTTAACTGTTTTGCGCTATCTCTGTATTTTCTCTTAGTTGTTATCAATACAATATTTATCTATGTAGCTTCTTTTGTTTATAACTATAGGAAAAAGAGAAGAAAGAAGCACAAAAAGACTTGAGTACAGCAGAAAAGGAATTAGCGAGTTTAAAAAGCAGTTTTGAAAAGGCAAGAGTTTCTCTCGAAACATTGAGGTTTGTTATTTTCTCTGTTTGTTGAGCTTTAAAGAATTTTCGTTTTATATGTTTTGCTAATATTGTTAAAGTTTTCTTTGTATTATCTGCTGCCGTCATCATTATCGCTATCCACGATGCAGGGAAGAAATAGCTTCACTGCAAAAGACAATCGCTGAAGACGAGGAGGAATTATCAGTTTTTCTGAAGGAAACTAAACAAGGTGTTGAAGAAATGACTATTCTGGAAAGTAATGTTGCGAAAGCGAAGGTAAATTGTTTGAATTACCAATCGTAGTTGTTTATGGATAACATAAAATTAGGATACATGTTTATGGATAACATATAATTTGAAATCGTCTATTACTCTAATTGAAACTGATAAGTGATGTTAGACTTGTAGGTCATTTTCCAAACATAGTGTATCACTTGTATCACTACTGATTCCTATTTATCTTAGTGGTGGTGGCACAAAGTCAACATAGTCGTATCTCAATTTTGAGAATTGATTTGGAATATTCTACGCAAATTTTCAGTTTTTTGTTAGACTAAATTTCCAGGAAGCAGCGGAAGAGGCAAAAAAAGAAATGCAGAAATTTACGGAAAGGATGCGTGAACGTGATGCTTACATGCGATCTGTAATAGAAACTGTGAATGCACTTAAAAAAAATTTGACAGAATCGGATCTTAAGAAAGAACAATTACAGAAGGACATTCAGGATATGAAAAAGAATGTAGAAGATTGTGCTAGAAGGGTGTGTTATTTTTTTTTTTACTACTTTATATGTAACATTTGAGTTTCTTGTCACAACTGAAATTCATTTGCTTGGCTGACCTGATAATTTCGTTTCATAAATTTCAGGCCGCTAGATTGGAGAAGCAGCATAGTTGGATTGCAGAAGAAAAGCATCATTTCGGTCAAACTGGTACTACTTATGATTTTACTGATTATTCTCTCCAAAAAGGTCAGAAAGAATTGGAGGATAGGACTACTCGAAAACATGCACTAGAAAGAAGTATCAATGCGAAAGCGATGAATATGTTAGGAACTGCGGAAGAGCAAGTAATTGTCGACTTTCTCAAATGAGTTATTAAAAATAGATTTCCATTCGGTAAGGTTGAAGTGCTAATAAATTGATGAATGTGATGTTAAAAATTGGAAACTATGAGGCTGAAACTCTTGGAACGAAATTTCCATGATTTTTCTCTACAAAAATCTTTATTAATATAATCGTACTATTCGAAATTGGTCACATTCTCTCATTGTAGTGTCGACAGTTAGAAGCGAAAATGGAACAGTTAATGAATGATAAAGCGAAATTGTTAGATGCAATTCAAAAATTGGATATCAAAAAGAAAAATGAAATTATTAAAGCTCATGAAAAAGTGAATCGAGTGAGTAGCTGCTGCCTTATTGAATTTTTAAATGTGGATTTTTTGGAAGAAAAACTTTTCCGTTATATTAGCTCCTTATTTAGGGCAGTAAGTAGTTAGGAATTCGCATATTTTTTTCTAATCTATGTTTATTCTTTTTGAAAAACCTAAATCTCTGCAGGATTTTTTAATGAAATTTACAGATTTGTGGAAAAGTTACGCATCAAATATTTTTCTCTATTTTAGGATTTTGGTAATATTTTTTCTACATTACTGCCCGGAACAAGTGCAAAATTGGAACCTCCTACTGGTGCCACTTCGGCATTGGGTGGTTTGGAAGTAAAGGTTGCTTTCAGGAACAAATGGAAAGATTCACTTGGCGAACTAAGTGGTGGTTAGTTTTTTATATGTTATCACATTTCAATTCTCTCTTCGAAATCATTTTTTGAAAATGTACATTCTTTTGATAGAAATATTTTGCTCATAACTAATAATTGGTTTATTTATCCACATCGTAATAAACAGTATTAGATACTTGAGGTGATGAATGTATTTTACTAGTTAAATAGTTGTCTAATGAATCATTTTAAGTGGAATTTAAATTATGAATACTTTAAATGCATTTGTCACGTTTCCCATAGTTTTCAAATAGCTTAAACCGTTCTGGATGCAATGGTGTCACCAGCTAGAGCTAGTTTAAATTTCATTTAAAACGCATTTGCTAAAATTATTTTCTTGTCGAAACCAAGTTAGTTTATATATATTGAGGAACTATCCTTTTATTTCAGGTCAGCGGTCTTTGGTAGCCTTATCCTTAGTATTGGCAATGCTGAAGTTCAAACCTGCTCCTATTTATATTCTGGATGAAGTTGATGCTGCACTTGATTTGTCACATACTCAAAATATTGGTGCTATGATCAAAACACATTTCAAAGAATCACAGGTATATTAAGCATTTTTGAAGTAAGGTAAGAGGGCGCTAGAAGTAAAGGTATGGGAGGGAAAGAATGAGATACAGTAGGATTATTTCTTCACTGACTTATTTTTGGGAAATTTTTTTAAATTCCTTTTTCCTAGAAATTAATATTAATTCAGAAATTTGCAATAATTTTAGGGTTTTTCTTTTCCTAGGCTTCATTTATTCTTCTATTTTTCTAGTATGTGGTTTCATCTATGACTTAATAGTACATTGAGACGTATATTTCTAGATGTGTGCTTCGTGTGTGTTTCAACGTATTTTTTGTTTTGCGATTTTAGTTTATAATAGTATCACTGAAAGATGGGATGTTCAACCATGCAAATGTACTTTTCAAAACCCGATTTGTTGATGGTACCTCTACAGTGATCCGTACCGAGAACAAAGATCAATGGATTATTGATGAACCGATGGAAATACGTGGTATTGAGAAAGAGAATGACGGTAATATTCCAAGGAAACGACGAAAAGAATGAGTGTATGTCATATATTTTCTCACATTTTGTTGATCTTATTCTGCCGTTCATAAATTTATTGAAATGTATAGAAATTTTTGGGAAATTGAAATCTGTTCTTAATTTGACCTTAGCTTAAATTGGTGAAAGAATATGTTAAACTAGGAGGATACTTCAGATGAGTATGTTCGATATTCGGTAAGAAGTTTCGGAAAGGTATGAGAGGAAATATGATTCCATTTAAATCTATCTAAATCTCTCTTTGGTCAGTTAGACGCTCTTAGATGTTCTTTTCCTTAATGTTGAGTTACCTTCGGAGTAGATATTCTGAAAAAATGCTTTAATTAACGAAGGATGACTTTGAAAACATTATACTTACGAGCATCTTAAAAACAAAAGCGACAAAAACATTCTAACTGATGAATGCTCAATTGTTTTCTTAGAAATTTTCATTCATGTGTACACACTCCTTTTTTCTTAATTTCTGGAGGCATCTTGATTTGAGTCAGTAGACCTGAAATTGCAAAAAGATCCAAGAAGAGAGATAAGGGAAAGTTCTCAAAAGTTCTTATGTGCTGGAGTAAAAGGCTGAAATGGGAGTTATTTTTAAGCAACTTTTATTAGAAAAAGACTTGGGAACCACAAATATCTGTACTAGAAATGGCTCATTATTTGATATGATATTCAATCTTATTTCTTCCGTATAGCTTTTGAAGCTTTATAACCTTCTCCATACAAAATTATATCATAAATGAACATCTGTTTGTGGATGATTGTTGTCCTACTGGATAATTTTTGTTGTTAATGTTTTTCCCTCATGGTCTATTAGTGGAGAATAATGGAATCATCTATATAGCTTTTGCATATTACAGTGTAAAATACCAGGCATGCTATACTGTATTTGTGTTTCATGAAGATAAAGATGGAACATTCTTGTCGGTTACAGATTCATTACATTATGAATGGAAGCTCTGCTATTATGATTTCGGATTTTCTTGCATACTTGCTGTGAGTCAGTTGCATTTTGTCATAATTTTTACGAATAAACTTGAGCTGCTTTGCTTTGTAGGTAAACAGGTAACAAAAACAAAGATTTTAGATGAATTAATGGATATTGAAAATGAAGAACGTTTGGGAAAATTAAATTATTTCTCACATATCATATTATTTGAATTGAAAAAGTCTGGCATTTCAGATTCAGTAGATCTGGGAAAAGCATAAATGCTTGACGACTGGTGCTGCTCTGACGAGAAATACGTTGCTGATGAGATGTGCAACTCATGATTTAGAACTGAAGAATGTTTGGAAATAATTCGAGTGTTTATTTATTTCGCATAATATTGATTATCAACGGAGAAGTATTCATTTCAAGAGGTCTAGTCATATATAATATAAAATGAGTTTGATAAATTAATGAGTTTTTGTAACTGTTATGTATAAAATTATAAAATGTATAATAATGTCTATTCTGTCATAGAGGTCTACTTACCTAGCAGGCGGGAATGAATACGATTAATTTATTTGAGGTGTTTGTTTTGAGCATTGCTTCATGGTTAATGGAAATAGAATAGAAATAATCGAATGAATTTAAAAAGGAAATCAGTCAATAAAATCCAAGGATCAATTATTGTACCGAATCAGATATATTTCTGCTCAAGGATGAATTATTGTATCTGATCAGATATTCTTACAGTGCTGAGGCGAGAAATATGTTTTAAAATGACTTATCTGGCATGTTAATTCATGTTAAATTAAATTAAAATATGGATTATATTTCGATAAATGGTGATGTTAACTCCCGTCAAAAATTAAATTATTTGATACTTGATTTTCTCTATTTTTTCTATTTGCTCGATTGAAATATTACTGATTCCGTATTAAATCATATAGTATATCTTGCTTATTATCAAGACAAAAAATTAGTATATCATCATCATCAGAGACAATCGTTTTTAAAATCACTCTCAAAGACTCCTGAGCGCATTTCGTGACTGCACTATAATTATATTAATTGAAACTAGCAATAATTGATTTTTGCAAACTGAAAATTAGCTGAAACTTTCTGAAGCTGTATTTAAGATATTCAGATGAATTTCAATGTATATTGAAGAAGTATAGCAACCAACTAACAGAGGCTAAAAATAATCAACTAAGAGCAATCGAAACTAATCCTTTATAAAACCATACGAGAAGTTGTTATCATCCATTTCACGTCATTAGTATTGAAGAAATGAAGCTGCTAATTGAAAATAAACTATCATTTTGAAGTGTCATTTTCTTTTATGTAGTAATAATTGCATGTAGGATTTCTCGATTAAGTTGTGATATGTGAGAAGAAGCGATTTTCATCGATGAAAAGAAGGCTCTAAAGTTTCTCTCAGAACTAAGTTTGTGCTGAAAATGGATGATAGCCATTTTTCGATCGTTCAGTTGCATTACAATTTCTACATCCTGTCGAAACTGTGGATTATTATTCCTATCAATAAAGTGACAATGCTTAAAACTATCAGTAACAGAAATGTGCTAAATTGTAAACAATTTTTTGTTTTCCAGTACTTTACGCTAAATTTGAACAATGGCTTAGAAAAGCGATAAGTAATTAGTTACCTTTGGTTCAAATAAATTCGAAGAAAAAAGTTTATACAATATTTAATTTTCCAGAAAATTTATACAATAGATTTCTTTAATTTCTGATTAATAACTTTCTAGACAAATTGGCAAATATTTTGATTCATTTTTTCCTGTCGATTGTCAATTTTACCGTTAAAATATTCCAGACAATAACATATTTACTAATTGTTCACAAAAATTGAATAGAATTTTCTATTATTTTGACTATTCCAGTAGTGATTCCTTTCCTTTCCAAGTTATTTCATGGAAGGATATTCGAACATTTGCATGGGTACAAATCCTTTTTCATTAGATACAGGAGTTGAGGATATTGTGTATTGGTAAGAATCGATTATAGGAATCGCACGAATTTCCGGTTGCAAATGATGCACAAAATCATCATAATTTATATTTAATGCATTACTTGATATAATACTTGTTTGCCCCTCATGTGCTGCAAAAAACAGAATTATTTAGAAAAGAATTTGTCCACAATTAGAATTATGCAAACAATACTACGCCGTGGAAATGAAATATTTTTAGAAATGTTTATTTGACTTATTTCTAATATTGTGATAAAATAGGTTATTTTCCGACCTGACTTTATCAGAGGCTATCCTCATTGTACAATCAATTCACCTGAATTTGCATTACATGTAGATGAAGCATCTAAATTCTTCCTGAATAAATCGTGTAGAAAGGAGTGCAAATCGAAACAGAACAAACGCATCTGAAAGAATGAATTAAACCAATTCTTAAAAAATATTTCATATAAGAGCAAAAAAATTAATCAGGACATAAATTTGCAACCAATCCGCCAAATTCTATGGATAGAATCTGCGATCAATACGCTCAATATAAGATAAAGCACATAGCAAAAGAATCCATTGACTTCTTTTTGACCTTCCAATCTTTCCTAATCAAGCTGTCAAAACTGACCGTACACGTTCGAAGTCTCTCGCATTATTGTCTTCTAATTCCATTAATAGTTTTCCATGAATTGCACGTTGATTCTTGATCTACCACCAATACTTTCTGCAAATTTTAAAATTTTGATAGATGATAAATCCCATTCTTTGAAAAATTTCCGAATTGCCTGAATTCAAAATTTTAGCTTAATACTCAAATAAAAAATAAATATACGGTGGAATATATCCCCATTTAATTCTGAACTTCCATATTGTTTCTTCATTCGAAAGGCATATTGAAAAATTCCGGTTGTGTTTTATTTTAATCCAAATTAATTGACATAAATTTGAATCTAGAAAATTAATAAAAATAAATCAAATTCCATATGATATCGAAAGTAATGATACTACTAAATCATGAATTTGTCTCATTTAACATTCGCCAATCGCAATAAATTTTCATTTGAAATACAACAATAACAATATACCCTACACAGTATATTACTGACAGTAAAACTAATAGAATCAGCAAGTTTATCTATAATATTTGTTGAATTAAAATATAATTACCTGTATGTAACTATTTGATTATACCTCTTCAATTTATCTCTCCATTCCCATCAGTTTTGATGACGAGAAACTAGCACATGAAGAACAGAACAAAAGAAGCTTGACATGCTGCGGCATTATTTCACAATTCAAAATCCTTTATTTCCGTCGTCAATGATAACAAAGTATGATACAATCGATAAGGATTGGTTTAAAGAAGAAAAGCAAGCAATATCAGTAACCAAAATTATTTAGAGCGATGCTCTAAAAAAAGAATCCTTGCTCTCCAAGGAATTCAAAAAATGTAAAATATCGTCTACAAATTTCCAAAAATTTATTTATTTCTTAACATTGATATTTTTTTTAATCAAAAATAAGATCGATTCTTTATTAAAATTAGCTTTGCTTTCTCCAATTTTGAAATTCACAAAAAATTCAATAACTCAATAAAATTTTAGAAATAAGAAATGTTGCATTGCTTTAATAAGAAGCGATGGTTTTTAAAATCTCCAATTAATGCAGAAGACAAAATTTACCTATCAGAAGGCATTACATCCACTTTTCGTGATCAATGTGTCAGTATGTTGCACGAAAAGTAAGTCTAAAAATTTGAAGCAGTTGAAGAATTTAGGAATTTCGTTCTTTATCAATTCCGTCTTAAAATACACCAAAAAGTTATTTAATGTAAAATCACTGAAATAAAAGTGATCGATAAATTAAAGGATAAGTAAAATTAAAAAGTTGAAGAAGTTAAGAGCGGTTCAAGGTCGAATCACTGACAATTTTCAATTTAAATTTTGCTGTTACAACAAAACTCTAAAAAGCAAAGGTTAAAAAATGTCCTAATACCTTAAGGTTTGATAAGTAAAAGAACAAATTTCGCATACTATTCTATTGCATAATGCAAGCCAGTGTTTCGGGCAACTCCGAGATACAAACTTATCGTTCCTCTAT